TACCTTTACCTTTATCTATTTTATATACTGTATACTATATATATGCACTTTGTGCTCTTGTAAGCCGCCCTGAGCCCGTTTGCGGGAAGGGCGGGGTATAAATGCAATGAAAATAAATAAATAAATAAAATAATGAGTACCGGTAGTTGTTTGGATTGTCCATGTATGAGAACAAGAGAGTTACAGTGCATTAAGGATTTCTTCAACTATAGCTGCTGGTGTAGGATAAGAAGAATGCTCTGTGAACAGAAGGAGTCGTAGCTGCTTCCTTCACACTTCAGGAAAAAAGCTGTATAAATCCTGAACACTGTTATCAGTAACTGTCCACATAAACATATGCACTTGGTTTCTGTAGTTCTGATATGTTCCCTCTGCCCTCTTTCACATACTGGCACACAAAAAGATACATGTATACCATTCTGTGTGAATATCAGGATCTATTTGGCTATATACTTGTTGCAAGTGGGCAAAATAGACACTTGCATACTGGAAGCCTGGAGTACAGAAGGAAAACTTGGTAGCTATTCCCAGCAATCAGCTTCCCTGAATAAGGATTTAGTCAGTAGGCCCAAGTGTCTTCATACTTGTAAGGGGCACAGGATTGGCTTTTGTGCACCATGTGACTTTCCAGGCCCAGAGAACTGTGGGCTGGCTCTCTGGAACAACTTGCAGTTTCCAGTAGCTTTGGTAACAGGGAGCCAGTGCCTCATCCACACAGTTCTCAGTTCAAGCACTGTGAACCCTGGCAGTCCACCCTCCAATGTATATTCCTGATACAGGTAGCAGTTATCAGCATTGGGGAGAAAGTCCGCTTTGCTATTACAAAGATGCTTCTTATCTCAGTGTTTTTTTTATGGGCTTCTCTTCATGTAGGCAGATCATGCCCACAGGCCTTCCTGTTCCAGTCTGGAGCGAGCAGTAATCTAGCCAGCTGTAGATGACATCAGCCTGGGTCACAGAGCACATCTCTGCTCTGCACCAGTACAGTGAACCTTGTGCATCTGGCTCCTTCTGCCTTTTGTTTCCCAGGAGACTGGTAGTCCCAGGATAAGCTCCAGACAGAAACTCAGCTTGACTCACCCAGGTGGAGGCGGGGGAGCACTGTGTAAACACAAGCAGCAGAAGGTTTGGAGCCGCCCCCAGCTGCAGGGAAAGTGTCAAGAATCATCCTTATCGAGTGACGCCCCTGAGTCTGGGGGACACACCCTGGCATCTGCTATGGGATCATAAACAACTGTAAATAAGAGGGCATATCATTGATAGGGGTGGAGGGGCATCCTTTCAAGAGTGTGTTGCTTTAGAGCGCTGCCAGAACCAGTTACCTGTTTACTTGGCCCATCCTGCTAGTGTTAAGAGTAGGCTCCTCAGGACCTTTTTTCCGATCAAAAGAAGTAGCACCAGGTGAACTGATCAGGCATATTACCAGGACTGGAAAGACAAGATGCAAAATGATGGATAGGTGTTGGTACTGCCCATCAGACAGTGTGCTGGGAGCGCCAGCAAATCCCTGTTAACAAACATGTTCTAAAGCCTATATGGCAGTAGCAAGACATGCAAAGGTGAGTCTTGGCTTGCATCACTGTCATCCCCACCTTTCTCAAACCAGAAATTTGGGTTCTGGTTTAGATATAAAAGTTAATGGAGTGTAGTGTCTTGGAGACTGTGGCTGATCCGTTACTGGATCTCCTGATGTAGTTTTTAATGTTAAAAAAACATCCTTTGATAGGAATGGATCAGTGCTATAATGCAGGAGGAATAACCTTTCCCCCTCTGCTGTTTTCCTGACAGAAATCAGCCCCCTCCTGAGCTGCTATGAGGCATGGAAGGAGAAAAAGTCAGATGCCCATATGGCAGCTGGGCTCTGGGTTGCTGGGTAATTCCTATAGCACAAAGAGAAAGGATTAGTCACCTATTTCCACTTTCCTGTAGCCCTGATCCACTACCACCACCGCCTACCACCATGGCTGCTTTTTAACATTAAAAACTATTTTGGGAGACCCAGTCACTTGTACCATGTAAGAACATAAGAAGAGCCCTGCTGGATCTGAGCAGTGGTCCATCTAGTCCAGCATCCTGTCTCACACAGTGGCCAACCAGTTCCTCTGGACAGCCAACAACAGGGCATAGAAGCCAAGGCCTTCCCCTGATGTTGCCTCCTGGCTCTGGGATTCAGAGGTTGACTGCCTCTGAATGTGGACATTCCCCTCAGTCACCATGGCTAGTAGCCACTAATAGACGTCTCTCTCCATGAATCTGTCTAATCCCCTTTTAAAGTTGTTTATGCCTGTGGCCATCACTACATCCTCTGGCAGCGAATTCCACATTTTAATAACTCATTGTGTCCATCCTGCATCTACTGCCCATCAGCTTCACTGGATGCCTTCGAATTCAAATATTTTGGGAGAGGGAGAAAAATTTCTCTTTGTCACCTCTCTCTACCCTGTACTTAAACCTCTATCATGTCCCCCCCCCCCAGTCGTCTCTTTTCTAAACTGAAAAGTTCTACAGACTCTTCAGCCTTTCCTCATAGGGAAGGTGCTCCAACCCCTTAATCATCTTGGTTGCCCTCCTCTGTACTTCTTCCAGCTCTGCAATGTCCTTTTTGAGATAGTGACAAGAACTGCACACAGTATTCCAAATGAGGCTGCACCATATCTATACAGAAGCATTTTATTCTCAGTCCCTTTCCTACTAATCCCCAACACAGAGTTTGCCTTTTTTACTGCAGCAGCACACTGTGTTGGCACTTTCATTGAGCTATCCACTACGACCCCAAGATCTTTTTCTCTCTCAGTCTCAGCACGTTCAGACCCTATTCAGAACCAGTTTAGTGTAGTGGTTAGGAGTGTGGACTCCGGGAGAACTGGGTTTGATTCCCCACTCCTCCACTTGCACCTGCTGATGAGACTTTGGGTCAGTCACAAGCTCTGGCACAGCTGTCCTTGAAAAAGAGCAGTCTCCATCAGAGTTCTCTCAGCCCCACCCACCTCACAGGGTGTCTGTTGTGGGGAGGGGAAGGGAAATGAGTTTGTAAGCCACTCTGAGACTCCTTTGGGTAGTGAAGGGTGGGGTATAAATCCAATCTCTTACTCCTCCTCCTTATTTTAGCCTATACTTGAAGCCCGGATTTTTTTTGCCCCAGTATGCATTGCTTTACATTTTTCAGCATTGAACTTCATCTGCCATATTGTTGCCCACTCACCCATTTTGTGGAGATTCTCCTGGAGCTCTTCACAGTCATCCTTGGTTTTCAATTCAGTTCTTGACTATGCATCAGAAAGTCTCTGTATTGAATATTACTTCTGCCATGAACTCAGTAGGTGGCCTTAGGTAAGCCTATCCCCCCATCTCTCTTTGACTCACCTTCCCATCTCCATCTGCAATATGGGGACAATTATACTGACCTACCTCATAGAACTATTGTTACATTTATACAAAGATAATATATTGAAACACTGAATACTTTATATAAATGTTACCTGTTCTGTGAGAATTATTGCTTATGTGCTGTGTTTGGGATTACATTTGAACTGAAATATTTAGATTTGTATTCAAAATGAATTAATATCTGTGTGTATCAGATATATATTGGTCGACTTCAGACTGGCAGTTTGGCCCGGCAGCCAATCGTATCAGTAGCGTTTCAGTAGCGGATTAAAGGGGCGGGTTCACACAGGCACATCTGTCAGGCGTCCCCCAGCCGTACTCAAGCCGTCTTGTGCCACTTCCCTCCCAAGTTTAAAAGATACCAGGTGAAAGTGGTAGCAAACCGTGTGTAGAGCGGGTTGATTCCAGTTCCCTGAGTGTGAACGCAAGCGCTGCTAAGGCAGGAACAGCCCACAGTCATTGATAATAGGCTCCGGCTGTTTCCATGGGCAGACACCGTCGGGGCCTGCGCAGTCTTGCCCTATTTGCTGCTGCGCCCATGTGCTTGGGCCAGCGCGGAAACAGCCCACCGGGGCAGCCCAACAGTGTGAATGCTCCCTTGCGCTTCCTCCATGGTATTCTCCCGCTTCATTCACTGTGGTGTAAACGGGAATACCGCAACCAAGCCGTTTCGGGTCTGTTCCGGGTTTTCTTTGCCACGACTCCCTAGCGCTTCAAATTGCCAGTCTGAACCGCGGCCATTGTCTATGTACTAGGTATATTGACAGAGATCTACAGCTAAAGACTAGAGGTGTGTGTATAGAATAATATATCTGCAGAGATTTCTGCACAGGGGCTTTTCCTAATTTTTTAAAAAAATCCTTTCCTGCCAAACCAGACATTCAAAAGGTGTCTCCGGGGGGAAAAAAGGAATATGGGTCATCCCTGAATTGACAGTGTCTCTTGGATTTTGTGGATAGCTGACGCAGGTCAGCAGATTTGATGAGTGGGGGACCAGTGTGGATTTGCTGAATTTAACCATCCATTCCCTGAGGGCCCAAAGCTTCACTCAGGAGCCCGAAATATGTTCAGAGATTTCTGGTGACTGTAACAGTTATTGGTTACAACAGCATGCAGAAAGCCCCTTTCCTGGCACATGCCCACTACTTGTTCACACTCTAGTGGCTCCAAGATTTTTTTTGAAGCAGAGGGGATACACACATCACTGTGGCGATCCAGAGCTTTCTGGCCGTGTGAAGTCTGCAGATGTTCTGCATGGACCGGGAAGAATAAGTGCTGATACACTATTAGTGTGTGCATATTTATTTATACCCTGCTCCCCATCCCATCCCCTTGATCCAAAACAGTTTACAACATAGTTGTCTTCTCCTCCATCTTCACAGCAACAACATTCTGGGGTAGGTGTGAGAGACTGCTTTGCCCAAGGTTTCTCAGCAAATTTTTATGGCAGAGTGGGTATTTGAATCTGGATCTCCTTGATCTTAGTCAAACACTCTACCAATTCACCATGCAGTCTAAAGCACACCTCAGTCTTTCCCTTGTTTGTATACACAGGAGAACCTCCAACATTTCTAAGGTGTGATCTTACTTCATCCTCCCTCTGCCATTAGAGCTGGCCATGAAGAGTAAGGATGAGACCAGTGACACAGACAGTGGGATCATAGTGCAGTCAGGTGAGTCACTCATAGGGGAATTCCTGCTTGTATTAATGTAGCACCTACATAGTCTCCTGGGTTTGGGCCTATGTCAACAAGTTTAAGCAAGACTGATTGTTCTGTTGGGGTCTGCCTTCTGCCCCAGGCCAGTGAGCTGCCCCAGACTGAGGTCAGCAGATTAGGCTGGTAACTGTCATTGCAGCTGCTGGAGAATTGTGGACATTCAGATAAAAGCACAGCTGGGGGAAGGGAAAGCTGCCTCATTAATGATGGCAGGCTCCACACTGGCTGTGCTTCAGTACCACTTCCTTCCATGTTTACTATGATGCAGTCCAAACTGTTAATGTAGAGGGCATTCAGGATCCCACAGTAAGAATGTGATCTTGTACAGGCACATAAATCAGATGGCATTGAAAAGTGGTAGGGATGTAAATCAGATGGCATTGAAAAGTGGTAGGAATGTTTAGGGTACATCTACTTTTATGTTTGTTGGGGAACAACATGAGAACTTGTATCGCACATGTAATGGGAATTTTGTGCCTCCGAGACGCATACCAATGTTTTTCTGTTTGCAATTACAGCATGTGTGGAAAAACAGTTTTTCTGTCCACAAACTGCCTAACTGAGCCACTGTTGACTCCCTTGTAAAAATCATGTTATTTATGTGACTTGACACAAATTTCACAATACAGCCAATACCAGCTCTGTGGGGTGGTTTGAGGATCCAAAAACAGCGGTGGTGGTGGTGGTGGTGGGGAGGCTACAGCTACTTTTTTCTGTGTGCCCTGGTTGCATAAGGCAAAGGGCTGGTGTGCATTTGGGAGGCACAAACTTCCATTGCATAGTGATACGAAGTCCTTGTGGTGTTCCCTAACAAACACAAAGACTTTGTAAAGTATAGATGTCTTGTTCCCCATCTTGCAATACAACTGGGAATCCATTGGAAAAGAACTCATAAAGTAACCATTAGATAGCCTTGAAATATTGGTAGGATTTTGGAATGAGGAATTAGTCCCTTATTGCCATGAGAAGGTGACCTCTGGGGAGAATATTTCACTACAGGCCAAGGGCAGTTTCATATGTGACATTCTTCCTTCATGACTGCTGTCTGATCCTTGTACTTACTTAGTAATCTATAAACTTTTACAGAGTCTTTTTTCTGATTTAAAAAATGTTCAAAGTGTTGAACAGAACACTTGTGGCAAACAATTGGATCACACTTCAAATGGAACAATACATGTGCTTGTACCTACAATGAGATTCTTTCTGTGTAGGAAAAGGTCACATCTAAAACACCCCTCAGTAGTTTTAAACCATCTGGGTATGTGGACCTGGGATAAGGTCAGGCCACATTGATCCTTTTCTCAGAGGCTGCTTTGTTCTCCAGTTTTGTGTCCATTCACAAGCACAGTATGGGGTCCTCAATTCATAGAAGCTTCAAGCAAGAGATGGGTAGGGATGATCAAGGTAGGGGAAATTGCTGATGAGATTGCACTGCTGAAGTCTGCATGAAGTTTGGATCCTCCTGTGCCTGCTTTCCAAGGTACAACATGCTTCTTGGCCTGCCTTTTGATCAAAGCATCAGTGGAAGGTTGCAAAGAGCAACCGAAGTGTGATTTGGTAGGACTGTGGACTGTTCAAGTGACAACAGCCATCTGGACTAGACCCTTGTTTAGGAAGGAAAAGCTGGTACCAGCTGCACTTGAACCTTTACACATAAACCAAAGAATATTGTCACTAGGCAGTTACGTACAGAGAAAAATCCTTATGGGTGCTCAACTTTCAGCATCCACTTTATACTCTTTTCTGCTACCCCAGATGCTTATTTCAATATCTTGGGAACTACTTCCACACAGGAACTACTCCCACTTCAACAATCATATATCTAGTAGTCATCCCCTCCCCGAGACACATGCAGACCAGACATTCTGCAAGGGGTGCCACCCAGGCTTATGTATCAGTTTCTGCAAACCTGGGGCGAAATATCAAGATCTTGCAAGACTACCTCACAAGCCCATGGCTGCCATTTTGGACAACCTAGTCAATTAGGGCCAATCTGGATGTCATGCCATCCTCGTCATGGCCACCTTGAGGATGCTGCTGCATTTTAAAAGTTATTTTAATATGTTGTGAGGACCTAATCCTGATTGGCCCACAGCACAGGAGGCTGAGGCACTCTTCCCCCTGTGCCTTATCATTGAAACACTCCCCCCCCACACACAGCTGTTTCAGCACTTAAAAAGGCAGAGGGAAGCAAGATATGGCATTTTTAAATCACTTTAAAATGGTGGGAGCATCTGTGTGACATCTACACGGACTCTGTCATGTCTGATTTGGCCCTTAGTGAACATGGGGGGTGACTGAATGCATGTGATCCCTGGAAGAACACCCCTGCTAATACCTTTTAAGTGAGAGCAAAAATCTTTGGGGAATTCTGGCTTATGGCTAACAAAGATCAAAGCTTGTCTCTCCTTTTGTCCTGCCCAGCCTGTGGGCAGAATAGCAGATCTGTTTGCTTAAGTTTTCTAATAAACCTAACAACCAGGAATATTACTGTCAAGTCTCCACTTTATCTGATCTGTGATGACCTTGAGCTGCTTGCAGATTATGAAATGGGAGCTAAAAAAGTTCCCTGGTGCTGTGTGCATTCCACACCATACCTGATGAGCTGTCAGGTCAGCCTCTCCTTTGAAGTTCCACGTTATTTTTTCCTGATAACCATTAGTGACATTGGTCTTTAAGATACAGGTTTGCAACACCTGCAGCTGGCTCCAGAAAGTTGCCAAAGGGCAGCCCTGTCTGACTCGCTAAGCATTGCTCCTTCCTGTCCAGAGCAACTGATTGACAAGTCATTCTGTGCCTCTCTTGCCTCCTTCAGGACCAGACAGCCCTGTGTCTCCAATGAAGGACCTGACCCAGGCTATGAGGAAGCAGCAGAGAGTGCTGGAGGAGCGGCTGGAGGCTTGTGTGCAAGAACTGAAAAAGCTGTGTTTGCGTGAGGCGGTAAGGCCTAAGAAAGCCACAGAGCTCACATGCCTGCTGGATGGAGGGGAGAGGAAAAGACTGTTAAAGAAAAGAAATGAATTCTTGAGGGCTGGAGTGAGGAAAGAAGAGCAGAAGGGGGCCATGTCATCTGAAGGAAATGGGAGGGACTTCCCATAAAAATCAAGATGGCTTCTAGGCTTGAAATCAACATAACAGAGTGGTGGACCTAGTAAAAAATAATTGGGGGCAAAGTCATTTTTGGGGGTATCTGGAGTACTTGCTTCGTGTCTGGCTGGGCTAGCATAATTCAACAAATAGTTTAGTAAAACAATCCAGGTGGCTCAATTGAATCAACCTGACACCATGCTACAAAGCCCCCCTCCCCTTGAATTCCCTTGTGAATCTGATGGGGGAACTTTTTTCCTAACCTGAAATAAGGCGGTGTTAGATCTGAATGTGGAAACTCTTTCAATTAGCTTCTTTACTCAAAGGAAAAGTTCTGGACCCTCTGGCCCAAATCTCCTTCATCAAACCAACCACTATTCGTTCTGAGAACATGAAGAATAATTTAATTGGAGGGGCCAGATAAAATGCTTTAGGTTGTCAGAGATTCTTTAGGTTGGTCCTACATTGCGCAGGAGATTGGACTAGATCAGGGTTGTTGAACTCATTTGTTATGAGGGCCGGATCTGACATAAATGAGACCTTGTTGGGATGGGCCATGTGTGTCATAAAATGTAATGCCAGGTAGCGAAGATATAAACTTTATAAAGGACACAAAAAGATTTTTTTTACTTAAAATAAAAACATGCTTAAAACATTAGCTCTGTAAGCTGCAAACCTACTTTTGATTTATTGACATTCACCACAGAAATCTCATGCTCAGAGTTCTGAATCTGACCGAGGTTGAAACATGAAATGGCTGAGTGATTAAGAGAGTCTGGCGAAGCAAGTTATGATGCAGCAGCAGCAGCAGCAGAACTGGAAGCAGGAGATGGCCAGTTCCACTGCAGGCCTGATGAAAGCCCTCCGGGGGCCTGATCCGGTCCCCGGGCTGCATGTTTGACACCTCTGGACTAGATGGTCCATATGGCCCCTTCCAACTCTATGATTCTATAACTATCCAGCCTGAGCCTCTGGGACATTGCAGGATATAAGCCCAAATAAGGATGTTGCTTATCCTACCCTGAATGCCAGAGCTATAATTGTTTTCATAGCTATTTTAGAGAGGCTATTCAACTCAGTAAAATTGCTTTAACAGAATTCCTCCTCTGGGACAGCCTAAGGCTACCTCTTCACTTGCCTGGTCACCACTTTGCAAGAGACAGTGAAATAAGGCTGGAGTGAACTTAGCCTCTGGCGTTTTGTGTGTCATTTAGCATGTCATATAACATTGACAGGATAACTCAGGCCATTCAGCAAAATACCAATCCCATCAGCACTGGATATTTTGAAAGTTGTCCTGAAGGTTTGTGTTGGGGCAATATAGAAGACTATAAATACAAATAAAAAATAAAATAGTTGGAGAAGCTCTTTTAAATAAATGGATGCCCTTGCATATCCTCGTCAGCACTGGAAATGGAATCCTGCTCTTACTTTTCCTTAGGAGCTGACAGGAATGCTTCCCTCCGAGTATCCTCTGAAAGCAGGAGAGAAGCCCCCGAAGGTCCGTCGTCGAATTGGGGCTGCTTTCAAATTGGATGAGAAGGCTATCCTCTCAAGAGGAGCGGTAAGGAATGTCAGGGAGCAAGGTTATGCATGGCTCTGACAGTAACTTATCAACATTTCAGGCAGAAGTTCTACTTAACAGGATGCCTTTTAATCTGTACAGCAAATCAGATCTCCAGTGGCCAATCAGAAGCCCTGCTAGGAAAAAGCCACACCTAGCTCCTCCTACTTTCTGAAAACACTTGACAGGCACCAGGAAACAGCTGCCATGTTGAAGACCCCTGGTTTAGAGCATATGAGCAGAAAAGAAGTTTTCAGGTCTCCTAAATTTATTTACTGGGTTGTTTGAAATCTGCTGCACGAGTCTCAGAACCTGTCCTTAGCTACAGCTGGCCTTTACAGGAGGGCTTTGTCCAGTATTTGAATACAGAGCTCTATAGAGTGGAAGGTGCTCAGTGTGTGTCAGCCAGATAGAGGAATTTTGTGGAGAAATTTGTAGAACAGTGAAAGTGCTATGGGCAGGTAAGAATTCACTGTCTTGGACTAAGAAAAAGGACTGGCTAATCTGTGTGACCGCCTAAAGACCATCTGCAAAGAATTGCTATAATAGCTGAGGAGTCCAATGATTCCATCCCAGAAGAAATGCATAAAACCATTCAAGAATGACATAATTAATACACTGCAGCCCGGGAAGCTGCTCTCTTGCATAGGCATTTCATCCACAGCCATGCTGCATCATTGCTGTTGTGGTCTGCAGTAGCCAAGGCATAGTGAGATTGAAGAGTGTGTGCATCTGAATTTTGGGGGCCTGTATAATATTAATGATGAATGCTATGGATATGCTTGCACACTGGCACTCCCTAAGAGTTAGCCCGTAATGCCTTGGCAGCTATGAAAGCCTGTTCTGCACTTCACAGTTTGTAGCCTGCATAAAGACCTCTAGGCACTGGTGCAGGCTGGAAATGTCATTGTCAATGCCCCCCCCCTTCACTAGAAACTTTTGTGCCAATATGGCATCATCGCTATATCCTGGAGTTCAACTGGGGTAGATTGGGAGAGGAATTCTACAGAGCCCATTTGATGTCTTGCTCTGCACAGCTGCTTGAATAGGACCCCCAAACCTGTTCTGCTTGAGGTAGAAATTAGTGGCAGATGTAAAGACAACTTTTGCTGCTGAAACAGGAATTTCTCAGATGGGAAGGAGGAGAGTGTGTCTTGTTCCTCATGCTAGACCAGTGCTATGTTGGAAATCATGGCTGACACTATGAGGGGCAAAATCACTCTGCCCCAAGGGCAAAAACATCTGTCATGGCTTCTTTACTCCCTAAATCAACTTAATAATCACGAGGCTGTCCTACCAGGGAATAGACCGGTGTCTTCTGAAACTAAAAACAAGAGTCTTTATAACCGAAGCCATAAAGCCATGGAACCTGATGAGCTATGCTGTAAAAGATTTCTGCATGCCAAGTGGTGTGGGTGGGGATGCATCTTGCTCCCTAGTCAGGGAATTTATACACCCTTGTAATTTTCCACTGGTAGGTTTTGAAGTTAGTCTACATGGAGTTGTACCTTTTTTAAACAGGTAGCCCATCTTTCTAGAGGATTTTAAAACATTTAGCCCAGCCCCTTTTTGCAACTAGTTTTAACTAATCCAAAATAAAAAAGAAAAGATGCAACTTGTACCCGGGGGTGAGTAAACGGTGAATTCCCATGGAAGATCAGCAGTTGTCAGCACCAAGAAAGCTTGGGGGGGTTGATGGAGATGGCTCGGGTTTTAAGCTCTGTGGAAAAAGCCTGTGGATGCTTCAGGCCCCGAGCAAGCAAAGAGGGAAAGACTTCAGTTCCATCAAAGGTGTGGCCTCCATTGCCTCTTGGATTATGCAAGTTCTCTCTCTCTCTCACTCTCTCTGTGCTGAGGTCTGTTTGAATAATTACCTTAGTGGGAGGTGGCCAGGGTGTGGTGCAGTGTTTCTTATTCTTTCTGTCTGTGCCCATGGTGGGTGGTACAGGGTGTGGGTGCTAAGCGGAACTGTGCTTTTGCTGACCGTGGCTTCTCTCTCACACACACGATTCTAATCTTGGAAAGCTGTTTCCTTAGCCTTCATCTCATAGATTTGTTGCTTACTACTCTGGGGAGAAGCCCTTTGCCCTTCCCACCCCCTAGGAAGCCATTATATGGGGAAGCAGAAGACATCTTCACTTCATCTCAGGACAGCCTCTCCCTGGGCTTTGCAGATAGCTGGGAACTGAGCCCAGGTCACCAGCATCTTGTGGCGCATCAGAAAAAGCAAACACCCTTTTAACGGTGAATTAGTTAAATCCAGAATAAGTATCGTCTCTGTCTCAGGTCTAAGAAATCACTGACCTGGATTAAAATTCCCATCATCAGCATGTTTTGAAAGAATGGAGAACCCATCTTATATAGTCATTTAATCATCCTGACTATGAACACAGATGGAAGACTGAATTTGTTAAGGAAGGGGGATCTAATCTGTCTATTTGAGTGTGCATTTCTAGTTCACGCTTTTGGTGCAGGTCTAAAAAGCTGTAGTATTGCAGGGACTGGACACTGTGTCAAACCCCACCCCAGGATTTTTGCTTGTGATATCACTAGTGAGGAGCAGGACACACTTCCCTCCTGTGCCAGCACTATTTTATTGTTCTATTCTTATGTAACTTCTGGGGGCTGACACCCATTCTGTACTGCAACAGTAAACTACGGGAAACACATTTGTGCCCCCCTCCCCAGTTTTTAGCAACCAGGTAGACTTCATTTTTCTATTGCCCCCAAATTATGGGAACCGTTTTGTTCCTTCTTATGTTGTCTGCTTCAACACGAAAACGTCTAGCCTGCATGTAAATATAACAACAAAATATGGCAAATGTTTTCCCTGCCCAGCCATCACAATAAAGGCTATTGTGCATGATTCAGAAAAACTGCCTCACCCGACATTCCTTAAAACCTGTAGTGCAGTTGTGACGTGGTTCTCTGCGAGCCCTCAGTTGAACTCACGAATGTATGCACTGTCTGTAAGGAGAAGGTGATAATAATTATCAGTTATAATCTAAACTGTGAAAGGGATCTCTGATTTAATGGGATAGTGTTGAAGGTAAGAGGCAGTGCTGTTGGCCTTGAATTCTGTCTCTTTGAATCTCAGAATTATCTTTTAAGATGCTGAGTCATTCTAAAACTGCCTAGTTTGGAACAAATATTTGACTTTTCCACAGGATCCAGTGAGCACACTGGAAAGAGATCTGGCTCTGCAGCTGCAGATTGCTGAGGCTGCACGGTGCCTCTCCCGGGAAGAGAATCTCACCAAGCAAGTCCGGAAGCGCCGAAAAAGTGCTGTGTTGAAGGAAGAAAAAAAGCTGAAGGACTTAGAGCAAGCCCTCAACGAATACCACCTGGCAGCCCGGCATTTGACACCGCTAAGGGCCAGCGCCCCAGTTTTAGAAGGTAAGCTAGGTCCATCCAGGGATATCATTCTGTTGGGTCAGATTCTTGGCCTGAAGGACACTGAAACACCTTGGAGTAGGTTCAAAACGCAAGGCTTTAAGAAGCAGGTTGAGCAACTGGGCTCATTTTGTATTGAAGGCAGATGTCTTAATTACAGTGTATACAGGGGAGGATGGTGAGATTGTTCTATATGGACATTGTAGTGTAGGACAAAATTAAAAAATGGCCTAAAACTGGAGTACATATAATGAAGAGGGTTTTTTAATTATTCAAAATTGTCAGGAAATGGGACAGAGGTTACCTAATCCCTCAAAGTCATAAGTAGGTCAGATGAACTTCTGATGGGCCTAGTTTATTTGGAGATCATCCCAATTCAAGGCAGGAAGCTGACCATATACGGCTTTTTTTGTGTCCTAATAATCTACAAACAGCAATTTTCTGTACATGCTTGCCAAAGAGAGCTTAAGAAGGAACAGGGAGAGCCGGCTGGAGGATGATACATGTAGAGACCTGCACTGGATGACGCAAAACCCTGTAGCATAAGATTAACCCTTAGGAAGTAGGCAGTTTTGGATCCTTTTTCAGCTGACATTGCTTCCTTCTTTACCAGGTCACCTTCTCTTCTTCACTCGGAGAGCAGTGGCATGCATCTCGATCTAGTCTAGGTATTCCACTAAGGAAGTGCCTGTGTTAAGAACTCATCTACATGAGTTGATGAGTAGCTCACTGCATTCACAGGAGGTGCACGCCCTAGTGTACAGCCTGACCCATTCCACCTTTGCCATAGTGATGAACAGATCTATGTAAGTTGTTCAAGAGGTCTGCTGAATGGGCTCACCAGGGAATCACTACCCCTAAACCTCCACAAGCATGCATATTACCTTGGGTGAGCAGTAAAATCAACTCAGTGACCAGCAGCTACAACCCAGCACAGAATTAAGCACATTTAAACTAAAATGAATTTGCTTAAAGTTGCTTAATGTTGTGTTGAATTATGGCCATCTTGTTTTATTTGTGTTACATGGGAAGAGTGATTTTTCATTTTTAAGTATTTTGTATTCAGTATTTCGGTGTGGGAAGAAGCTGCCCTAAATGCAAGTCCTGTTAGTCAGATTATTAGTCATCTGCTGCATCTGGAATCAGATCTTTAAGGGGTGTACAGTGAAATCCTTAAACAATGTGGTCTTAGTCTCCTGGAATTATCAAGACTAAATCATCTTTTCTTGGCTGATATGCTTAGTAGGATTTATGAATACGTCTGACCATAGATCATAACATTGGTCCATCTGGTTCAATCTTATATGTAGCTCTTCATATTTTTCCACAATACCCAGGTTTCCCCTAGCATTTGCTGCTTTAAATTCTTTAATATGAGAAGCCAGGGATGGAATTTGGAAGCTTCTGCATGCAATGTCTATGCCTGACCACAGAGCCATGGCCCTTCTGCAGACACTTATTAATGAGCATCTCAGGGTTCTAATTATTGCTTGAATATCTGGATGTTAAATGAAGTCTGTGTTTGTTGTCTTCCTCAGGGTTTGGTGCCTCTGATGAGAGTTCCCTGTCAGATGTTGCCCTAGTAGAAGAAGGTAAGCTAGTTAACTTGTGCTTTCAACACCGTCATCACCTTATTGCTATGCCTTCCCTTAGATTTGAAGATAACCTTTGGGCAGTGGATTTCAGCTTTTCCTACTGAGAGGTTTTCTTACTTATGCTGGAGACCACCTTGAAACTTTAGCATTCTCTGTGACACATTTGGAATTTAATAAAGTGTTATGAGTGACTCTCCTTTCCCTGCAGGCCAACAGCACTCCTGAGAACAGCCTTTGTAACCTTATGGAACAAGGGCAGATTCCCTGGCTGTAAAATCACAAGCCTAGTTTCATAGTTCCAAATGAGAGTGGTTTAGCTTGCCTACCCTGTAGAGCAGCTCAGTGCATCTGATTAAGACGGAAGTATATTTTCATGGTGCTGTGAGAAAGATGCCTGCTTGTTTTCAATATGAAACAACAAGCCAAAGGGGGAATGGCCTTGCCAAAATTTACTTGCAGTCTTACAAGGGCTGGGATCCACTGTGGGGCCTTCATATTTCAAGGTTATTTAGAAGGAAACACGGTTGGCACATCAACCAGTAATATCCTGTGGGCAGCCTACAAATCCACGTGGATAATGCTGTATGCACACATATGTGCTTTTTCTCACACAAGCATATGGAATTTTTAAAAGTTTGTGTTTGGGTTAGTTCCTGTTATCTAATTCATATTAAGAACTTGGCCATAGTACATAACCAAGTTTGGGAGCAGGATTAATGGATTTCTCTAAATTACCAAAAGACTCAGGAGGAAGGTTGAGAGTGGCTGACATAGCAGTCTGTTTGTCCTTCGCCCATGAAAACCTGCTGCAGTTTAGCATCCTGTCTCCTAAGGAGCCTTCTCCCGACACGCGGCTCTTTCTGTGGTGGAAGAGCCACCTCGGCTGGAGGAAAGCTCCTTAGGCTAGAGGAACTCACTGCGGCCTATCTGTTGAGATGGTTAGAGAGCGCAGGTGTGGCAGCTGAATAGTGAAGAGAACTGTGAGATTAAAACATTTGAAATAAGCAGTACCTTCCCAGTGCTAGTGTTTGCAAACTGTAATGGTTTTCTCTTGTTAAGGACCCCAGGTGCTGAACTCTCACCCTCCATCAAAGCTGACGTCCTCAGCTCATCTCCAACCTTTACATGGTTCTTCAGCTCAGCCTTCTCCTGCTAGCTCGTCAGAAGGACAAATCCACTACCAGCCCACAGAACTGGAATGTGCACCCATCCAGCACAGCCCCTGGAAGGAGACTAGTCTGGATAAGCCTTACGAGAAGACCAAGAAACCTTCTGAGCCTAGCAGCGTACCAAGGTCAAAGCAGTTTGCTAGTCCAGCTCCCTCTTCTCTTGGTCCAGCTCCTCTTCTTAGAATATGTCTGTCTGAGGCGGGAAGGAATGCTCATATAACCTGTACTCCAGCAATATCAAGGCTAGTGTAATATGCCAGTTGACTTCAAACTGTCTGCTGACTGCAAGTCACTGGCACAAACTTCATCTCAACACTGAGTTTTAGTCTCCTCTGGTCTATAATATGAGGATAACAAATACCAGTCTTCTTTATAGGGATGCTGTAAAATTTGAGGTAAAGTCTATGCTGGCTTTAAGCACTTAACCAAAGTATTAAGTATTATTGCTGATTTATCCCAGTGATAACAAATGAAAACTTGCTTTGTGGGTTCCTATTCTTGGCAGCACTCTTTTGTTTCTGAAGTCTCGTCTCTGTGCCCCGTTTTGGCCCTCCATAGTAACAGGTTGGCCACTATGCGAGAAAGGATGCTGGACTAGATTGACCACTGGTCTGATCCAGCAGGGCCTGTGTTGTGTCTGTAGGTGAAATTAATCTAGACTAATGAACAAATTAAGTGATTAAGCTAATAAATATATTTTCACATTAGTAAATGAACCTAGATTAATTAATATGGAATAATGCAGGACTTTTGTTGTGTCTGTAGGTGAAATTAATCTAGATTAATGAATGAATGAAGTAATTAATCAGTTAAATATATTTTCACATGAGTAAATGTACCTATATTAATTAATATGGAATAGTGCGCTAATAAAGGGAAATGAAGGGATGAGCACATAGCTGTGCCTTTCAGCAAGAGATCAAACTAGATGACCTTTTGCTCCCTTTGAACTCAGTGATTCTTTGAGAGGCCTTTTGGCTCAGTCAGAATAGCTGCCTTTGTGGGCATACTTGAGTCTTTCCCCTTACTCTTTTTGCCTCTCATGGCTGATGGGAAGGGAAATCAGCGCCCCCTAACCAGTCTCTCTTATTACTTGGCTTCTAGTAAAAGCTGGTGGCTGTTCTGGCATCTTCTCACTTGTTGCTGCCTTGTGTTTCCTAACAGTAGTCCAGGCCTGATACCCCAGCCAGCACCCAGCTCGATGGCTCAGAGGATAGCCGAGCCCCCTTTGTGCCACTTTGTTCCTGGAAGGAAGACAGAAGTCAGGAGACAGTCAGGTTCTAGTGCCCCACCTACACCAGAGTTCCTGGGAAGGAGAGGGCAATCCCAGGCCATAAGGTACAGTACAGCCATGAAGTGAATGGGTGTATTCAGCGAAAGCAGCACATACATGCAACTGTGATAATCTGCATAATGTACACAGGTGGTAGGGTCGGGTTTTTCTTTTTTGGAGAATTTAGGGTACTGGTGCAAAACCTGGATCTAGCAAAAACAAAAAAAACAGCAGAAGACCCCCCCCCCAAAGAGGGTTGCCAGCTTCCTCGTGGAGGTGGGGGTTGCCTGCCGCTAGGCCCCCCTACCAGGGGACTTACCAGGAGAGAGAGAGGAAGGCCCAGGTGATGTTGCAGGCGATGTGGCAACGTCACTTCCGATGCAGACAGGAAGAGATGTCATCACACAGGCAACACTTTGGTATTTGGGCAAAAACTCAATGGTAGAAGCTGGGACGTTGCAGCTTGATGACATCACTTCTTGTGGCTCATCTTCACGTCACCTGGGCCTTACTCTTTCTCTCTCCTGGTAAATTCCTCCTCCATCCCCCGCCGGTTGCCAGGAGGGACCTGGCAACTGTATCCCAAAGTAACCACCTTTGGCTGAGTTACTGGCAAGAAAGATCAAAGCCTGGATTGAATATCAAACATTTCTGTTGCTTGATTTCACACAGCCATCTCTGAAAACTGCAGACAGCCCAGAGACAACTAAATGTTGTGACTGAGCAAGAGTCTGAACTTAGCTGTACCCACTCACTCCACACTGGTTTGTTACAACAGAGCCTGCCAGGGGCTTCTCCTGTTTTTGCTGCCTCTACCAACTGGTGGCTTGTGTTTGGCATTGTGGGTCATTGTGGGCCTGTTTTAGTGGATGAGAGTGGCACTGGTGGCAGATTGGAAGGGGGGGATATGAATGTTGTTCTTGGTGCTATCCGTTTTTTAAAAAATCTGGGTTGGGGCATTGCTCAATGGGAAATCCTTTAGGTTTTTTTCTGTCTGCTCGGTTGAAGTTTACCAGTGACACTATTTAAACCTACTTCTAACCCACATACAACTCTTACCAGCATTGCCTATTATATTTATGTTCCCACAGTTTCACGTATGAAACTGCCAATTACGTATTCATTAAATACTGTTACAGTTCTAAGATCACATAGCCTATTTGATTTTGTCAAGTAGGTTTTGGCTGACTGACTTGAAGTTCAAGATCTGTGACACATTTTCAGAAGGAAAAGTCTTAATTTTAAAAAACAAGCAAACCCACAAAAGTTTCCTTTAACTGTGCCTCTTAATGATTTGGGTGTCAAATTGGATAGGAAGTTACTGGTTTTACTGAAGAAGATGTAGTTTGTTCAGAAATAAATTGATTTGGAAACTCTGAAATTCATGCACGGTATTCCAGCTGGCCCTATTTAGCTTAACTGGGTTTTGGGAAGACAGTGCCTTAATTCTGTTCTATGAGAGAGCCAGGAGCACGTGTCTTGTGGAGTTTAACTTGATCCTTCTGGCCCATAGGATGTGTTCATCCCGGGAAGGTTTGGAATCCCGCGGAAGAAGCGCACTGCCAAGGCGGCGTCCAACCTACTACACTGTCACTGTTCCTGATTACTGCTTCTCGACACCCAAACCCAACCCAGCCATCAAACCCACCTATCACTCCGCTTCAGAAGACAGCAATTCTGATGTCTCCAGCATCTCCTATACAACATCGGCTGGCAGCAGCAGCCCTGACATCTCTTTCCTGAAGCCCATACCCCCAGCACCCACGGAGGATCCTTTGCAGCCATTCCAGAGCCAGGTCTGCAAGGGACATGAAGCAGAATACCACTCTCAGTGTCCTCAGAAGCTGCTGTCGCTGCCAGGCTACTTCTCTGCCATGGAGTATGCATCTGAGTGTCTTTTGCCTGCTGGGAGGGAGCCCTGCTACGGCCGGCCATCCTTTCTCTCTGCCAGCTCTGCCCACTTTGCCTACAAGGAAGAAGCGGTGCCATTGAGATTCCACAGGTCAATTGTTTCTCAAAGCAGGGTGGTGCGTACCCCTTCCCTGAAGGACTGCCTCCCTTGCCCTTCCACAGGCACTCGGGCATTGTCCAAGTCAGCCGTGACAGAAGAGCTAAAATCATGGCATGAACGGACCCGCCTACGCAATGCACGGCCACATTCACTGGACCGGCAAGGTGCTTTCCGCATGCGCAGTGGGCCAGGTAGAGAGTTGCGCACTACGTGTTCCATGGGACAGCAAACACAGGTAAGGGCTGCCAGACTGCACTGGGAGAGGGGAGCCAGTTTGTTCATTTCTGTCTTTGCCCTGCCCTGGAGTTCTAGCTACTTGTAATTTAGTACTGGTTGGATAAGAAGCTAATGTGCCAGACATATCTGTAGAATCCCTTTTGCCACAAGCAATTTATGAGCCCAGCCATACAACTGCAAGAGGCTTTGAGGAGATGGATTATCTGGGCTCAAAAGAAACAGAAAAATGAACTCTGTCTGAGACTTTGCTTGTGCATGGAAAAATGGAACAGGAAGGCTTTAAACTGAATTTCATTACCGTGCCACTGCATTGGCTGCCTATAGCGCATGAGTCTCTGAGGCGGGATTCATGTCACGGCTGAGCTGGTGGTTCTTCTTTTGATTTCTTTAGCCCATCATGGTTTGCTCCTCTTGGCATTCTGGTCATCTTCCTTGTTCTGCTAGCTTTGCAGAACCCTGCCAAGGATCCACCCCATTGTGAGTGGGTGGGGGCAGAACTGACCTCTGCTCCTGGTCACAGATACCCATCAACCGCTCTGCTACAAGCAGCGGGCCACCATGGGCTCAAGAGGCTGATGCTATAGGCTGATGTTTTTTCTCACAGAAGTGTGCATCCTTGGATGCTGCTGGAGCAGTAGAGAGAGGAACACAGGGCTGCTTTGCTTTCCAGTATTCATTTGGTCATTGACTTAACTGGACAGCAGAATGTGCTTCTCAGATATGAACACCTGTCCATTCCTTTTTCTTTTTTTTTGGAGCCCCCCGTAGGGGATTTTTTAATTTGCATTTCTAAAAACTACATACTAATAAACTAGAACGAAAATAGGGGAGGGTAACTACTCACTATGGGATAAAGTAAAAAACCCCCCACTAAAAACCCAAAAGATTGGGTCATACATACTGCTTATCAAAACTGGCTTTTAGCTTCTTATTCAATAACAATATATTCGCTGTGGTCATCTCACAATTATTTTTAGCTTATATAATAACATAAATCACCTCTAGTTTTGACCTATTTTAAAACGGATTATAAGAATTAATTACTAAAGTATATAGAGCTTTCAAAGTGTAATAACATCTCATTTTTTCTTGTCCTTATGTTTTCTCAAATGGTAGCTTGTCTTCGGGGCAGCTGCCCCTAACTTAGAGTCCGGATCTTCATCTGATTCTGTCGCTGCTCCTTCTTCTTCACTTTGATTGGTGCTATCTTCTTTCTCCGTTTTTTTTTTCTCCTGGTGGGCGACTGTGTAGATGCAGAAATTCTTGTGCCTTTTCAACAGAGTCAATTTTTTCTTTCTTGTCCATAAATTTGATCATCCATCTGTAGGGAATGTTTTTCTTTTATAGGAATAGTACTGGGTCTGTGTATTTCCTCCTCCTCCTCATTTCAAATGGTATGTCCTTTAACACTTTTATTTCTTTGTCTTTGAATTTCAAGGTAGATTCACTTGTTGCTTTGAGAATTTGGTCTCTCACTTGTCTTCTCGAGAATCTTACAATCACTTCCCCTGGCAGATTATTTTTTCTTGTAAATTCTGGATAAGATCTATAGACCATATCTATTTCACTTTGTAATATGTCTGCTTTTGGCAGATGCCAAAGGGCCCAATACATCACACGTAATCTGTTTCAGATTCTCAGTCATCTTCAGGAACACCTTGAAACCTTAAGACATAGCTTGCTCTCTCCATTTGTAGCTGTAACAGTTGAGACTCTTCCATCAAATTCTTTTTTTCCATCACTTGCAGTTTCCCCCCCCCCAATTTTTTGGTGCTGGCATCCACGTCTTCTTTTTCACTTTTTCTGGTTTTTTTGGCTATTTCAGCCAATTGCAGTTGCTGTGCATCGAATTTGCCATGCAATGCTGTTATTTGCTCCAGCAGGGGTCGCAATGCTTCCGTTAGCATCTTTTGTAACTCTTCAGTTGTGTCTTGTCTAGGGGCAGGACTCGCTGGTCCAGCAGGTCTGACAGGAAGTTTTGATTCTTTGTGGATGCCATTTTTAGAGATTGTTTACTTTTTGAAAAAGTTATCACAGTCTCTGATACTCCTTAATACGCTTGGTAAGTTCTTAAATACTTGTTAATTCAGTCTGTCTTGCTTCAATCGTTTACTCCCCTTATCGCTGTAGCTTAAAGTCGCTTAGCCTTTCTTATCGGGGGAGAGTCCCCCCCCCTCGCTTTTAATGGGAGATTTCTGGCTTAAATTTTCAGTGGTTCTTGCTTTAACTCAAACTCACAGTTCAACATTGATTCCACTTTTCATTTAATTTCGCTCGACCACCAAGCGCTTGTTCCGGTGTGCGATTCTTTTTCCCATACGGGACACTCCGCAGCGAGACCTTCGGGGCATGGAGGAGCCCCCCTTCTCCGGCTGGGTTGCTGGTGGAAGAGCTCAGTCTAGCGCCCCATAGCTAGGAACCCATTGCAAGGGCTCCAGGGGTGGTGCGGACAATCGTGCCCCCTCCCATCCACGGGCTCTGGCTACCGTCTCCCGGAGGTCCATGGGAAAGTGGCAGCCATGGTGAACGCCAAAACCAGAAGTCCCTACACCTGTCCATTCCTAAATATCCCTTTCCTGGCTTGGAATTTTTCTACATTAAAAAACCCAAGTAAAGTGTTTAAGGGAGCAAGCCTAAGCAGGTCTACTCAAAAGTAATTACCATTTTATTCAGTGGCTCTTACTCCCAAAGAAAATTTTCTTAGGGTTGCAGCACCGGGTGTTTTCCACATGAGGACTGGCTTGAATGGATTCCTCTGTTGCTGCTGGAGAGCCAGTTTGGTGTTGTGGTTAAGTGCGTGGACTCTAATCTGGGAGAACTGGGTTTGATTCCCCACTCCTCCACTTGCACCTGCTGGATGACCTTGGGCAAGCCGTAGTTCTGATAAGAGCTGTTCTTGAAAAAAGAGCAGTTTCTGTCAAGAGCTCTCTCAGCCCCACCTACCTCACAGGGTGTCTGTTGTGGGGAGGGGAAGAGAAAGGAGTTTGTAAGCTGCTCTGAGACTCCTTTGGGTAGTGAAGGGCGGGGTATAAATCCAATCTCCTCTTCTTCTTGCTACAGCCTAGCAACAGCAGGGCTTCCACATGGTAAGTTTCCCTGCATTCTCCTTGCCTCAGTTCCTCAGCTGCAGCAGCCATTCCCCCACAGCACAAGCATGGGTTTTTTCATTTTTTAAAAGCAATCAGCAATAAAATATCATTATTGCATTATAGTTAATCTGTCTGGCAGGTTCTCTGAAGTTCCAGGTTCAGTAAAAAAAAAGTCATTAGCTTCTTCCATTGCAAAAATATAAAGAGAAAAGCATATATTTGCACAGAAAGGAACAAAGACCTGCTTTAAAAAAATGAAAGGTGGGATTTCAGAGAACCTAATATGCAGATTACTACATAATAAGAATATTCAATTGGTTGCGGGGAAATGGAAAAATGGTAGTGATGTGAGCAGGATTGAGAAGATCAGGACCTTCCTGTCCACTTGGATGCCATCCAGGCTTTGCTGTGATCTTTCCCAAAACTTTACTACAGTCCCGGTCACACGGAGAATTTGCCTCGGGAGAGGCATGACTGCCTGGCGGATTAAACGGGCGTGATCATATGGAAACATATGGGAAGCATCGCTCGCCTGTCCCCAGCACATAGCTTACCGCCAAAGATCCGGAGTTAAAAAGTACCGCCCACAAGCTACTAGCAAATGGTTTGCCACGGGCTGCAGACGGACTGTCTCCGTCTGATCGCCCCAGCGTGCTTCTTTTGCCCCATTGAAGCATCGCAAGAACCATGTGCCGACGAAAACAACGCGGTTTGCCGCCGTCACGTCTACTTGCGTTGCAGCGGCTCAAATTGTGACGGCGCTAATAGCCACGCCTCCTCCCCGCGTTATCTGGCCCGTGTGACCAGGGCCTACAAAGCAAGTTTGGAAAATATTCAAGAAAGATGTGGGGAAGTACTATGATGATGTGGGAAAGCAGGATAAACCCCCCACTTTCCAAACCCAGGTCAAACAACCCATGTGTAAGTGACCTGAGGACCCAGCCAGGAAGTCCCTGGTTTAGTTCTCATGCATGCTACCACCTCCTTAGGTAACACCTTTGGCAAGCCACTGCGTCCTGATCCTCAGCGGCCTCAACACATACAGACCGTTATGGGGCTCTGCTAGGCTTGCAGTAATATATGTGACACAATTCAAACATTCTAAAGTGCTGCATAATATTGCTTATTGTGTAGTGTGTGGGATTTCCGGGGACCTGCCTCGAGGAGATGTTCAGGGCATGCACAGGGTTGCTAGCTACATTCTCCCTTGAACTTACACATTTGTCATCAAACTAGCTCAGTCCTAGGGACTTATGGAGTAACTAGTGCTGAGCCAAAAAAGATGGGGAGTACTTTGGTAAATATTTCCACCACCTGCAAAAGCTCCACTCTTTCAGTGATGGAGAAGGTTCAGTGTTTGCACATCGTCTTCCTGTTAGCTTCAGAAAAATCCACACTCACTAAAGTCCTCCAGCTTCTTAGTAAGCCCTTGGTTGTGCGCTTGCTAGGCAGGGCCTAATGTACTGTGGCTGTTATATGGCAGATACATCTGCTGCTTTCTGCTCTTTTGTCCTGCAGGTTTATAGGAGGGCACTGCATTCTGGGAAATTTATGTACTATCTAACCTACCTTGGGAAGCACTCTCAGCAAAAGGAGATGCCTGTCATGGAGAGCACTGGTCTTGGCTTAGAAAATTAGGACCTCTGTCATGCATGCAAGAGTTGCACAACATACAAAATTCTCTCCTCCCTGGGCAGCTCCCTTGCCTGCAGCACAGGGCAGAGGCCCACACCATGCCCTTTGATTCCTCCCTTCCTGTTCAATGCTTGCTTCCCTTCATTTGAAAACAGAACAGTGAATTGTTAATCAAGCAGTTCTCTACTGCATTAGGAAGTAGCTGCCGGAGCAAAAGAGATTTTCCACTGTACTGCACATGGAACACATGTGTTTACTTAACCCATCTTCTGATAAACGATCATGCCATCCAACTTGATAATTCCTGGCAATGCTCATCAAAGTCCCTTATTGGGGTACATGCTTATTGTTAGGAGGCCTGGTCTTTGGAGGGAGGGGCCAGGACATTCAATACATGACTGTGTCAACCTTCTTTAAGCTCTGTGTTCCCCCTTTATAAGATACATGGAGAAAAGGGAATTTTCTTACCTAACCCAGGGGAGCCATAAGGATAATTTGTTCCTGGACTGAACTTGTTGTTTTGTAAGTGCTGGACCTTTGGGCATGCATGGACAGGGGACATGTGAACAATGGGAAAAAGCTCTCAGCCTTTAGCTACATAGTTAAGAATATCAAAATTATTATTGTATCATCAGCATGCATGATGCTTTACAGAATACAAGAAGTTGAGTCTTTGTCCTGAAATTTCACATAAGGGATCACAAAGAGGTAGAGGTGGGGGTAAGCAGGAGAGGAATATTGCAGATGGGTAGCCTTGTGACTCTTCAGTGACAGAACAAAACAGTATCCAGGAGTCATTCAGAGACTAAGAAAGGCCCCGGCCATACGTGGCCGGAAAACGCGGGGGGGGGGGGGGGGAGGCGTGGCTATTTGTGCCGTCGCATTCAGATCTGCCGTTATGCGATCAGACGTGATGGTGGCGCACCGGGGTTTTGTCCTTCGGCACGCGCTGCAAAGAGGACAGCCGGAGGGAATAAACGCGCGCCGGCGCAATCACACCGAACGAGTCCGTCTGCAGCCCATGGCAAACTATTTGCTAGTAGATCTTTGCAGGTACTTTTTAACTGCGCATCTTTGGCGTCACGCCACGGGTTGGCCATGGGTGCACTACGCTTCCCAGATGTTGCAGTGTGATTGCGCCCTGAAAATCTGCCCAGCATTCATGCCTTTTGCGCAGCAAATTCTCCGTGTGACCGGGGCCAAAGTTTATTCCAGCATAAATTTTTATGAGTCAGAGCTCACTTCATCACATGCACAAAGGCAGGTGAATTTATATTAAAGGCTGAAAACCACAGAAAGGTGGGAGCAAGTGGGTGGGTGGAGAAGAAGTGCTACAAAGAGAAGCCATTTTAAAACAAGATCCAGTCCAGTGAGAGTGGGTGAGGACCACGCCTGACTGTAGATGGATAGGCAAAGTGGGATTAACATAAAATCTGATCTAGGAAGGTACAAGATGAAACATGAAAAGCTGATCCAATAAGAAAGGTATAGAGATATAGTTGAACTAATTAATATATGTAGGGGTGGGAATATGCAAGATATTCTTACTATAGTGAGCGAGGACCCAGTGGGGGGGGAGAATAGTTTTGTAGGAGAATAGTGAATTTTAGCAGAATGCCCTGGCAGTATACAAGTATGGTTGGGTAGAGAGACAGTTCCAGGCATAAGAGGCACACAGTGAAAACGTGGTAGTGTTGTTTGAGGGTGCCCTTCAGAGGTCTGAGAGCTGGAGGAGTGAAGGTAAAGAGCAAGGCTCTATTGGGATGTGAGAGTGGAGTAATCAGAGGGGAGGGGAAGAGAGCTTGGAAACCAAATTGTCAAGGGTTTTGGGAAAAGAGAAGGTTGAGATAGCAGGAGAAAACCTCATGCCCCAGGAGTTTGGAGAAGGGAAACAGGGTGTTAGTTAGAGATGAAGGAAGAATCAAGTCATGGCTTTTGGGAGTGGTGGAAAAAGAGATGCATTTGTTCTGTTCTGGCTCCTCCTCTGCTGTATTCAATGGACTGACATCTGGTGGAGAGGAGAGATAATAATGTGGGAGATGCCAAACTAGTCCAAATAGGATTGTGGATGACTGTGGAGGGGTTGAACAGTGTCAACAGAATAGTCATCCTATCAAGTGAAATGGGAAAAGGGAAAAGATTGAACAAGGTGTAGAAACAGAAGTTGAAGGGGAAATGGGAGAGAGTGGTACAGAGATTAGAGCAGATAATTTTACCACTGCAGGAGGGAGTTAAGATGAGGAAAGCCTTAGTAGGACTTCAGAGGTGAAGAAGGATTCCTGAGGATTCCTAGAGCTGGTGTTGATGAAGGAGGTGGATGAGAGAGAGGCAGAGAGAGGTGTAAAGTACCTGCTTAGCCTGGTGGATGGTAGACAAGAAGGAAGAAACAATGAATGTATAATGAACAAAATTAGCCAGCCCTTTTGTTCTTCTCCAGGTGCATTCAGCTACATGAGAACATGAATAGAGATTTTGAAAAAGAGAGCAAGCTGGTGCTGGGGATAAATGATTCACTGGGGGATTGGATTCATGAGTTGAGAATGGGGATTAGTTGAAGGCAGACGTACAGACCTAAGGGGTGAGCAGAAGGGAGAAGTGGGTGCAGAACGTCTGAGAAGGTCCTGGAATCCAGAAGGAGCAGGTGTGGGGAAGGTGAATTAAGTGTGATGAGATAAGGTGATGGTCATTCAGAAGGCATTCAGAGAAGTCAGAGACCGAGTAGTTCTTGGTGAAGACAAGATCAAGAGTGCCTCAGGCAGTGTTCAGGGAAGTCAGTCCAGAGGAACCAAAATGCTGCTGGGTCAAAGGGAGGATCATCATGGATGCTGAACTTACTACTGAGTAAAGCAAAACTGCTATCAGAGAGGAAGAAGAGGCATCAAGGTCAAAAATAACAGTAGACTGAGATCTGGAGGGGTAATCTACAACTGCAGCACAGAGCTGCAGAGGGAAATAGATCTGGACAGAATGAACTTTAAAGACAATAAAGCAGTAGGATGGAGATGTGGGCACAAGCTGGGACTGGCAGACTTTGGGTGAGAAGAAGGAAGCCAGAATCATCACCATGGACATCAGGGTGATGTGTGGCAGAAGGAGATCTCTCAAAGAGAGAACAGCAACAGTTGCAGTCTTGGGGTATGCCAGGTAAGGAGAAGTACCTTGGGGAGTTTGAGAGAGATAAAGACCATAACATTTACCTAGGCACAGGAGATCTCTTCCACAGTTCAACAGATGGTGCATTCTTTTTACTCTTTTCAAGGCAAGTCTAAGCATAATATAATAGCCCTGGGCAGAAATCTGACAGCATTTTAAACACCTTTAACTGAGTAGCAGTGAATGGAAAGAGCAGAGGAGATTCTACTGGAAATTTTTACTTTTGTGTAGCTTAACAGAGGTAGTGTAATCAATTCTATCACTAAACATGTAGGTTGTCACATTTTCCAACAACAAAATGGCAGATAGTACTCTAGCAAGTAGTTCTTACCCTTTCTTAATGTGGGAAATAATTTTTAATGGTAGCAGAGTCACTACTGTAGAGCTGTGCTGTTGCAGAAGATTAATTAAAGGCTGTCTCTTGAACCCTGCAGGTTCCTCGTGTGCATATTCTGAAGCGCTCTCCCGAAGGAGCCCCTGTACAGGTCTACGTGCCGGAGAATGGGGAAATCATTACTCAGGTCTAGAAAGTTACTTACTTCTCACAGAATCAGGCATCGTCAGCAGGCTGACTGTCTACTTGAAGGTGAGGAGGTCGTCCCAAGTGAAATCTTGGCATGCTCTTTGACCTGCTGTTCCTTCCTGTTACTTGAATAGAAGATTTAAGATCTATGCTGGAAGCTACAGGAGATGACTACTCAGCCTTTTCCTTTTGTTTGTGTGCTGAGCTCACACAGTAGACTTGTCTTGGACAGTTGTGTTCCTTTAGCTGAGGACTAGGTGGAATACACAAGGCAGCAAGAACCAACTGCACTAATATTTGTTTGTCTGACTATTTATTCATCCATTTGCTACAGTGGAAACGTCTTAGGAGAGCAACATCAGCTCAAAGAATTTCAGATGGCTGCTAGGAAAGGAATCAAGCCTGACCATGTGGCTTGACTCTCCTCTGTGGAAGTGGGATGCATGTGCTTTCCCAAATGCTCAGCTGTGCCCACGTCTCTTCTATTCTTACGTCAAGCTATGTGTTGGCTGCCAGGAGATCAGGCCACACCAAAGAAACTGGTAGGTCTTCTTGAGTGTAAGTTACACTCTTACCAGTGTGCCAATTGATAAGGTACTTTCATTCAAAACGTCTGCCATCTGTTTGATTCTATATCTGAATCACAGGTGCCCTATTTTCAGTTTTATTGGAAATTTCTACTAAAAAATGGCGCCATTTCATGGGTGAAATCTTGCTCTTTTTGTATGTATCTAACCCTCATTATTTAATGGAAGGGGGAAGAGTTTTTCCATTTCCAAACTAAGTCACTGTATTTAGTAATCTCCTCTTCTTGCTTACCAGACAACTAGTTATCTTACAACTTACAAAATGTCCATTGTTCTCTTGAGTTGTAATGAGAAAACAGCTGCTATATACCAACTTTGGATGCCAGGATGGGCATGCTGCTCACACAGGAAAGTGCCCAGATCTGTTAACACAATAGAGACCAAGTTTTCACAGGATCACGTTTGTAATTTTTCTGACCACCCTAATTATTTGTCTTACTACAGAGGATGGACATTTCCTGCAGAAATCTTCCTTGGTCCAAGCAATTTAAATCACACCCTTGCTGCAACCTTGGGGTGGGTGGGTGGGTGGGCATTTTCTGGTGTTCTCATAGAAGATGAGTTGGATTTATACCCTGCCCTTCACTCGGAGTCTTAGAGTGGCTTACAATCTCCTTCCCTTCCTCTCCCCTCAACAGACACCCTGTAAGGTAGGTGGGGCTGAGAGAGCTCTGAGAGAACTGCTCTTGAGAGAACAGCTCTGAGAACTGTGACTGACTCAAGATCACCCAGCTGGCTTCATGTGGAGGAGTGGGGAATCAAATCCAGTTCTCCAGATTAGAGTCCGGTGCTCTTAACCACTACACCACACTGGCTGTCATAGTATTTCTGAGTTTAGATAGCAGGTTAGGGTTGCCAGCTTTTTTTGTGACAGGTGTACCATTCATTTAACCGCTGCATGACCAGCAGAAACTCTATTGTGAAACTTCTGTTACATCTGCGTTGTGCTAAAAGTTTCACCCATGGTCTAGTAAAGTTCATACAGCTGCACAGGAGCCTAGCCATTTGACTGGATGAAGCTCCTCCTGTCTAAGGAAGTTCCCTTCATTTCTGTTGAAGAAAGAGCCACATACACCAGAGGAATCTCCACAGGCTGCAGGAAGGTTTCACAATTTTCTCAGTGGAGTGGTGGGATACAGCTCACTGCACTGTAGTGGCTTAAGAGACCAAAGTACTAATCAGTCTGAGGACTCTGAATTGAGACTATCCAAAGTTAACCTTTTAGATGCTTTTCAGCTCAGTGAGAATACTATAGTGTGTCTAGATTTTGACCTGCCCCATCCTCTCTGAACCCACTTTTCCCAATCTTCCGTTGTGGTAATCTGTCATTTGAGCAACTTCACCACCTTCAGTGTGGTAGAGCGACTCTGTGCTTTAGCCCCGGCCCCTCTCCCACCGAGTCACGCACTGTCATTCAGGGCCAGCCTGTCACCAGAGCTGTGCATATGCTGTGCCTTGAAGATCAAAATTCCACTCACAATAGCCCTAATTCTGTGCCCAGAAAGCTGAATTCTACAGCTTGTGCACATTAATTCTGCAAGTTAAAACAAATATGGGTAATTCCTATTTCACTAGTTATGTAAAGGAGCAAAAGGGTTATGGAAGACACTGAAGTTCCCCTCCCTATTGAACACCATGTTCTGTCTTTCCTCTGGCTTCTCTAATTTCAACAGGTATTGCCCACACACAAATAGCTTGCCTCCATAAACTTAGGAACTTGGCTCTTCCAACAATAAAAAGGGATTCTCAGGATAATGTACTGTGTTTGTGGAATGCAGTCACAGAATGACTTCCCTCCTGTGCTGCTCCTCATTGCCTTCTGTTGCAATGCTATTCTAGGCAGCCTGTTGTCTTTAACCTTTGTTCCTGTTTGTGTGATAGAATAGGGATGCTAAATCACTAATTATGGTACCATAATGACTGAGTATGTGCAGTATCTGCAGAACACACAATGTTCTTGAGATTAACTTATTTGTTTAAGTTTTGCCACTGGCGATCCTGTGTCCTTGTTTGTAACAGTTGGTCTGGACTTACCTCTAAACAGCATTAAATGTATTTTAACATTTTATCTTAAATGGAGTGAATTATTTGAGTTTTTGTGATCTGTTCCTTCATAGCTCTGCTATAATTTCTATTATGGTAACCAATGCTCCCTCTAAGCTGTGGAGTCTTGTGAGCAAAAATTCTGCTTTGTGAGTTACTGGCATTAAAGTTGTGAGCGAGTGATTTGGCTACTGCATAAATTAGTTTGCTCTGGAGCCATCCTTCCTGAGCTAAGACAAAAATGTGTGAGCTGGAGGCTAAAAAACTGTGAGCTAGCTCACACTAACTCAGCTTAGAGGGAACACTGATGGTAACTATCACAGTCAGTGTTATGTCACTGGCCCCAAGTGCTCAAGTTCAAGGACAGATTTAGGACTGCTACCTTCCGCTGACATATCTAAAGTCCTCCAGGCACTTTACCAGCAACACTGAAATACCTGAGCATTCACAAAAGCAAAGCAAGGACAGATGGGGCAAAATTAGCTGATGTGGAAGAGACTGGCTCCTCCCAGTGTATCTGCAGGCAAAAGCTTAGAATCAAACATTCTAGCTCCTACAAGGTTGGACTTTGTAGCCACCAGATGATTTCTTCCAAACCATCAAAGAGTGATTAACACATTGAATTCACTGCCACAGGAGGTGGAGGCGGCTACAAGCATGGACAGCTTCAAGTGGGAATTAGATAAGCATATGGAGCAGAAGTCCATCAGTGGCTATTAGCCACAATGTATAGATAGGGACTCTCGGTCTGGGGCAAGGGATGCTCTGTATTCTTGGTGCTTGGGGGGGTGGTCAATAGTGGGAGAGCTTCTAGTGTCCTGGCCCCACTGCTGGACCTCCTGATGGCACCTGGTATTTTTGGCCACTGTGTGACAGAGAGTTGGACTGGATGGGCCATTGGCCTGATCCAACATTGGCTTCCCTATGTTCTTATCCAATACTACATTAAAAAGATCAGTCATTAGAAAACACCAACAACCATCAGATCATTTCAAGGCAGTAACTTGAATTATTAAGTAGGACCAGTAGTAGGCTACTTGTTGCCCAAAGAAGTCTGACAACAGATTTATCATAATTGCTACTTACAAACTTAAGGCACTATATAAACATCTTAGGGGGCCTGTCATGCAACAGCAGGAAAAGATCAAGCTCCAAGTATTGTGTCACATTTTATTCACCCCCTTCCTTCAAGGTGGTGAACATGTTTCTCCCCCATTTTTATTTTATCCTCACACAACCCAGTTAGTTAGATTGAGAGACTTGACTAGCCCAAAGGCACCCAGTGAGCTTCATGGCTGAGAAGATTTTAACCCAGGTCTCCTCTAACTACACCACCACACTGGCTGTCCTCCTTTGCAAGGTGCACAAAACTAGGTTACATATGAATGAAATATGTGCAGAAGGGTGAGGGGGGCACAGTGAAAGAACGATAATTGGGGTTTCAGCAAAACAAACAAACATCAGACTAGATCTGCTGCACCTCAGATATTGAACTGAGGATAAATTTGGTGTAATAAGGAACTGGAGACAAAATTCAGTCTTACGTAACCTGCAGAAACCATTCCTTACCAGCAAAAGTTACTCCTATCTACTTTTCTTTTACCAGCAGTTTTCCTGTCATACCAAAATTCCGCTCCTTTAATCAAATTTCCCCATCTTTCTTTTCATTCTTCTGAAAGAGCTTCCAATTCTAGCCTACTGACCAAAAAAAGGAGAAAAAACCCAAAAAACCTGCTCACAGATTTCATTTTAACAAGCTTATTTATTAAGAAGAGGAACAAACACGCACATTGGAAAACCATGTACATCAGGAACCATAAATAACTTACACTATTTACACAGAGGTATAAAATTTTACACACTTTATCCTTCATACACACACACACACACACACACAAACAGACCATTTTGCCTGATGACACAGCTCCCATTAGAAGCCCCAAACAAGCACCAGCCTTTTGTAAAAGACATTTCAGAGCAAGAAAAGGCACCTGTTATTTGAAATGTGCTGTACATACACCGATATGACTAAGTCAGTCCTCACCTATGGCATTTATGTGCATTAGAACAGAGGGTCGTCCAGGTTTATTTTTCTTCCTTGAAAGTGAGGGTGTCATTTATTTTATTTATTTATTTGTTAGATTTCTACCCCGCCCTCCCAGCTGATGTCTTGCTACCCGAAGGTGTAACAGCAGGGCTGTAGCATCTCTGTGTCCCAAATCATAAGCATCGGGAATACCAGGTTAACATGGCTAGAATTTCCTTGTACTGCTGACTGTAGCAAGAGTAGATTATGGAGAACCACATCTGAGTCATGTTACGTTGACCTTTTCATGAACATGTATATTCAATCCAAGATCCACTACAATCAGAACTTTTTGCTTCATCATTTTGACCCCTTACACCAGGGGTGTCAAACATAAGGCCTGGGGGCTGGATCCGGCCCATCCAGGGCTCTTATGCGGCCCAAGAGCAACTAGTGCAAGGGAGGGGACAGGAGACTGCTCAGGGGGGAGTGGGCAGAGCCACCCTGACTGTGGCTTCAGCATGGCGGAACAACTTTGTCTGCAGAAGTCAAGCAGTGTAGGAGCATCTGCCCAGTATTGCACCGCTGGTTGTCCAGTCCACTAATGCGGGTTTTCCTTTGCACCTCCCTCCCAGCGCATGAGGGCTTGCAGTGAGAATACACCAACTCAGAGCTTACCAGCTGCTGTCCTTACAGTTTATAGCTCCGATACCTGCCATTACATTTTATGGCACACATGGTTCGGCCCAACAAAGTGACATTTATGTCAGATCCAGCCCTCGTAACAAATGAGTTCGACACCTCTGCTTTACACCATGTGCTTGAAGACAATGATCAACTATACTTAACAAAAATACCAGGGTTACTGAGATGGCACCTAACCGCAGCTCTAGAGATGTGCACTTTTCTCACTTCCAGAGGACCAGACCTTTAAAAAGGGGTGGTGGGAAATACTTCAGTATGAGAAAATAGAATCTCATACTTCAAAGCACAGTAGAAGAGTCATGGAGCACATGGGGCTGTATGGCAACATGGTCAGGAGAGGGGTACCCTCCATGCCAGACTGATTTCAGTACATCAAGTATTACTTTATAGGACATTTCATAGTCTTTGTTCTACACAACTTCCCACAAGAAGGAATGTAGGTGAACTGTGTGCAGCTAGTTCAAAATCTGATCCTAAATTTTTACAAGCAATAACATAACATAAAATTCACGGGTAACTAGCTACTTTTCCCTAAATATCAGACAAGATAGCTTGGGTGGTAACAAAAGGGGTTCAGGATTGTCAGGGGAGAAGGGATTGTGCTGTTTTCACTACCAATGACAGATGGTCCCTCTTCCAAGACTTGGTTCACCCAACCTTCTCCCCATTATACTAAGTCAAGAGAAGACGGCCAAGCATACCGCGATTCAACAAGTGTCAGCCTCAGCATTCATTGAAATGGTGCAGCTGGTTGAAAATGAACAAGTCTTGGACTTGAACATAATAAGCAGTGAAGGCAAAGCACGGAGTCCCAACAACTCTCATCCTGGCTACAGCTGGCTGTCAGAACTGCAAGCTCAAAAATCAGGGCCAGTGTGAGAATGTCTGTTCCCCAGACTAATTCAAGTTTTATTAACATAAAAAGACATTGGGCCATGAGGTAGGTTAACGCAAAACAAGCTTTTACCCTCTTCAAAGCTCCCTCTCTCTCACACACATAAACACACACGCATGCCTCCCCACCCCAAATGATGCACAAGACAATACACAAAAGCTTTAAAACAACCATACAGAATTACAGTACAACTTCCTACTCCGATGGAAGAATCTGCAGCTTCAATGCACTCAGGCGGGGTTTTCACAATGCATCTGAGTAGACAGTGTTCATACCCAATGCAACCCCAGTTTATTAGAACTGAGGATGCTTCCAAGTTGGGGCAGACAGAATTGTGAAAAAATATCTGAAACATGCAGGAAGCAGGTTAATTTGGCCTGCTTGTCTGCATTGGCTCACTGGTGAGTTGCTTTCCTCAAGTCTGCCTGCTGAACAGGTGAGCATACGTACATAATTCAGTCCCCAACCCTTTGGTGGAAAAGCACAATGCATATTAAGACTGCATGTGCACAGTATATTAATCTGTGAGTGAGAGGAAGAAGAATTTGAAGGGTGCTTGGTACCTCTCCAGTGAGACATGGACAGGTCTATTTTGATGCACACAGATGAAAGCTTCTGTCACACAGCGACAGGGATTAAATTAATGTCCATGAGTAAACTGAGTGGGTCAAAAGATCCAGTGGAAATTCAAGTTGATCAAATCACAGAAAGACAGTTCTCTCTTGCCTCTTCCTGAGCTGATGATAATGACACCATGTGGTACATCTGAGGGAAAGTGTCATTTTCTGTGACCACTACCAGCTCATGACTGGAAAAGGACAAAGTAAACAGATCCACATGCCAATCTCAGTTGGGTATTTACCACTGTGTTAAGGGTCTAGTGTTCCAGTTTCTTAGTTTAAGCTGGAATACAGAAAGGATGCATTCTTCCAAACTCACAAAATTCTTGATACCGCAGGGAAAAGAAGATTGTAATAAGTTATTGTTCTGTCACCACTTTGTACAGGTGCACATTAATACAACAGAAACATTCCTTTGTATGTTATGTCAGAAGCGTCTGTGATCTTCAAAGTGGCAAAAACCAATGTCATGACTGTCTGGCAGCTGAAAATGAAAACCTTTGGTGATTCCACCTCTGGGGAGAAAGCTGAGAAATACCACATGTGCTCAACGACAAGGTGGATCTTTTTGCCGCCTCTCAAACCCACTTATCCCTCTTTAGGGGGGGTGAAAAAAGCTCTCTGTCCATCACTGATGGGAATAAGAAAAAGAAAACCAGTACTTCATTAACACTCAGAGCCACAAATATCCTCTAAAATCATGACAATCAGCCATGCAGGAAATACATCCAGGAAGCTGCTGGCATGTTCCAGTTTCCTCTTGTAGATGTCACCAATGAGACTTAAACTACAAGCCATACATAGGAAGCTATGGCAGAAATGGGTGTGGCTTTATCAGGTGATGGAATAAGAAATTTTGCAGAACTTCTCCCACATCTCACTGCCTCGTATCTCCTAGGAGAGGTTGAGAAAGTCCTGCTTTGATGCCCAATGAAGTCTGACTGGAGAAATGCTTTCAAACCTGAAAACTTAGCCATCTTTTTTCGGACGGCGACACTTCATCAAGCTTCATTTTGTCACTCAGTGACACTGTAAAATCCTATCAGGCAAGTATATAGGATGGGAAATGGGAGGGAAAAGAGATTCTGCAGTACCATTCAACTGCCACCCATTTGCTGGTGCGGAATATAAAAAACCAGGGTTACCCTCTGTTCCTGTGCCCCTGAGAGTGCAAGATTCCAGTGGGAAGATGATCATTGCTTCCTAGCCTTTGTAAGCCAGGCTCAACAAGGGCACCACTGCTGGTCAGCCCTGCTGTGGCTGCCATGCCTAGTCTTCCACCAGTTCTAGATTGTGCTGTTCAGTAGCTTCCTCACACTCCAGAGCTTCACAGTCCAGTCACTGGGGAATAAAGACAGAAGGGTGAGAATGTGAAGCATGCAAAGTGGGAAGCAAAACATTGTACAGGTTGGGGAAAAGGAAGTCAGAGCAGTAGTAACAGAGCAATGGACTAAACCTGCTCCCATCTCTACTGTCCTGGAATGCCCAATGGCATCATCAAGGTATTGGTGCTCCCCTCAAACCAGCTCCCTTATGGATAGTGATACAGAAAGAATTCCACATGCTGGTAAACGGGATGCCTGTGGCTCTGTCTCATGTAGCCTGGATCCCCACCAACCCTTACATCCCAATTCTAAACAGATTTCTTTTTTTTTTTTGGAAACAAGTTGCTCTGATTTCAAGGGACACAGGTTCCAAGCTAAGCGTTCAGCCTTACTAATTAAACCAAACTGGCAAGTCAGGAAGATAAAAGAGCTGGGTTTTCACAAGCCACTTTAGAAGTGGGCTGGGGAGTGATGTCTCCCTTGGAAAAGGGCACCCTAAAGGGAAAGAAAAGCAAGTAAGCATTGCATACCGTTAAGAAGCAGCTGAGATCAGCTTGTAGAGGGGAGGGGTGCAGGGAGGAGAAAAAGAAGGGGGGAGGGAGAACACAGCGAGAAAGAGTGAGCAGGAGGGGCAGAGAAGACAGGAGGAGGGTCAAGGCAGACTGGTAGCACGGCCCTTGATGGCAAGGACGCGTCGTGGAAGGCAGGGGGTGAGCCCAGGCACGTAATTCCATAACTTTACCCGGCAGTCACTGTGGCAGATAGAGACAGAGAGAGAGGAAGGCAGAAAAGGAAAAAAGAAACACAGTCGGAAAAGAGGAGCTAAGAGACTCCGTAAGAGAGGGAAAGTGAGCGATGTGGTCTAGGCTGCCCTGCCAGGGACAGTCTCTTTTGCCAGGCCTTCGCTACTTGTGAGCATTCCATTCCTAGCTCTGCCAGAACCTCCATGTGATCATGGCAGATGATCAAACACGGCTCTGTCTCCACTCTCAAATTACTAGAATGGGCCACTTTTCCTCTCGGGGAGGCACCCTCGGGTACTCCCCACTCAGTCATATTCAGTGCCTTGCTATAGAAAAGAACCTTCTGTAGGGCTGGTTCCAGCAATCTCCCTTCACTGCACAAGCAAGGAAGGGAAGTGAAAAGTGCAGGGTATCACTGGAGACAGAGAAGGAGCCCCTAAAATAACAAACCACCACAAAATAATGTTGGTGGGTCTGAAGGAGGCAAAGCCAATTGCTGTGGCACATCCTGCAGTTCTGAGACAGACACATCTGTACTGGGCGAAGGGCTCAAGGAGCACCGCAGTAACAGAAGCAATGCCTTTCTATGGCTCTTCCCTCAAGCAAGGCCTGCTGGCAGCCCAAGGACACTTTGTTACCTTGAGTAAACTCCCTGGGATAGGATGGGGATGGAGTGGGCAAAGAGCGGAAGCTCTTCTTGTGGGGCAAAGAGGACTCCAGCCCCACACACTCACCTGGATGCTGTGAATATGTGCTTTGAATTGGTGCAGATGGCATTGATGGGACTGTCATGCCCCTTAATGTCCCCAACAGGAGTGAAGTTGTCGACATTCCAGACCTTCACCGTCCCACCACGGCAGGCACTCAGCAACATGGGCCGGCTGGGCACAAAGGCCAAAGCACAAACCCAGTCTTTGTGCGCATTGGGGATTTGCTAGAAGTGGGACGAAATTATCTGAATTAGCAAAGGCCTGTTGTCAAACAAAACATTCCCTTTACAAAAGCCTCTGAGGGAGCGGGTTAGGTTAAAACAAACATAAGACAGAAGACTGGAAACCAAACAAGAGACGAACATCTATAGACTGATACTCATTGTAGGATCTGTGCCCTGGCATTTGGAAGGACTGTGGTACAACAGGCGTGTGAATGAACTCTGGTTTTAAAAATTAAACTCAGAAATAGTCTACAAAATGGCACAGATGATGCTGGGCCTACCTGTGGCAATTACCAGTGATGTCACTGGCACTGTTAATAAAAACAGCACACCCACATTCCCCACAGCACCTATGACGATGACTTTGACTTGCAAATGTTGGGGGAGGCAGAACAGCTTTTCCCAGGAACAGAATGTTGTGTTTTCTGTGTTTGGAAAACTGCTCTCTATCCTAATAGCCATTACACTAATTTGACTAAGGGACTTGTTGAGATCAGTATACTAGTCCATACCAAATGCCTGCAGGTAACCCAAGTGCTACAGATAGATCTGGAATGTCTGTGCAGTGCAACTGTACGCAGAACACCACACTTTATCATTGACTCCCTCTTGACTGTCTGAAACAATTTTTGGAGAAGTCATTCAGGGATGCCAGCAAGTGATTCTCTGGTCCCTGCTCCACAGATGGAATTTAGGCAGCATCTGCATGTCAGCATCTTCACGGCATAAGATGCTACATGAAATCTCTCTCTCTCTCTCTCAGCCTTCCCCCTTCTCCCCATTCACCTACCCTAGACCTCATTCAGTCACTCCTCACCCTCCATACCTGGATGAGCTCCTGCTGCTCCAGGTCCCATTTCTTGATCCCGTTGTCCCTGGAGCCACTGAAGAGAACATCTCCCTGAATAGCTAGGCATTCAATGCCATCATAATGTGGGGGTTCAAAGTTGTGGGTGGGGCCAACATTCCCACCAACACCTTCTGCGATTTCAAACATCTGCAAGAAAAGAGATCTCAGAGAAGCTGCCAATCAGAACGCACTCTCCAGTCTCACACTATCTCTATCAAAACCTACTCTCCAGCCTCAGGCTCAGTGCCCAACCCCTGCCAAAGAAGGAGGGATAGTGAAACTGCAACAGAGCCCTACAGGCAACCCTTCCCCTCCTAAGCACTCTCCCCCCCTCCCCATCAAGAAAGGAAGGTATGTTACCAGGAAGAAAAATATCTAGAGACAGAAATATGGATTAGCAGCAGGAACTGGGCTTCTGGCCACTTGCATCATGATAGGGCTAGTTCCAGGATATTTTATAGGAAGGGGTGTGGGAAAATGGAACCCAAGTCACTATCAGACTTGGGTTCGCCTCCTCCTTTATCTTCTGTACCTGTAGTCTTAGCAACTTGTTTTTTGTACCCCACACTCCCCTTTCTCCCTTCCCACTTTTTCCCTTGGCTAGAGCAAATGCACCCAGGCATCCGCTTATCGCTCACCCTCGCTGACATTCCTGGTGGGAAAGGGAGAGGGAGAGAGACTGTGTGAATGTCTGTAGTGTAGGGAGGCAACGCTTGTAACCTTTTTTCCCAAGCAGCACCTCACGGAACTTTCGCATGAGAGTGCCCTTGAAGAAGATAAGACTGTTGAATGGCTAGATGAACCATTGTATCTGTCTGAGTTCATAGATTTGCTTAGACTTATGATTGCGTGACATATGCATGGAATGTGGTTTTTAGTTATACACTGGGTTCCCACCTCTGTTCCTCAGTTCTGACAAAGAGTTCACTTTTCCAGCATCTCAAATCACTTTAATAAACTTCCTCTCAAGAAAGCCTGTGTGGAGAGCGACGTGACTGGGAACATGACAGTCAGCAGCCCTCTTCAGCTATAAATGCTGGTGATACTGTTATAGTTATTGCATAGTTCCCTCTTTGTTTTCCAATCCATTCCCAATGAGCCGTCAGTTATCTATCAATAAATGATAGCTGTGTGGTACTTAGCATGGTCTAAACAGCATGATGAATTTGCCCTATACCACCTGCCTTTTAAGACAGCTCTGTTCCTCTCTTGTTAAAGAAGCAGAATGGAGAAAGGATGGATTTCAGCTTCAAGGACCAAAACAAATCGCCAGTTCTACTTCATCAGTAAAGTAAAGGTAAAGGTCCCCTTGCTTGAAAGCCAGTCGAATCCGACTCTAGGGTTGCGGTGCTCATCTCCGTTTCAAAGCCGAAGAGCCAGCGCTGTCCGAAGACGTTTCCATGGTCATGTGGCCGGCATGACTAAACACCAAGGCGCACGGAACACTGTTGCCTTCCCACTGAAGTGGTACCTATTTATCTACTTGCAATTTCTTGCTTTCGAACTGCTAGGTTGGCAGGAGCTGGAACTAGAGATGGGAGTTCACTCCGTCATGCGGCACACTCGGGTCTCAAACTACTGAACTACTGACCTTCCACAGCCTGCAGTTCGGCGTCTTAACCACTTGAGCCACCGCATCAGTACCAGACTATTAATATGCTAGGCAGAGGGAGGGCCTTTTCTGTCGGTGGCACCTCCTCTTTGGTATTCCACCACTGTTGCTCACCTGGCACTTAGATTTTCTAGATGAAATCTCTGTTCAGGCATTTTGTTGATTTTTTAAAATAATTTTTGTTGCTTCTTAGCTAGCTTTCAATTAGAGATTTTGACACTGTAAACAATGGATTTTAGTGTTTGACTGCCGAACTTTCTTGTACTGTGCAAGCTCCCTTTGTCTAAGAATAATTGCGGGAGTTTTTAGAATCAGCAAACAATATGTAAATTAATGTACATTAATAAAATGAAAGAAATACCTAACATATGACACCAGAATAACTGAGACACTGATTAGACCCATGAAGATTGGATCCAGGGCTCTCTGTTGGGACAGAAGGTCTTTTCTGCAGCTTGACTGAAACACCCAGTCAGCAGTAGACGTTTCTATTGGAACACAGACTGTGAATGTAAAGGTACTGGTGTTTTTAAAATACTGCAGAAACACTATTCTGATAGCATACCACTGATATCAGACCAAAAAGCTTATTGCCCTAGAGAGGACAGGAGATGGGATGGCGAAGAAAACCACATAATGCAATGCTCTTACAAACGCTGCCCATGGAGCCCTTGGCAAACTGCCTAATACCTTGACATAGTGGTCTTTGGATCCCGTGATGATCAGATCATGGTTGTTTGCAGTCTGGTTCACTGTGAGGCACATCACAGGCCCAATGTGGCCTGTCAGTTTCCCAATGGGCTGCAGTCTGGCCAAAAAAGGAAAAGATATGAGAAGACCAAATGTTGACAATGTACCCCCCTTCCTTCCTTCTCTCCAACACAGCCAGCCCCAGAAACAAAGGGCCCTACAGATATAATTGCTAAGCTAGAAGCCCCACCTAAATAGTTTGGCTATTTAAGAAGTTTTGGCACAGCCACAGCCTTTTGCCATTCTGTTCTAAAGATTCTCTGCCAGTTTGTTTCCAGGAAAAATTCAAAGTCCTAGTTCTCACCTTTAAAGCCCTAAACGGCTTGCAGCAAGGGTACTTGAAGAACCCCCTGCTCCCATATTGTCCAGCCTGCCAATTAAGACCTGCCTAATAAGCCCTGCTCTCTGTGCCTTCAGAAGCGATGTGGGTGGCAACCAGAGACATGGCTTTTTCAGCAGTGGCACCTCGCTTGTTCTGCTTCAGGCTCACTGGGCACCTACATTGCTTTCTATTAGGTGCCAGGTCAAATGTTTCAGATAACTCAGGATTTTAATGAAGGGGTTGATTTATTAACACTGTTTTGGCCTGGAAACTGTGGTCTAAACTATCTGTAGTCTATTTTTACTATCTATGTTTTTATGCTGGGCTGGAGCTTTTTTGTGTGCTGGATTTTACTTAATGTTTTAATTTAATGTTTTGTTCTTATTGTTTTTATTTGGGAAGATGCCTCAGGCAGGTTCTGGGAGAGGCAGCATAAAACTATTCTAAATAAATAAACAAATTGAACATAGGTTGGGGCTATGGGCAGGCCATATGTCTCCTTCTAATAAAACACCCAGGCAGGAAGAATACTGCTGCTGCTCTGTCATTCCTGATCTGCATTGCCTTCCATAAGATGTTTCTGGATTCCACCAATAAATCTAGCTTTGGGTTTGCCCTCTGACCTGTTCAGCTCCCAGATGCGGACGGAGTTGCCGGTGGCTGCATAAAGCACGGTCCCTGTAGGGTTGAGTGCAATCTGGTTGATCTGGTGCTCGCCTTGTACACTGGTGATAGTGCGGGTAGTGGTGCCAGCACAGGCATCCCCAGAAATCACTTGGCCCGATGAGCTAAGCACAGAGAAAGAGAGACTGAAATAGAAAGACAGGACCTCACAGTAGCTTCAACGGAGTCATCTAGATGGGAAAAGGAAGAAACTGTGCATGGGCAGAGACAGTCCAGTGGGATCACAAGGAGAAGTTCAAACCCCTTCCTTCTAGCTTGCGGGCAATTCTAACAGACTGAAATAAAAATCTATGAGGATGTTAAGAGGCAGTGAATGGATGTGGTCAGGTGGGGATTTGGAAATGTGGCTGTCTGGCTGGTGTATAGGAAAAGGGACTGCACACTGTGGGACAGCCAAGTACTCATCTAAGAATGCAGGCAAAGTTCAGCTGCACCAGACGAGGAGTCAGTGCAGGCATAATGCTACCCAAAGGCTAGCCACAGTTTAACTACTGGGGATAGATAATAAGGTTACACACTGAATTCTCCATGCCTAACTTAACCATGGTTTGGCGTAATATATAATTGTTGCTAGTGATAATTAAGGGTGCTTGAAACTCCTGTTCAGAAACTCAACAAGGCCAATCAGAACTTACAGAAACTCTCAAGTGCAACATGGGGAGCTTCCGACTACTTACGTGAGGGTTCGAATGCACTTTGCAGAGTCCCGGATGTCCCACACTTTGATGTAAGAGGTAGAGACTGTGAATACCAGGCCAGAGAGGCTGCAGTACTTTATGGAGACTACATTATTTGGATGTCCTTTCAAAGAGGCAATTTCCTGACCAGTCACTAAGTTCCACATTTTGCAGCTCCGATCTTAACAAAATAAGAGAATACTTAAATTATGCCAGTGTTGATCCTATTCCCAACAGAGAGTCAGAAACAACCTCCTTATAGTAAGGCAACAAGATATCTCAGCAGGTATGCTAAGATTGCCCGTTTGTCAGACATGTCTGTAAAATGTGAACACACAGAAATTAAGATGGGAAACAACAATTTTTAATTCAATCATTAGTCCCTATAAAAGTAACTATTAAATTTGAACATTCTAACAAATGCATATTTTCTTTTTCCCCATACATATATGTGGCGTTAACAGATGTACATTACTGGTTGCCATCAGTACCTTTACCATACCTGTCTTCTTATGGTATATGAATGACAGCCTCCTCATAATAGAACATATCTTTGCTATATATCGGCCCCGGTCACACGGAGAATTTGCCGCGCAAAAGGCACGAATGTCAGGCAGATTTTTGGGGCACGATCACACTGCACCATCTGGGAAGCGTAGCGCACCTGTGGCCAACCCATGGCCTCCCGCCGAAGATGCGGAGTTAAAAAGTACCAAGGAAAGTGCACTAGTATCCGGAAAACGTGTGGCACAGGCGGGCGTCTGATCACGGGAGCATTAGTATCCCGTGGTATCCGGCACCTGTCCACATCTCATCGCAAACCAGATGTTTTTCGTAAGCGCATGCGCACAAACACGAAACTGAAAGCAGTGCTGCTCCGTAGAACTGCGCATGCGCACAAACGCAAAACGCTTGTGTGATCGCGCCGCACCACTTCTTGCCCCGCTGCAGCATCGCCGTGTGATTGCCAGCAAACAGCCTAAGCACTCAGGGGACCATGTGATCGAGCTACCGCGCTTTATTTTGCTCCGGGGTGAGCAGCCATGCCTCCCCCCTGTGTTATCTGGCCCGTGTGACCGGGGCCGTCTAATGGCATCATGTATGGCTACAATAGGAAGGCCACTCAAAACTGCCACCACGTATTCCATATAGTGAACGAATGCATGAGGCTAAGCACACGGAGTAGCCCCCATGCAGTTTGCTTATACAGGCCCACAAACTGCCACAAGGAATATTTGGCAATAGAGAGAAATAACATGGTGGATTGTGCTGGCACTTAATGATTGTGCTAGCACTTAAAAAGGTACAAAGTTCTGTACAAAAATTATCACAAACAAATTCTTACTTAGACTCACATTCTAAAAACTGCAGCACACAGTCTCACCACATGAAGTCACCTCACACAGAAGCGGTTTCATGTGCTCTGTGCACAGCAGTCTTAATCTGACGAAGCAGCCCCAAGAGCTGAAAACATTAGCATGTTCAGTGTAAACTGATACAACATTTTCATACAAAAAAAAGAAATACAAAACTGGGCATAAGGATCTCTTCTAAAAGCAGCCCTAAAAGCTGATTTTCAGGAAAAAATTAATGCTTCTTTTGTTGACACATGTATACAAAATCTATATCATGGCACATAACTACATCTGACTGAGCCTAAGTAAGGCTTTGCTCACTTAGCAGCCAGACCCATGTGTGGTGTGTCAGCAGAGCCCTCTGCCAGGCAGAACCAGAGCAGAAGGACAACCTTCTACCTAGTGTGGCATGCATCTTATTGCTCTTTTAAAAAAAAGAAAAGAAAAGCAACCACTGCAATTCATGGTAGAAAACTAGCTGGTAGGAAACATGCTTTCTTTTTTCCTCTGAGCTATTTTCTGCTCAGAATCACCTTCATAAACGATTTTTCACTCAAGGAAAAAAAAGGGTACAGGGACTGCTTTCTTTACACCTGAGTCGAGAAAAGTTGCCTGAGAGAAGGTGATTTTAAATGGGAAACTGGGACAAGGGCAGAGATCGATTTGGGGGGGATCGCGGGGGATCGCAGTTCCCCCGGGTGAGGTGGGGGGCGGGGGAACACGATGAAGCCCCGCCCCCTGCTTCCGGCTGCCCCGCTTCCGGCCCTCATTCAGCCAGGAGGAGGCAGGAGAAGAGGGAGGGTAAGTTGCTTCCTCCCCGCCTCTCCCCACCCCTGCCTGCCTGGGGCCAGGGAGGGCCTTGCAGGTCCACCGCTGGGCCCCTGATGTCAGGGGGTGTGGCACATGCTAATGAGTTATGCTAATGAGTTCCCCTAGCTCTTTTTCTACGAAACGACCCCTGGACAAGGGGAAATGATTAAGCAGTCTCCATTTCCTCCTTGAGACCTTCCATTCAAAACTAGTCTCCCATGGCTTCTTTTCATGTCACTGCCTGTCATGTATAGTGTGACCCTGATGTGCCAGACTGTCTTACTGGCCTTTGTAAAATTTAGGACTACAGCTTACACATGGAGCCTGCCAAAAAGCTCTTACCCATGGCAAACCACCACGCAGAGGGCACAATATTTACATTCCTCTTACCTCAAAGTGCCCACTCAAGTGCATATAGCCAATGGTGTGAAGGAACTTTATGAATATTGGGGCTGATGTGTGGCATTAAGCTGCTTTTAAATCTGATGTCCATCATATGAGTGCCACCACAAGGAAATGCTTTTCAGCATTTCAATATTTGGGCTACAATATTTAAATCAACCCTAGGCCATCAGGAGCAATGTGTGCCCTTTCTCAAACATACCTTTGGATCCAGTGAACAGCAGTTCATCAGTAGCATCCAGGCACAGAACAGGCTTGGTGTGACCTTCTGCCACAGAGATGCATTGCAGTGGGGCTGTGCGGGCACCCCTGGAACCTCCCACGGGATTAATGATGCCCCTTGCATGGGAGAAAGTGACAACGACTAAGGAGAAGCACTTCTGAAGCTGGAATAATCAGATTTCGTAAGAGAGACCTATCATGCACTGGGGAATTCACGCTGCTCAGGAGACATGGCCTGTTAGGAGCCCAACCCACAGCAAGCATTGGAAAAAGAAAGGCAGGCAGGCACATGCAACATCAGGCTGAAGAGCAGTTCACACCATTCTGGTCATAATCTTCAGCAATATTAAAGAGAAGGTTTAATGAAATCTGATTTGGTTTTGCTCTGAAAGACTATGGGGGTTAAAGAGGGTATAACTATTTCAAATGACTCCTTGGCCCAATAAGAATATCACATCACCTCCTCCTGATACAAACTGATCTTAAGGAAAGTCATACAAAAGCCTTTGACAAGTGGGATCTCCTCTCCCTACCCTAGACATAGCTCCATCTTCAGTAGTGCATGCAATAAGGGGCACACGATGAAGCCAGTGGCTAACATGGAACTATTTCCTTCCAGGTCCATTCCCCCCCCCCCCCAGCAATAAGTAATACATTTTCTGTTTTGAATACAAAGCACAGAGAACAAAACAATTTGCCTAAAGGTCACACTGTAGTAAGAAAGAACTGGCATCATAAAAGCAGAATGTCCAAAAGAATTTAAAAGGCATTTGGAGCCTAGGCATGATGAACCTTCAGCCTTTAATACTCAGTTGGCTGCTGGCTTTCAGCATATGACCCTAAGGGAAATGGCAAACCAACTGCACTCCTTCACGTCTGAGTCCACCAAGCAAACAACAATGAGACCTAGGTTTCCACTGGAAAATGCAAACAGTGTGGCTGAGAAGTCTCTTAAGGTTCATTGCAATGGGAGGAAGTGAAAGACAGACCACAGCATCTCAAAACAACTTCTGTGGGCTCCTATCAAATGCCAGCAAGAGGGGATTTCATCATCATTCCTCTGTGTGTGTCTGATGTGAATTTTACTGAATGTGCAGCACTGACCATGCAAATGCTCCTAAGCCCCATCAGCCTTTCAAAACACCAGCATCTCTTTGATCATGAATAGGGCTTACAAATTCTGCAGATTTTTGTGCCTGTCTGTTGAACACCAATCTTTGTGCCATCATATGCATATCCTCCACCACTAGCTTGATTGAAGATGCATACAAGCACTTAAAAGTCAGAAGGGTCACTCTGATTGGAATGCTTTGCTTCAACAATGCCAGCTGAATGATGCCATTAGAAAGGGATTTAAATCAAGCAGCAAATAACGCTTAAGAAACAAAGCCCATTAGCAGTAAAATAAAGGACTGAAATATGTGAGTAATTACTCTTATGCAACAGCAGTGCAAACTGAGGGGTGAGGAGATAAGCATCTTTCAGCACCAGAAACTGTCTAGAAGAATGTTCTTCAGGAAACCTGCACAAGCCCAGACAATATGGGAATAGCAGCTGCTATCAGCACTTAATACAAAAAGGCCACCTACCATGCTCTGCCTTCTTCACAAATGATGCAAACTTCCTGGCTGTGCTTAACTGAATCTCATGGTGGGACAGAGCAAAAAACAATAGAAGCTCTCCCTGTATGCCTTTCCCCCCTTTGAATGACCTTTGTAAAATTTGAACTTTCTTTTACATTTGATCTATGCAGAAGAAGGGAAAGCCATTTCTATCCAGTACAGTACAGCTTTAGCACAGGACCCTGGGAACATAACTGTTGGTGCAGTCTATTATTCTGCACTCACAACTTCCAAAGTTCTGATACCAGAATAGTCACAATACGAGTTTAGAATGCATTATCAAAACTAGAAAAATATTTATGCATTCAGTCTGTATAATAAGAATAAGGATTAAAGAGGAGGATTGGACTTTTGGACTTAAATACTACATTGGGAAGGTGAACTTGTCCTGTGGGAGAGATCCAAAGGGCAGTGCAAGCAAGACGGTGCATGGAAGAAGGCCTGGCAGAGACTCGGAAAGGTCAGGAAGCTACAAGTTGTGAAGAAGTTCTTGACCATCATGAAGCTGGAGCTGCCTGCACATTTTCCAATCCTTTCCTGTTGTTGTAAGGCCTAGAAACTGCTCATGATGCTAAAATACATGCCATCATTCAAAAGCTAGATTCATTCCAGCCATATTACCCCAGGGTTAGGAGCTGACAATATGCACAGGTACCAACCATTAAAATTGTTAGCTCCTAACCCTAAGTACTATTAAAGGTATGCAACAGCAGATGATGTGGCTGGCCCAGGTCAACCAATGTGCAACTTCTCTGTCCTGGGAAACAGGCTTCAGAGTGGTCGTGCTAACGTGGTACTTAACTGCATGATCTGCCCAAGCTATGTAGGCAGGGATTGCTGGCATTACCCTTGAGAAGTGTGGGAGCAACCACAGGGGGAAAAATAAGCACGTTGCGCCAGGTGGCCTATGGAGTGAGCCTGATGGAACATTCTATTATTCACCTGGGAAGACAAACTGGGTATTCAGCAAACAGGAGCGGCACAAAGAAAGAAACACCACACTGGGTTTGGTTGCATGCAGGTTTTCTATGCAGGGAAGGGGAAGAATAAGAAAGAGGAAGACAAGAAGAGTTACATAATAAATAGTAAGTTTTATACCTCAGCACCTCCGAGACAGAGGAGTCACTGTCATCTGACCTAGGGACAGAAAATTAGCAGGATTATGGGTAATTAAAACCAGGAGAAGGAAAGGGGGCAGCAAAGTCAGAAAAGGGGAAGGTGGTTATTGCATCCAAGCTAGCAGGGCAGACAGGGGACGGCAGACCACAGACAGAAAGGGCTCAGGAGCAGAGGGGGCAGGAGCAGAAACCTTCTTGCACTAACCGTTTAATCACTTAGCAAGCTTATCTTCTCAGCCTTAAGGACCAGAAACTTGCTTTTTAAGAAACAAATGCAGAGTTTCTAGGGATTGTGAAGTCTGCATGTCATCCAAATTTTTTCTGCACTCTTGTGGAGAACCACAGACTATGCGCAAACCTGGGAATGCCTAGGCAGGGCTGCTGGGGAGCACTGGGTGGTCTGTTTCTAAGCAACATCTGTTGCAGCTACCATGCCTCCCTTACACAGTGAGATTGACATCCTGATACTTTTGCAGAAGACATGGTGGAGACTGCTCCTGCCAGGTGCTTTTAATACCATGCCAGTTTCCTTAAGCTCAAGGGGCCTTATGTTACAGACATCCGTTGTTTTCATCAAAGACGCAGCAACTATGCAACAGCTGTCTTACTCAGGAGACAGTGTCAGAAAATGCTCAAGAAAAAGCAGACAAGCTGGTGTTTGGAAGGCAGGGTCCATGTGATCCTTTTTATCGACTGCTATCAGTCACATGGATTACTTGCCCCAACTTGGATGCTATTAGAAAGTGGGGGTTTTCCTGCTTCCCCACAGCAAGCACCTCCCAGGTTTTCCCCATCCTTCCTGTGATCTTTCCCAAACCTGATCTTCTGAGTACTACTCATATCCCCTAATTTTCTGTGCCCCAATTACCCATGGCCATTTCCCCTGTGACAGGGGGGCTTTAAAAAAATGTTGTAATGATCTTGAATATTCTATGAACCCTCAGCTTTATTTTTTTTTAAGGTAAGTCTCTAGGCCGTCTCATTGTGTGATATGCCTTTCCACTTGTACCTCTACACTGACAGGTGCTAGAGACTTACCTTTAAAAAAAACCCTGAAAACTGCAGGGAAATCTGCCATATGGAAGTCCTGCTGCTGCTGTTGTGCTGAATCGACAGCTACAGCAACAATGGGGAAACTGCACAAGCCCGTTCCCCTGTGGGAAATACCATGGTGTTAAGTAACTGGAGGGACTGAGCTGCTCACAGTTTTTCTACTTGATGTACTGGAAAAGGCAGACCAGCCTCCTACTGGGGCAGAAGGACCACCAGATAGTCTGCAGACAGGATCTCCCCACCTCTCTGTCAGTGAACCCTGTTTCTGATGTACTCAGAAAGAGGGGCAATAGGGAGGCTCCTGGTGTTTTTTAAGCTATGAGTTCTGATGAAGGTGACTGCCTTGGGAGGAGACCGAAGTTCAGAAGCCTTTGTGGGATTGTGGCTTGCAATGCTAAGAACACTTTTCCAGGAAGAAACCCTCCTGAATAAAATGGGACTTACTTCTGAGCAGACTTGCTCAGGTTCTTTCCATTTTCCATGTATCCTTACATCTAAGTATATAAGATAGTGGCAAAGGCAAGCAGTTACCTCCAGGACAAATGCAGGTAAGTGCAATATTATACACTACCAAAAGCTGAGAAAACATGAAGTTTTAGTACTAGGTAGAAAGCAGGGTGTGATTGGAAGATATGTGGACCCATATGGTGCTGCTATAGTGGATCCAGTGCTTCCATCGGCACCTCAGTCACCAAATCGTGATGCCCTCCAGTATGGGCACAACCCTTTCTCCCTTCAATACCAGCCAACAGCAATAGCTGGAGTTCCTCCTGTGACCCATCATGCAAGCTGCTGCTGCTGCCAATAGCTGTCACCTGTAACTGCCAATTTCACCACTGATTTTTGCTGTTATTTACTCTCGGATGATGCCATCTTCCCCTAGTCTCACAACTGGTCTTACTTGTCCAGTGCTGAGCCCTGACTCTGGTTGCTGGTGAGGCGGGAGAAGACGTTGCGGTCATTGCGTGGCCTGCTGGGAGGAGATGAGGGGGGAGTGAATCCAACATCTGGTGTCCTGGGTGAGAAAGAAAAGATGCAAAGGGTTGCACTGACGGCAGACTCATTCTGTCCCTGGACCTTCCAGTGCCCATACACTCCCAGTATCATCAAATCTTACAACATCAAGCAGTCCAGCCCTGCATCAACCGCAAAAATGGAAGTCATGCTATCACGTGATCTTGCACACACTCACCTGATGGGCTGGCCCCGGTCATAGGATTTCCTCCTTGTGAGGGGTGATGTGTCTGAGCCACGGGACTGCCTAGGACTGGAGGAAAAGTGTTAGTTTCCAGAGTTAGGCTTCCTTGTTATAACACTAGCCATATGGTTCTCAGAGCAGATGCCACTATTTTGCAGAGCACAGAGTCTCATCATAGATAAGTGTTGGAAATTCTCTGGAACCTAATTTGAATGAGAGAAAGCTCTACAGTTTCAAAAGGGAGGGTGTTTTTTTTTTGCTCTGAAAAGTACACAGACGGACGAATGATTTCAGCTTAGTGTACTTTATTAGATCAAGAACAAGACAAAGTAGCCGGTTCAAAGGCCGGCTTATATCCCCGAAAATCCACCACCCAGAACACCCCCCCACTTCCCAATAGGTCCTAACTAGTGTCCAAGAGTCCCATAGGCTCTCGGCCCGGAGCCTAGCCCTCTGGTTGGTGCGGGCTAGGATCTGCATCGTCCTTTGTTCATCGGAGCAAAGCTCAACGCTTGCTCTTGACTGCATGGTGCCCAAGCTGTGCACGCGGTTGGAATTTGATACATTACATGCTCTGTACTGTTTTTTTCTCCCTCCAGAATCAGCTCCTCCCTTCTCTTCGACTTCACTGTTCTTCATTGAGTTAACTGCCACTTTTCTTCTTCCTCCTCTCTCTCATTATCACTGTGTGTCATACTGAAGTAAAGTTGATAAAGCCTCCTAAGCTTTAGCCAGGATGTTGTTTAAATGGCTTTGTAAATAGTTATTAAACATTGCTTTCTTGTGTGCTCTACAGAAATTTCTCCATGCTGGATTAATTCACAGACATTATTTATCTCTAAGTAGGTGGAATATCTTGCACCTGGTGAGTGCTGGGTTATTACCCCGACAGGAGGATTTCTTTTTCCTCGCTGACAATACACACTTGTCTGAAAGTGCCTTCATATCGAAATCTCTTAGGAAGAAGGGTAGGGTAGAAACATTCCTCCTGCAGATGATGACTGCATTCCTTCTGCCCATGCAAAGTTTATCACATGTTTATCTTGCCCACGGAGCTCAGAGTGGCACACATGATTCTCTGTTACTTCACTTTACCCATACACCAAGGCTGTGAGGTAAGATGGTTTAAGAGAGAGCGACTGGGCCAAGGTAATTCAGCTTCATGGCTGAGTGGGGGATTTGAACCCAGGACTGGCCACTATAACATCCTAAGCATTACACTGCACCGATTCTCTCACTTAGGTAATCCCCTAAGTGAATTTAAAAATAGTACAGGCCCTTGGAAGATGGTACCAAGTGGTACTTGCTAAATATTTGAAGTGGCTCTCATTACCAGTCCTCGCATGTTACTGAAAGCATTATTTCAGCACTCCTGGTCTCCACACAGCAGCCAGCTTGGATGCTTTAGCCTGACTTTGTTCCTGCCAGTTCCCATGGCTGATGGTGACTAGTTCATACAACTTTAGTTTCCACATTCACTGCCACATTAGAATCCTGAGGGGGAAAGGTCCCTTCTTGTACTCCCTACTATGCAGTAACCCACAAACATAGGAAGTTGACATTTGAGAGAGGCCTGTAGAAAACCTGGAGAGAATTATATTAGTTTGAGACATGATTTAAATACAGCACTTGCTGAAGCAGAAGGACTTACCCAGGGGAATTTGCACTCACACAGTGTCTTGTTTAAACTGGGCAGCTACCTGTGCAAAACAGCTACATGCAGCATGATGCATAGCTGCTTTGCATGGGTAGCAGCCCAGTTTAAAGGAGATGCTGTCTGAACTTAAAGACCCACAGGGGAGTGCTTTTCCCTCAGTCAACATCAGATTTAAATCAGGCGAGAGCCAATGAAGAAGGGCTTATGGAATCAGAAGTCACCTATTTTGCTCTGCTGCAATCAAGACTTTGCTAGCAAAGGAGGAAGTTGACTCTGGCCCCAGAACCATGCACCATTCTCTGTTGCCTCTATGCCTATAGCCTCTCCACTTCAAAATGAAGAGGCCATTTATCTGAGTGTCATGAGGATTACTCAAGTACTGTCTGCAGAAGTGGCAGTGAGATATAACTAAACAAAATAAAAGTACCGCATCTCAAACTTCTAGGTCAATGACCAGCTGCTCCCCAGTCAAACAGGGCCTACGCTACTATGACTTACAAAGTACTCCCTCGAGTGGGCAGGCTGATAGTGCGAGAAACCTTCTCCTTGTAGTAAGCATCACGAATGGAAAAGCCAACTCCATCCTCTTTGATCTCCATCAGAGATGCCAATGACTTGGTGATGTTCTTGGTGGAGATATCCAGCATGGGCCCCAGGCACTCTGCAGACACAGCCTTCATCTGGCCAGACAGCTTGGGCTCTCCCTAAAACAAAGACCCAAGAGGCATGAGTCACCACAAAAAGCACACTAGCTAGCGGATGAATATCAAAGCGATTCCTAGGCTAGCAGTGCAGATGCTACCCAGAACTGGAAAACGAGCACTTCTTCGGCCCCGTTCACACGGAGAAGTTGCCGTGCTAAAGACACGAATGACAGGTGGATTTTTGGTGTGCGATCACACCGCAATATCTGGGAAGCGTAGTGCACCCATGGCTTCCCGCCGAAGATGCGGAGTAAAAAACTACTGCAGAAAGTACACTAGTTTCCAGAAACTGCGGGGCAGGGGCGGGTGTCTGATCACGTTTCCGCTTGAATCCTGTGGCATCCGGTGCCTGTCCATGTCTTGTTGCAAACCAGATGGGGTTTTTTAGTCTCCACAAGATGCGCACAAACACCCAACGGTGCATGCGCAAACATCGGTGGGGGGGGAATTCCCATTTGCCACGGAATTGCCTAGCGATTGCTGATGTGATCGTGCTGTGCCGTTTCTTTGCCATGCTTCAGGATAGCCATGTGATCGGCACCTGATGGCCTAACCACGGGAACTCGACGGGATGTGTGATCGGGCTGCCGCGCTTTACTTTGCTCCGGGGCAAACAGCCACGCTCCCCACCCCCCCGTTTTCCGGCCTGTGTGACCGTCTTGGTCAGTTTTCTCTTTCTCAGACTGTAAAACTAGCTGCTGGGCAGTCTTCGTAAAACTAAATCACCTGCTCCAGTTCTGCATTTAGTATGGAAAACAAAAGAGCCCTAGTCATGTTGCATTGCCCCCATTCCACTGGATTTCAAGTAGGCCCGTATAGGAGGTAATAATTTGGGTGGCTGCACTAAGGAGGCAGAGAAATGAGTGGAAAAGACACATCAGGGCTTTGTTTTAATTTCATTTGTTGGATTTACCAGAGCAGGATAGTAATGGCAGTAACATCTGGATTTACAACACTACTACCTCTAGTGGCAAAATTCAGTATAAAGATTTTATCTAGGCTCCAATAAAAACTGGGGGTGAAGTCAAAAAAAGTCAAAAGGCAGCCACTGAGGCTCCTCACTGGTCATAACTCCATGGCATAAGAATGGAGCTGGACCAGTTGGCTCAGATGGGCACTAAAAACAGTGGAGAAACCTCTGTCCTGAGCCTGAAAGGAAGAGGAAGGAGACAGATCGTGGATGGGCAATACTTTTGAAAGAAGGTCTTTCTTTCCCCCTTGGTTAAACTTCCTTGTGGAGGCACTCCTTTCTGCCTGCTTACATTGTATTTTGAATGGTGTCAGGAAATAAATGTCTTAAAAACAAATCTCATTGCACAAGTGCCTTCATCAAAATGCCCAACCTTGTGAGAATGGTGCCAATTGTTTATATAAACTAAACATGCTATGATGGATACCTGCTTCTTCTCTTCTGTGAGGCAGATTTTCCTGCCAAAACACTGTTCCCCATTCTGACTGAGCAGCCTCTTAGTAGTGTATTTGAACTATATTATTATTATTATTATTTATTATTTATTTGATTTCTATCCCGCCCTCCCGTTTCTGCCTGTTCCACTCTGTGTTAAAGAAGTTATTTGGCTTTTGCCCAGGCCAGAGATTTATTGTAACTCAGCAGAAACCCTCTTATAAAACCCTTTGGAAATGGCACTTGACATGAAGTAAAGTTAAAACAAAAAGGGTGATTTTATTGAACAGGCACAATTGAATCAGGAATAGGCCAGGGGATGAGAAGTTGAGGTAACTGTTGTTGACAATACAGATTAGAATATTCTGAACAGGAAACAGAGTATAATTGAAGCTTATTTTCTTAGAGACTATATTCTTGACTGTGAGAGGTTTGTTTATCTTTGAGATTTCTTTCAGCAACAATGTGTCCTAATAAAGTTTCATAAACCTATCTTAGTTTCCTGGAAGTTAGTGCTTTTTTCCTGTATTTGAGCAATTCCCTTCTGGGATTATAACTTTCCCTTTTTTACTCTTGAGGAGTTTAAAACCGTTTCCCTTTTTACCAGGGGTCCCTTCTGAGTTGAACCTTCTGAATAACTGGGTAAGAAATACATTTCTCTTTCTAGGAGTGATAATCCTTTTCTGTTTGGCTAGACTGGCAGTTTCCAACCTCCTGTTCAGTCCCTTCTGTCAAACCTAAACCCCAGTTCTGGAGACTGTGAATAAACGGAATTCAGATAGGGCTGACACTAAGATAGGTTTATTTCAGATGGGCTGTTTAGTCCGCTTTCGGCACACTTCAGTAACGGATTTTATATTCACATTCACACACCCAACATCTGTGCACCGTCCCCAGCCGTCGCTTTCCGGCTCAAACCCCCTTTAAAATTGAGTATTTTGTTACCAGGTCCCCAAGTGGTGTTTTCCTGATTCTCCGGTTCTAGCCGCACTTTTCTGACGTCTGATCGCTCCTGTGGTGTCGAGCCACTTCCGGTTTAAACCTTCTCCCCGCTCGAAAGCTGCCCGAGGCTTCCACTTTTTGCCCATTTTTTAAATGCGTTGGCAGTGTGTGCATAGGCGGAGCTCCGCCACCATGTTTAGAAAACCAACATTTGAACGGTCACTTGTTTTAGCGTGTAGATGAGTTTGGGATCTCACAGAGGCCATTTTCGGGTCAAACATTTAAACGGAAGTCTTTTGTTGGATGGGTTGGATTGATTTGCCTTGGTGGTTCTGTGCATGCGCCATGATAGTTCCCGCCCTTCTATGGAGGGGCGCCTATGCACATGCGCAAACTGAGGGTGTGGGGAACCGCTGACGCACGCTCCCGCGCATCAGTAGTGTAGATGCCAGGGAGCAACGTGACTGCGCAGTGAGGCGGGATAAGGGAGGTAAGTGTGATCGCAATTATCCAGATCAAATATAATCCGGTTACAACCGGAGCAGTTTAACCTGCTCTCAGCACGCCGTCTGACGCCCTTAGACTTTTAGTTCTGATTTTTGAACTTTCCCTCAATTGTGTTGGTACACAGTAAGGGCAAGGAGTTGTGTCCCTTCAGTTCTCAAGTGACTTGTCCGTTTCCCTCAGACCGACACACACACTTCTGAATGGCAACTGCCAAACCAAAGTCCAAACAAAGACTCACTCCCTCTGACAAGACTTTTCAAAGCTCTCCTCAGCTGGCACTGACCAGTCAGAGAGAAGGGGGGTGCACACAGGCAGCAGCTTGTCAATCAAAGTGCTTTATTATTATCATTGACCCCTAATTTCCCAGCTCTCTGAATCTGAACCACTAAGCATCTTGATCTTTGGAGATCATCACAGATTCATTCAGATCTGCAGCTCTTTGTAGCTATATCCTGTCTAAAACCACATTTGTCATATTGAGGCTTTCAACTTACTCGGCACTTGAAGTCATCCTGACTGGCAGAGCCCTTCATGGAGAAAGACTGGGAAAAACTGCAGGAGAGACAAAAAGAGTATGGTGCACACAAATTTTGAGTAAGAAGTACAGTAAGAAGCCCAACTGCCACCTAATGATCCCTCCTAGTAAAGCCTTGGCCCCACATACCAGACAAGTCTTCTTCATTTCTATATGGGAATATCTTTAACTCCACATTCATCGGGGGGGGGGAGCCCATGAAAGAACAAAACAGTGCTTAAACTGACTTATTTGGGCGCCTCTATTGATCAACAGGTTTAATTAATTTCTACCTTTTCATAGCCACTGCAGGACAGGGGAGATTGCCCAGGGGATGTACTTACCTCCCTTCTGAGGCCATGCTGAATTCAGAGACTTCCTCATCTGTACTGGCATAGCCATTCTCTGCATAAAGCAAAAGACATGTTCAGATCATATCCACTGGCACATAGGCAGGGCCTTTGCCAACTAGGCACTTAGCACAGAGCATGGCCCCCACTGGCTTCACCTAGCTCAGTATTGTCTATTCTGACTGCCAGCAGCTCTCCAGAGTTTCAGGCAGAGAAACTTTTTTACCAACACCTGTTACCTGAAATCCTTTAACTGGAGATGCTAACGACTGAACCTGTGATCCTTCAGCATGCAAGCCATAAGCTCTACCACTGAATCCCACCTTACAAGAAGCCAGTAACTCTTAATGGAAAGATGCTTTTAGGAGAGAATATTGCCATCATCGGGGGTCATTTCCTGCAGGAGCGCACAGGTGCGGAGCTCTGGCAGTAAAGAGCCCAGGGGGCGGGCAGATGCAACAAGCCCCACCCCCTGCTCCCAGCAGCCCTCAGTCAGAGCAAGAAGCAGCCAGGTAAGCTGCAGAGCCCCCGCCCTGGCCCCCCAGTCCAAAACAGTCCAGTGGCACCTTTAAGACCAAGTTTTATTCAGGTACAAGCTCGCCCTCCTCTGTGAGGACAGATCTGCACGTTCCCCCCCCCAATAGCTAGCAATCCAAAACAGTCCAGTGGAGCCTGAGTGGTGGGTGTTGCCTTCTGACACACTTCCGGTGATGTCAGGGTGTGTGGCATATGCAAATAAGTTATGCTAATGAGTTATGCCAATGAGCTCCTGCACCTCTTTTTCTACGAAATGACCCCTGGCCATCATCATGAGTGGATTGCTAAGTGGACATCTGATGCTACCCAGAGAGTAAAAGGGACTGAATCCACATTCCCACCTTGTTGTACATTGTGGATGAGTGCCTGCAGCTCAGGATGGGATTCTGCCTTCTCCCGCAGAGCATCCAGGATATGGTGGTTCTGGGAGGAGCCAGTCACATCTGTTTGTCTCAAGCGTCCTTCCAAAAGTCGTATCTGAGCCTCCTTCTGGGCCACCTGCAGGCTCTGTGAGCAGAAAACAAAGGCCCTCAGTAAAGGTTTTCTAGATCTGGATAAGAAGTGGGGGGGATGGTTCTGGACTCAGCCTCTAAACCCAGTTTTGTGCTGAAGCATGCATGCACACTGCTCTGAAGACCAGGTTACTATTTTTGTAAATGGGGTTCTTTGCATATTCCCTTCCATGATACAGATAGGCTGGCTGCTCTTCAACCCTGATTAGTTTAGCCTTGAAATTTTAATTTCTCAGTAAAGGTTATGGTTAGACAAGTGCACAGAATTTCCCGAGAGTTCTAGCCCAGATACAGAGGCTTTCTAATCCCTGAAGATATACCCCCATCCCAATATTAAGTTCAATAAACTTGTCAACAAACAACTATATCCTACTTTTGGTCTTTGAAAAGCCTGATCTGCGACTCAGTCATTAAGCTGTGACTAGCAGATCCCTTATCCAGACAAAGGGTTAGTTTTTGTTGGCCTACCTTGTCGATGGAAGCTTTGAGGAAATTATCCAGCAGTAGTCGTGCTTCAGCCAGAGAACAGGAACTGATCACCACGGAGGTGTCAGTAGAATCTAGTTCTTCCTAGGAAGAAGAAAATACCCAGGGAGGAAGGCAAGGAAGAATGAAAAGGTCTGGAGAAGGACAGGAGTACTTTCTTCCCAAGATACTGGTTTGACTGCTGTATGCTCAGGGGGTAATTTCTTGGATTAGCTTGATTACTCAAGACGACTTGTGTTACAGACGGCTAAAGGTAAAGGTTTCCTTTGCTCGAAAGCCAGGCGAATCTGACTCTAGGGGGCGGTACTCATCGTTTCCAAACCGAAGAGCCAGCGCTGTCTAAGACTTCTCCATGGTCATGTGGCCAGCATGACTAAATGCTGAGGCTGCGGCGCACGGAATGCCGTTACCTTCCCACCAAAGTGGTACCTATTAATCTACTTGCAGTATCTTGCTTTTGAACTGCTAGGTTGACAGGAGCTGGGGCCAGAGACAGGAGCTCACTCTGTCGTGCGGCGCTAGGGTCTCAAACAGCCAAGCTACAGATCTTCTGGTCTGCAACTCGGCATCTTAACCTCTGAGGCTCAACGGTCTACAGAGTACCATTGAATCAATGCCTACAGCCGTGTTGGTCGGCCGTTATAATAGAACACCCAAGGCACAGCGTTTATGTATCTGTGGCTCTTCTGCTATTGAGGATCTCTCCCATTACATTTTTGATTGCTCATTGTACTCCCAGCCTAGGTCAAAATTTTTATCTGGTATTTTATCAGTTTTAAGCTTTTATTCAGTCCCAGAGAAGATTATATTTTTGCTAGCCGATGCTAATGCCGATGTTTCCAATAGAATGGCTTTATTTGCCTTGGCTGCAAGGAAAATACGGGCCAACGCTGCTCCTAGCTAATACTGATTTTCGTGGGTATGTTGTGAATTAATTAACTGTTCATAACCTCGGTTTTATGGATTTATAATGTTGGACTGTATCTTATTTTATACAATTTTTACGTTTTATTGTGTTCTTCTCTGTCTGTGGTTTGTAATGGCCTATGGCTAAATACAATAAAATCTTCTCTCTCTACAGAGTACCAAATTCACATACAGTACTAAGTTATGACATGCATATCTAGTTATCCTATCTTTAAATAATGTCCAGTCCTACGGCATCCTCAAAGGGACATGAGATGTTAGCTGGCTAACATTTAAAGCAAAGTTCCAGGAAATTTCAGATTCACGGACTGTATTTCAAGTGTCTTTTTTATACTTCCTTATCTTTAAAGAGAGACATGAAAAAGAGAGGAACAAGCCACTCAAAGCTGTACTGTTTTGAAAAGACGAGGCAAAATTTTAATTTGCTAAATCCAGAAAATATAGATCAGGACTATAACGACTAAATGAAGCCCATTACATCCAAGCATCTAAACAAATGAGCCAGCTCAGTGCCTCTAACCCAGCCTCCAAAACTTTAGTATGCTGCCCTTCAAAACTGCTCACTGTGCACAGACATGGCCCACCTTGGTCTCCTCAATCTGCATGATGGTGGCTTGGCAGTCTGAAATGCTGTCATTGATGTAGTCAATGTTGGCTGCCAGCACCTCAATCTCCTCATTCAGCTCCTGAAGTCCCTTCTGCTCTTCAGGGCTCTCTGCCTGCAGTTTCTCTCTCTTCCCCAGAAGCATTTCTTGCATCAGTGACAATTCCTCACGTTTCTGAAATGGAAAGAAAACACATGGAATTTTTATCCTCAGCCAGTGTTGTGTGAATAACTATCTAAGCTCCATTAGGAGTTGCAACAGGAGGCAACAAGTTTATTTCACCTTGATGAGCCGTTCCATATCTGATTCCAGATTGATGACAGTCATCCTCTGCATGACAATATCAAAGACACGCCGCTCCAGTGACTGCCACTTCAGGCGGGCTGTCTTGCTGAAGGTATGGGTTGTCCCTTTCTTTGCAAACTTCTTTCTACAGAAGGAAATCAGGCAGTAATCAGAACCAAACACCATAAACACCCTGGGTTATGTCATTCCAAGCACTGCTGGTGCATAGAAATGGGACCAAGAGCACCACTGAACACTACAAATCACCACCACCACCACCGGATTTATATCCCGCCCTCCCTGTAAGCCGTCTCAGGGTGGGTCACAACAGTTAAAATACAAACATAGCAGTAAATCCAAATACAAGTACAAATTCATACAAAGTTAAAATTCCTAAACACAGCAAGAAATGGCAGAAAATTTCAGTTTCCAGTATCCACAGGCACCTCCGGTGCTGGGCATATGCTGACAAGGATAAAGACCCACTCGACAGATGCCATGGCGCTTTCTAGAAAGGGCAGTTCACCTGTGCAGTATACGCAGGGGAGGCCGAAGTATTTAGACATCTGCTGCCTCAACCAAAGGCCTGGCAGAACAGCTCCATTTTACAGGCCCTGCGGAATTGCATTAAATCCTCCAGGGTCCTGATCTCCAGTGGGAACATGTTCCACTAGGCTGGAGCCAGGGCGGGAAATGCCTTGGCCCTGGTTGAGACTAAGCAGACATCTATCGGGCCTGGAACTACCAGCAGATGTTGCTCAGAAGAGCGCAAGGCTCTACGGGGCACATGAGGGAAGAGGTGGGCCAGCAGATATGTCAGTCCCAGGCTGCATAGGGCTTTACCATAACCTTGAACCAAATCCAGTACTCAGTTGGCAGCCAGTGCAATTGGCATAACACCAACTGAATGTGCACCCACACAGACATTGCAGTCAACAGGCATGCTGCTGCATTTTGCACTAGCTGCAGTATTCGGGTCAGATTCAAGGGTGGCCCTGCATAGAGCATGTTACAGTAATCTAACCGGGAAGAGACCATTACATGGGTCGCTGTAGCTAAGTCCTGGGTGGAAAGATAGGGAACCAGCTGAAGATGGTAAAAGGTCGATCAGACAGTCATGTTGACCTGGGCCTCCATGGAGAGGCATTCAGGACCACCCCCAGGCTCTTCACTCTCGGGGCCAGGAACAACGGCGCCCTGCCAAAAGTTGGGAGCCTTAAAGGAAGGCACAGAAAATAATACACAGAAGCCAATCACCTGCATGACTTCACCTGAAGGAACTTATTTCCTTCTACCCAAGGTGCTTTTATATACTCTTCCTAGACTTCTCTAAATGTTGACCAGACTGGTAAATCTCACCTGATGGTCCGAGTCCCATTTGTGGAAGGAGGAGAATCTCCCAGGAAGGTGTTGATTTTCCGATTCCACTGCCGCACAATGCTGGATACAGAACGAGAACCAGATTCTGGTTCAGAGGAGGTGGTGCTGGTGGAGGCTTCAGCACCTGAGTCCAGCATGGCTGACTTCTGGTTCATCCTCCCGGCAACTCGGTCAGACACAGGTTTGGTCATACGGCGCAGAGCAGAAACCTAGATAATGACAAGAAGCAGTCTTGAAGAATGGAAACATAGGGTTGGCATAAGAAACCAAGCAATTGGATCTTTACTCATTCTTCCATATCTACTGCAGTCCAAGCTCACAGTGTCAAGGCTCTTAAAGCCACTTGACTTTAAGAAGAAACTCCTTTATAAAATGTCTACAGAATTGGGTCTAAAAAACAGGTGAGGTTCCCCATAGACCTAGACAAATGCATCACAGAATGCCATACAAAATGTCAAAAGACAATACTTGCATACAAGCTTAAGTCTTCTTTTCCAAAAAAGAATCAGATTGGGAACCATGCATTAAGCAAGGCTTGATGTAGTAGGGATGGTGCCCAGTTTGCTGGGAAGAAGCACCTGAACTGCTTTGGAAAAACAGAAGCTGAGCTCCAGAATTACATTTGCATGCCAGATAATACCGATTCCAACCTCTGTTGCTTTGTGCAGAATCTCGAGTGACTCTTGAGGAGCAGTAGAGATGCTCCTTGCTTGGTTTATTAAAGCCTCTGGTCTATTCATAAATGATAAAACCAAGCATACCCAAAGAATCCACTTGGGTTTTTGGGTTACAGGGAGAGATCTGGAATGCAGATTACAGATTTTGCAGAGGCACAGTATTAGTCTTCCCCATGGACAGTAACACTGCCACTCACCTCTTGGGTCTTCCTGCGCAGTACGATCTCCTGCTGCCGTTTCTGAGATTCTAGGGTTCGAATCTGAAACTGCAGGCACAGTGAGAAGAAAGAAGACTACTTAATAACAAAAGCCCAAGATGGGCAGAAACAGTCAGAGGACTTTTATGAATGTAGCCCAGTGGCAGCAATATCAGATGTACTCCATGCATTTAAATTTATATAAATGTAAAGGCAAACAGGAAAGATTACAAAATGAACTTAGAGAGAGATCAGGGCCCCGCGAGACCTTTTACAGTTCCGCAGGGCCTGTAAAATGAAGCTCTTCCACCAGGCCGTCAGGTAAGGAGCCACACCTAACTATCTAAGACCCTGTGCCCGATATCATCATCATCCAGCCTGAGCATGCTGATAGGGAAATCAACTGCTGACGGTATGTTTATTACATATGCTGCTACTGTTGTACCGCCATCACCATACAAATTGTTTTTAGTAACCATGTTGTGTTTTATGCAGATATTTATATTGTTGTTTTATCCGTTGCAATATTTATGTAAGCTGCCCTGAGCCTACCTTGAAGGGGAGGGCAGGATACAAATCAAATCAATCAATCAATAAAATAAAATCCATTCCAAACAAGGGATCTAAATGATTTGGTTCTACATTCTTCTCTAAAGTAGGCTTCTTGCTCCTGAAGATGTCTACCCAACTGTTCCTGAAATCCTCCAGGACTAAACTCCACAATCTTTCTCAGCAGCACATTCTAACTCCAAATATCTCATACAAGTGTTTCCCAATATTCAGACCTCTTTCAATCTATTATTTATAAAATTGGCTCTTGTTTTCTTCTCAGCAAACACAACCAACAATAATTCTCTTTTTTCTCTCGGACACTCTTAATAGCAATTCTCAAGCATCCACTTTTATTCTCTTCTATGTAGCTTTATTATCTCAAAATGCCCCTTGCCCCACCGCAAATGCCCATTACAGGCTTATGTTGGAGGATCCATGGAACCAGCTCAGTTATCCATCTATATATATATAAAAAAGAAAGTCCCCTCACCATAAAATCAACGCCCAGGCCAAACCCTCGGACCTAGAAACATGAAATTCAGGGAGAGCACTCCTACCATGACGTAGATGCTCACTAAGAAGGGATTTTTAGAAATTTGACCCCTAGGGGGGTCAAAAGGGGTAAACTGTCCTCCCCCCATTGTTTCCTATATGGCTACCAGACTGCGGCCTCCTTGCACCCCCGATCTCTCTGATTGGTCAGCTGCAAAGCTCAGTGTTCTGAGGTAAAAAAAAAACAGTTACAGGAGACTGCAGAGAGCTAATGACAGTTGAGGAAATCAGGAATGGCCAACCACCTGTGAGGTGCAGCAATGCTGCTGGCCCAGCCTCCCCCATGACTTCAAACACGCTCCCCCTACCTCCTACACCTGACAGGCGGCTATCTGTCAGGTGCAGCAGCAGGTGCAGGTTGCTTAAAGCCATCATGGAGTCTGCCCCAGCAGTAACGCCTTAGCAATCCTGCCGGCTCAGCCTCCACAATGGCTCGCAATACCACTCCCCTCCCTTCCTACACTGGACAGGCAGCTGCCTGTCAGGTGTAGGAGAGGGGGGTGGGATGCTTACAGCCATCAGGGAGGCTTGCTCAACAGGATTGCCTTAGCACTGCTGCTGGCCCAGCCTCCCTGATGCCTTTAAACACACTCCCCCCACACACACCAGACAGGCAATGCAGCTGGGCCAGCCTCCCCAAAGGCTTTAGACACACTCCCACCTACCCCTCCATCAACTGAGCCCGCTCGCGGGGTAGGGCGGGGTAGAAATACCTGAATAAATAAATAAATAATAAATAAAAACTGACAGGCGGTTGTCTGTCAGGTGCAGGAGCAGGGGCAAAACATTTAAAGCCATCAGGGAGGCTGCCCAAGCAGCACTGCCTTAGCAGTCCTGCTGGTGCAGCCTCTCTGATGCCTTCAAACACGCTACCCCTCCTACACCTGACAGACAAATGCCTATCAAGGGTTGGAAGGGGCGTGTAGTCCTTAAAGCCATCAGGGAGGCTTGCTCAGCAGGATTGTCTTAGCACTGCTGCTGGCCCAGCCTCCCCGATGCCTTTAAACACACAAACACCCTTATACCAGACAGGCGGGTGTTTGTCAGGTGTAGGAGCAGGGCAGGGTACTTTAATCCATCAGGGAGGCTACCCCAGCAGGATAACCTATGACTATCAACAACTCCCAAGACTTAACAGATGACTGCTCCTCACATGGGCAGTTCTATGTGGCCTGCTTCAGAGTGAGCTCACTAAGCAGCCTGGTAATCCTAGCATCTGAGGGTAGAACCACCAATGTGATCTATTCAGTAGAGAAAAACAAACAGAACGTATGTCTCACTTCATTTTTTACACTATAATCTTCTCCATTAGAATTCCTACAACAAATGTTACATTTCAAACTCCAGATCATCAGTATTATAACTGGATTTATGGAACTTAATTACCGTAGTGAAGCATGGGTATCAGGCTGGTACCCAATAGCAAACATAGTTGTATACGGGATGGTCCACTGTCTGAAGTGATCATAGGCAACACTAGAGGGCACTGTTTAGTGCTGCAGTGGCTGGAAGCAAAGCTTACCCTTGTTGTTGTTATTGGACTGGAAGTTAGGGCTAGTGGTTTAGCCCATTGTTGTCACTGACCAAGTTAACAGAGACATACAAAGTCAGTAGGAGTTATTGGTCTGTATCCTACCATTTGGTTCAGTGAAACTTGATAAGTTCCTCTAGCCCAAGTAGCCTTCCTCCAACTTAACTGCCTCCCCCTCCTCTGCCAGAAGAGCAACATAATCTGAGAGAATTCTCCTTATGCTGAAAGAAGGCTTCAGTCTTTGTTGAATTACATGGTAGGATACATGCCATTGTAAGAAGAGCACCAAGACTGACAGCAAATCTGGGGTAATACAGAACACAGATCTGGGGAAACATGTTTGCACTTTATATTTCTCCTGCTGTTCAGCTATGCTTGCCTTTGTGTCATTAATGGCTAATGGAAATCCTTGCACTCCCTTTCTGTGACTGTCCTGGATGGCTGTCAGACGGGACTGTCACTGAGACCTCCTGATAGATCCTTAGAGAACCTAACATCCAGTATGGATGTTTGCTTTGCTTTGACAGGCCTAATACCATGTTATTTCATTTCCTTTCCATGCCTAAAACCGCTTGATAACAGTTCACTTAATGAGGGTAGTTATACTAGAACTACACTGTTTAAAGAATATTTCCAGGGCAGCCTAGAGTTACCAACTAGGGTTGCCAGGCGGTGCCTGGCAGAAATGACACAGGTAACTCTAAAAGTTGCTGGAAACTCTGTGGTAAAACCACAGAGTTTCTGGTGACTCCTAGAGCTACTTTATGTCACTTTTGGTATTTTTACCAGAAACAATGTTATGCCAAAATTGGAGTTGCAGTTAAAAAAAAAATTCTCCCAGGCAAAGGTGGTGGTGGGCAACAGGAATAAGGGGCAGGGGATCCCCCTTGGGGCTTGACAGCCCTACTACCAAGCTCAAGGTGAGGCCTGGAATTCTTCCGAAATAACGGTAGACTTGAGAAATAAGTCCCTTTCCCAGTGAGCCAAAGTTTTTGCTAATCTCACTAGAAAAAGAAGAAGAAGAGATTGGATTTATACCCCGCTCTTCACTACCCAAAGGTGTCTCAGAGCGGCTTACAAACTCCTTTCCCTTCCCCTCCCCACAACAGACACCCTGTGAGGTAGGTGGGGCTGAGAGAACTCTGACACAAACTGCTCTTTTTCAAGGACAGCTGTGCCAGAGCTTGTGACTGACCCAAGGTCACATCAGCAGGTGCAAGTGGAGGAGTGGGGAATCAAACCCGGTTCTCCCAGATTAGAGTCCGCACACTTAACCACTACATCCTAAAGCATGAACACGCCCCAAATGGAGCCCTTACCTACCTCCTGTCTGCGCTGCTCCTTCTTCAGCTGGGCAATCTCCCGGTTTCTCTTGGTCTCTGCCAGTCTCCGCCTCTGCTGCTCCTCACGCATTTGTTTCATCAAAGCCACCTGCAGACAGAATCACCAGCTGACACAGTCAGAGATTATCTGAGCCCCATAGCCATGCAGATTATCTGAGCCCAATAGCCATGCAGAGACTCCATAACTAACTGGGGATGTAAACTTGTTTCTGGGTCCAATTCAAGCTGCTGAGTTTTTACCTTTAAAGCCCTACACAGCTTGAACCCAACATTTCTGATGGATGAATTCCAGCCATGTAATCAGCCTGGATTTTGAACTTGGTTGCGCTCTGCTGCAGGAGGTTGGGATGTCAGACGTAAAGTTAGTACCACCACCACAGTAGAGACTTTTCAGCTGCTCCCCTCCTGTTTCGGAACTCCTGCCACTTGCAGGTACAGTTAGCACCATCCCTTTTAGCATAATTTAAAGACATGTTTATTCCAGGAGGCCTCTGGAAGACACTGGTTAGCTTGTTTTATTGCTCAGAGGGCTTTTACAGCACTCTTGATATTTTCCACCTTTATTATGGATGGTATTGATATGTTCACTAATTGATGTGTTCTTATTTCTTCGAGTTTATATAATGGCTGACTTTTATTGATTGTTTTTATTTGTTATTATTGAAAGCCACCTTGAAGAAGAAAGGAGGGAGGTCTAGATCAAATCAACAAAATGGTTTAGTCCAAGTACACAAAAGTACAGAGTAGTAGCAGATATGGCGCTGGGACTGAATGGGAAAGATGCCAATTAAAGTCCTTGCCCAGTTGCAAAGTTGACTGACTAGTTTAGGGCAAATTACTGGCTTTCACCATAACCAACCCCCCTAGAGCTGTTATCAAGATAAAATGAGATATGGTTATCCCTTCAGAAACCTTGGAAAAGAACACAACAGAAAAGAACGTGTTCATACTTGATCATGTTATCTTATTCAGTAAAAGTTCTTTGTCACTAACACCTTCTTTGCCTCTAGCTTGGAGTCCATGGAGTGAGACTTTAAGTGCCCAGGCAGAAATCCCCGTTATTCCACCTGTCCCAGCTTCTCCATTTGCCCCAGTTAAATTACCTTGGCTTTCTTCATCTCTGCCACTTCTGCATGCAGCTTCTTCAACTCTCGTTCATAACGAGACTGGTTCTTGAGGAGGCGGGCATGCTCCTTCTGGGCTGCCTGCAACTTCTGCAAGTCCCTATTCATCTCCCTCAGACGCTTCTCATAGTCTGCTTTGATCTTGTTGGCTTTCTCTTCTGTGTAGCATTCCATGGTACCTGAGGAAAAGGAGAAAGGAACAGAGAAAGTGATGTAGCTCTTTGTATTCAGTGCCAGTGTTAACTGAAGCGAGAGGGCCCATTATTGGGTTTAATTTTCCTACTAGGATCTTTAAGACATTTGAATCATTTATTTATTTAAATATTTGAATAATTTATTTGAACGTGAATTATTTATTTATTTAAATATTTATAGCCAACCTTTCTCTTGTGCCTCCGGGCATCTTACAATTCTAAAATAAAATTATGAATAATATAATAACATCTCCTCCAAGAAAACACCATTAAAAGCCCTAGCAAATAAAGCAGCTTTACAGTGCCTCCTAGAACATTCCAAGGACAGTACTCCTCTCCCATCCTCAGGGAGCCCATCCCACAAAGTGGAAACCACTGTTGAAAAGGCCCATGGGCCCCAGTCACACGGGAGGTTTAGGGCCGGAAGAGGGACGGATCGGGGGTGCAGCAAACTGGCGCAATTCCACCACAACATCTGGGAAGCATTGCGTACCCGTCCCCAATCCGGCCCTTCAGGCCGAAAATCCGTAGTTAAAAGAAACCACCTACAGATGTGGACTTACCAGAAAGGCCGCATCAAGCGCGGCCGTGGGATCGCTGGCACGTCTTTCTGCTGGCGCATCCGAGGCTCTTGGCCGAACTGCACATGCGCACACATGCGCAGCCGGCTGTCTCGGTCTCCGGTCGGTGGCTTCCTCCCCGACATCTGATCGTGCCAGGGAGCAACGGTGCGGCGGCTCAGGGGATCTATGTGATCCTGCCGCCACGTGTTTCTTTTGGTGCGGCTCTGAATAGCCGCACTTTGCCCGTGTTTTTTTCTTCCATGTGGCAGGGACCATGCTCTGATAGGTGCCAAATGGACAACCATGAGCAGGGGAGCAACCTGAAGGTGGCAGCCAGAGAAAGAAGCAGGGAACGCTGAAGCACCCAAGCTCACTGCAGCCTCATAAGAATACATGGAAGTCCACTAGCGACAACTTTGCCTCCTTATTCGGACATGAGGATAGTTATACCACATGTTTTGGGTAGCTAAACATACAATCCTAAATTACTGGAAATCTCAAATTCAGCAGAGTATATGGCTGGCTGGCTGATACTAAGTTGTGATTTGTATGTTCAGGAGGAAATCTTGTACTACCACAGAAGGCAAACTGGGTATCTTCTGGTTAAATGTTCTCCTGTGTCAAATACTCTCTGCTCGTTTGGGAAGTACCTAGGACATGAGAGGGAATAATTGAGGGCTAGACGTTTCCCTAGTACGACTGTTTTATGTGTGAAGAGAGTTCTTACACGGGGAAAGCATTCAGAAATGTAGGCCCCCTCCCAATTTGGAAAAAGTCCAGGAAGATATTGCTGTGTACTTTCTCTGAACACAAAGCTCATCTCTCAGCCACAACAGAGGTCTCTGTATACAAGAAAACAAAAATGTATGCTGCTGAAGTGAACTGGATCTCATCCAGATATGATACACACAGCTGGCATAACTCTGGAAACTGGTTTACTAGTTGCTTGTATCTTTGTGTGACTCGTTTTACATTAAGAAGAGAAGAAGAAGAGATTGGATTTATACCCCGCCCTTCACTCAGAGTCTCAGAGCAGCTTACAATCTCCTTTCCCTTCCCCTCCCGACAACAGACACCCTGTGAGGTAGGTGGGGCTGAGAGAGCTCTTTCAAGAATTGCTCTTGAGAAAACAGCTTTGAAAGAACTTGTGACTGACCCAAGGTCACACCAGCAGCTGTATGTGGAGGAGTGGAGAATCAAACCCGGTTCTCCCAGATTAGAGTCCGCATGCTTAACCACTACACCAAACTTGCATCTTCCAAGAGTATGAGAAAAGAAACACCTTTGACAAAACCCAGCTGCTGTTCAGGTGAAAGAAGTATTACTCACAGGTTTTGAGGATTTGAATCAACCTCTCTATGCCTAGATCATGGCCTTGAAAGGGAAATGAGGCCCCCCCACTGCCTCTTAGGTATGGGTCATTGCATATACATGCTCTCAACCTGTCAAAGCCCAGTTTTCCCTAAGCAGCATGCCCTTACTGAGGTTCTGCAGGACCCTGTCCCTCTCTAATTGGGTGTCACGGATCTTGTTCTGCAGCAGAATCAGCTTCTCCTCATATTGATGTTTAAGGGTCTGTAGGCGCCGTTGGCTGTTCTCCAACTCATCTATCAGCTTCTGCTTGATCTCGATCTCACAAGTCAGGTCAGCCAGGTCAGCTTGGAAATTTGCTGCTACAAAAAGAGAGACAAACTTCACCATCATGAGGAGAATGGCATCTACATTCATTGCAGCTCCCGTTGAAACTGAAGGCAGAAGGGTCGTTTATAGTACTGACTGGGAAGAAAGGAGGCCTAGTGTGGCCCAGGTCACATGGGAGGCTTTGATCCGCGAGAGGGATGGATCGGGGGTGGAGCAAGTGGGCGCGATCTCACAGCAACATCTGGGAAGTGGCGCGCACCTGTCCCCGATCCGTCTCTTCAGGCCAAAGATGTGGTTAAAAAAACCACACCTACAAAACACTACTACTTACCTGAAAATCCGCAGCAGGGGCGGCCATGGGATCGCTGGTACGCCCGTCTCCGGCAGCATGCGAGGCCCCCGGCCAAACTGCACAGGCGCGCACATGCGCAGCGGGCTGCCTCGCTCACTGATATGTGGCTTCTCCCCCCCCCAGCATCTGATCGTGCCGGGGAGCAACTGCGCGGCGGCTCGGGGGATCTGTCTGATCCTGCCGCCACGCGTCTCTTTTGAAAAAAGCCGCACTTCAGCCGCACCTTTTCCCCCAGTGTGACCGGGGCCTATGCAGGCAAAGCCCTTTGGCAAAAATAAATGAGCAATGGGAGGGTCCTGTGCTTTAGAGTTCCCAGCCCCAATTACTTAACCCAGCTTCTGCAGACATCTTGATATCTGTCCACAGTGTATTCAGCTTGATCTGTACAGAGACTGTGCTACCCTGCACTCTCCTTTAGGCAACCTTGAAAGAGTCAGTTTCTTAACATTTGCTGCAGGAGCTTACTTTTTTCCTCAACATCCGAGTCAGAATCCACCAGGCTTTCTTCACTTCCTGAATCATCTTCCTCTTCTTCCTCCTGACCACCTTCTTCCTCACAGCCACTCTCATCCCGTTCCTCCTAAATGAAGGGATGCCATGATCAGAAGGACTTCACAGTTTCAATCCTACCCCATTCAGACTCATGAACAGCCATCTACAACCCTTCTTTCTAGGCTCACCAGTTTGTTCCTACGACAACAGGAGACACAGATGGTGGCGGTGCTCTTTAATCCTTGGCCTGGTGATTTTTGCACTACTTAATGTCAAATGATGTGGGAGATCGATAACCAGAATGTCATTTTTAAAAAATGAATTAGCAGCTCCACATATTTGTTTTGTAACATACAGGAAAGACCACTGAGGGTGAAGTTGGTTACCCTTTCCTGCTCAGCTTTTCTCTGATTTAAATGTCTTTACCTGAAGCTAAATGAGCTCCACAGAAGAAAGAAAACCCAGACAGGTACAAGTTCTGTCTCTCCCACACACACACACTGCAAAGCTAATGGCAACTTTAAGGAGGAGGGATTTCTATCAGGAAAAGTGGCATGGGAGGAAAGTATTAATACCTCCCCCCATCCTCAAAGCAGCTGCATAGGGGTGTTAATTTGAAAAAAGTCACAGGAAATTCTAAGCATGGATCTCCAGTATTATGTCTAGCCTGACTCTCAAGGACTGAAGTTTACTAAAAATGTTTGGGGCATTCATGTTGTGTCTGACTGGAAGGTCTAATTAGAGATGAAGCATGTTGGAAAAGGCTGTTCTGTGCTGGTGTGTACACATGGTAATGTGTTCTCCTAACCTCAACCCTTTCCCTTGCAGCTTTTCTCTCCAGATTAAGGATCTGGGAGATGCTGTCCCACTTTCTTAATAAACAGTGTTGATAGAACTCATCCAAAGCATGTTGTATTTTAAACCTTTGTCTGGTATCCCTAAAAATCTCTCTTTGGTGGCAAAAAAGTATGTCTCTAATCCATACAAGGAGGCCAGGACTGTTCTGCTGAGCAAATAGAACAGCATGACCCTTCATACATCATCTTTGTTTTTTAAAGCCAGATGAGCACACTAACCGTTTAGAAGTGGGAACATTCTGCCTGCTCAAAACAAAATACTAAATAAGGATCACAAAAGGGCAGATCATTGCTACAGGACAGGGGAGATACTATCCTGCCTTCTCCCCACTTTTTAGAAAAGTCCTACCTTATGGATCTGGAAAGCAAAATTAACGTGCATTAAATGTCGTTTTGTGAATGGTGTAAATTGTCACTTTTTTCTTAACTCACTGATCCACTTCTAAGCTCCACTATTCCCACACACATCTTATTTATACTTCCTCCACCCCATGGGCCAGAAGAAAAACCATTCTCCACCACAGCTATGGAATACCCTTCCCAGCAGAAAGAGCCATACCAAGAAAAGCTCAGGTAATGGGTGCTAGCAGCCCAACCTTAATAACACAACCAAGAGGTGTGTATACTTTAGCATTCATGCAGTAGCGGTGATAAGTGTTTTCCTCCAATAGTTATGGATATAACACTGTTTTTAGGAAGTTGTGCGTATAGATCTCAGCCCATTCCATAAATTCCATTGTCTCAGGAGGAGGAAGAAATATAAGCACCCAGGATGTGAATCTGAAGCTGTAAACAGCTTCAAGTTTTAACACCTAACTCCTGTCACGATGGCCTGGGAAACGTCACCCAGGGGGACCCAATGAGAGTTTCCCCTAGTCTGACACCTACCACACCATCCCTTGAATCCAACCTACAAGTTTTGCTGACATATTTAAAAGTCTCAGGTGCAAAACACTATATTGACCAGATCCTTTTTTTGGAGGGGACCTTTCTAATCGGTTCAGGCTGAAAGACAATAAAGGAGGAAGGGAACTTTTGCCAATCAGCCAATCAGCTCATGGATGGACTGCCTGGCCCACTTCTGAGACAGCGGTATAAGCAAACACCTTGTAAATGTTTGGCTAGCCAGAAACAGTTATTTGTATTTTATGTATTCTCTGTTTTCCATCCTCAATTCACCACCACCTGGCTTCTTGTGCATGTTTAGAAACAACCCCTTCAAAATTGGATACATTTTTCTTTAAGGACTGAGCTGGGTTATATTCCCCACTGTGAGCTTACCGCTCTAGACATGCATACTACCTGTACCTGAGAGAAAGGCGAGGTGCTTTGTCCCATGGAGACATGGAAGCCCCTGACACACACTACATATCCATGCTCAAGTCAAGCTGGGGGTGGCTTGTCAAGATCCACTTAAGTCCTTAAAATACCTCCACGGAGTGGCAATACTATCAAGGGGTACTTGGGCCTAAGGGGTGATAGGTTCAACTTTACATACACATTTGGAGCCTGAATTGGCACTGAGTAATCAAAGAAGCTTGGGGCTATTGTGGATAGTTCAATTAAAATATCCTTATGAGTACAGGGACTGTGGAAAAAGCAAACTTCATACTAGGGAGATCAATCTAACCTAACCTAATCATCTATCTATGGTGTGTTTGGAATACTGTGTATAGACCTGGTCACCATATCTCAAAAAGGACACTGTATAGCTAGAAAATGTGCAGAAAAGGGCAACCAAAACAATTAAGGGATTTCCTACAAGGAAAGGCTGAAGCATTAATGAATTTTTAGTTTGGGAGGGGAGACAACTGGGAAGAGAGAGAAATTATAGCGGTTTTTAAAAATTGTGCATGATGCTGAGAAATTGGGTAGAGAATCCCTCCCCACTATAATATTAGAATTTATGGGATCACAGAATAAAATCAAAGGACAGACATATGAAAGAAAAAAAATTAATTTATGGAATTCACTGCCACAGGATGTTGTGTTGGCCAAGAGCTTAGATGCCTTTAAAACGGGACTAGACACATTCTTGATGGATCAGTAGCTATTATTCAAGGTAGCTAAATGAAAGCCCTTTGATAAGAAACAGTCTACCTCTGAATGCCAATAACTGGAGAGGAAGGGGGGGAGAGTAAACAGCTATAGCTTCCACACCCTGCATGTGGACTTCTTATAGACAACTGACTGGCTACTGTGAGAAACAGGATACTGGGTTAGATGGATGTTGGGTTCGCTATAGTCTTCTCCAAACATATTTATTGCCTGTCTAATGTTTCAATCATTCCCTGCAGTACTCCAGCCATAAAAAGCAAATTATGAGATAATTATACTGGTCCCACAGAACTGAACTGCCACTTAAGAATATGATACTTCAGTGCAGAATTCAGCTATTTTTAAATACATAACCCTATGCCTCCAATTTGTAGGAACCCAAAATCAACTCATAGAGGTACTCAAGAAATGAGGCAAAACAAAACCTAGATTAGGTGCAAGAATTGAGACCCAGGAGGGCTAGGATCTACCAATTATTACCTATATTTGAAGTCAGAGGACCTTTGAAGTCGAGGTTCAGCTTGGCTTGGTTGAAGCACAGAGCACTTGAGAACTCCTTTGTGAGCTATGCTTTGTCTCAGTTCCTCATTATACTGAAAACTACCATCACCCTCACAGGGCTCATTGTGGTGCCATGAACTGGTAAGTCCAGAAGTTACAGACATGTGAACAGTGAGATTGCTTACCTCTTCCACTTCATTTTCATCTGTCTCATCTGCCTCATTTTCCTGCTGTAGCTTCAACCTCTTCTTAAACCCTTCCTTCTCTGGGCTGTAGGAAGAAAAGTACATTTAAGTACTTATTTATTTTTATTCCATCTTTTGGCTGTAAAAGGAGGCTTCCCCAGTGCACCCAACAAAATAAATTCTACAATTAAAATATTACTTCAAGCCATTTACAGTTACTGAGTACGGCATTATTCCATTTGTATCACCAGTGGGAACACCATGATACTGGAATCTGAATAACAACAACAACAACAACAACAACAATAATTTATTATTATTATTATTATTATTATTATTATTATTATTATTATTATTATTATTATTGACCTATATTGTTATAGACCTACATATTGTTCCCTTTGTCTCACTAGCTCTTTACCTGCCAATATTCTCACAAGCCTTCAGCACGAAAAGCCTGTGTAATAGACACCATCTCTGCATAAGGCAAAGGAAAATGAAGGCATGGAATGGTGAAAAGGGGACATTATTATTATTATTATTATTATTGACAAATATTGTTATAGACCTACATATTGTTCCCTTTGTCTCACTAGCTCTTTACCTGCCAATATTCTCACAAGCCTTCAGTACGAAAAGCCTGTGTAATAGACACCATCTCTGCATAAGGCAAAGGAAAATGAAGGCATGGAATGGTGAAAAGGGGACACATTGTTTAAAATAATAAGTGCTGCATCACAGGAACTGGGTGGAGAGTGGGAAGGACAGAGGGCAGATATATTTCTGCACTGCTCAGAAGTTCTGAGTTACCTCTTCCTAGCAATGTAGGTGACAATGGGAAGCTGAGCAAACGCCAGATGCAAATGCCTGTTTTTACCTATTTTTTTGCAGTTTAGTCTCTTTCTTCAGCCGTTCTATGTCCTGCTTGGCCCACTGGAGGATTTCAGAGGCCTCTGCTTCAACAGAGGTGACAGGGCTATTTGACGTTCCCAGACCAGGCCCTGGAGATAAGCCCAAGGCATAAGGAAGCCTGGAAGAAGTCCGAGATAGGCTGCGACGCAGTGACTCATTCATAGCTTCGCTCTCCAAAAGTTTTGTCCTATCAAGAAGATAAAGACCACAGTCACCTGAGAATGTCATTTTGTACTGAGGTGCTAGTGTATAAACAAAAGCACTAACTGCTCACACATAACCATACGAAGCAGTCAATCGGATGCTATTATTTAAGCCTCAAATTCTATGATTAGTGTATCAGCAGATAAAGTAAATCGTGATTTCTTGGTTTAGTCTGCAGCATTATGTTCTGCCACCATTTTGTAGCAACTGGAGCAGATTGTTGCAAGTAGTAGAGATGTGAGCAAGCTGAGAAAAGGCGCTGGAGCAGGAGCTTGCTGAGACAGACATGTTGAATGAGAGACCCGTAAGAAGTACTACTGCTCCCAAATCCACTTATGACTAATTAAGTATCCACTGTCTATCTCCTGAGATCCCAATTGGGGGGAAATTCTGAAAAAAAGCTTGTAAAAAACCCAAAACGATATTGGAAAAAATACACTGAAAAATGAAGAATATATTAAAGTTTAAATTCCCAGTGGAAGCCAAGATCATGCTATTAGGTGTTCTGCCTAACACATTACCAAAATTTTTAGATGGTGACAGTGGCTAGAACGTTTTATGTGGCAAAATGGAAACTAGATGCCTGTCCACATTTAGAAGAATGGGAAACTAAACTTGCTGAATATGCAGTAATGGCAAAATTAACAACCTGTTTGAGAAATAGGTCTATTATGAAATTTGAGGAAAGGTAGAGTGTGTATTATGTGTATTATGCTAGCAGGAGACAAAATTAAAGTAAGAAAATATCATATACAAATGTACGGTAATGAAATAGAAGTATCCGAAATATAAATGGGTTCTTGATATGAAATATATGATAGACTTTCTTTTAAACCATGATATACTACTTATCTATTAAAGGTTCTAACGAATATGTAGAAGTGGTGAAAATATGTTATGTTGGAAACGTGGTAATGATGAAACCAGTGTAGTCAAAATAAATTAGTTATGAAGTTTAAAACTTAAAACTTAAATTATGAATACAATTGTACCCCAACAGAAATAAGAATTAGAATTATTGTATTTTATAGATAATACCTTAAAAATTATAATGAAGTGGATGAAAGGGAAATTATTCTCTGTCCTATACATTATGTACTCAGGGCCATAGCCAGGAATTTTTCTGGGGTGCGCCGGGGGTGCTAATCAAATCGAATTTAATTAATGGAGCTGGGGAGGGAGAGGTTGGAGTAGTTCCTTACTCTGGTTTTAGGCTGGCTCCTCCCTGGCCCCGCTGCCACTGAGCACACGTAGAGGAACCTCCTCCTCCCTCCCCACGCAGGCCTCCCACTCCTTCTCCCAGCAAGCTTTGGTGGGGGTGAGCTCAGCAGCCACACAGGCAGCCTGGGCCCCAGAACCTCTCTGACAGAGAGCTGAAGCAACCCACTGCCTGCAGGAATCCCACCGAGGGCACGTCCCACCCTCCCACCACTCTCCCTTTACCTGGGCTGGCGGGCTGTAATTGCCTCTGGGCAGCAGGCCCCAGCCTGGGAGGCAGAGGCATAAACATCTGGCCATGGGACCAAAACTGGCCTGCCCTCACCCTGCCCATGTCAAATCCCCATCCTGGCCCCTCTAGCTCGGCTCTTGGGCAGAAGGTCCCTGGTGCACCCCCATTGGCGAGTCCCTGGAGGATGGCTGCCAGGACGGCTTGCAGAGTTGTTGTGATGGGGGCATTGCAGATTGGGGGAGGGGGCATCACCCCCAATGCTTCACTCCTGGCTACAGCCCTGTATGTACTAGATGATTCTCTTTGACAAATATAATTATGTCGTACAACCCATTTTTCCCTTTTCTTTTCTGTACCCTCACTGTTTTTCTAAAATAAATAAATAAATAAATAAAAATGGGCTTTAAAAGTGGCACTGTTACTGCTACTATGTTAACCCCAGTGAGAGGAGAGCAACCCAAAACCATCACCCTGAAACAAGGACATTAATAGAGAATCCGGTCCCTTTTATCTATCCGTCTGTCTGCCTATCCATCCTCACCAATAAGACATAAGGCAAGCCTATTTCTAACATTGTCTGGAACCGAGAGGTTCCTTTGAAGAAAAAGAACAGAAAAAAGTGAAAAAGCTAGATGTGATCTTGCTGTACCTAAGTCCCACTGATTTCAGATGGTTAAACACACTTTCACATTCTAACTCAGATTAGAGGGGAAAGTGCTTATTTAGGTGATGTCCATTACCAACAATAATGAAGCAAATTTTGAAAGCATAAGGGACAAACATAATCCACTTGGCTGTGCTACCCAGCTGTAACTCTTCCATTCAAGGAAGCATCTTTCTGTATCCCTGCAGAACTTCAGTTGGGAAGCACCATATATGAAATGTGCAACAACATTATGATAATTTCTTCATAATGCTCACAGTCTAAATATTGTGGTACACAAAAAGCAGGAAGCCATAGGGAAGGAAAGGACTGGCTTATAGTTTCATAGCAGAGCTGGAGCTAGAACTTAAAGGCTATACAGATTTCTTCTCAAGCACCTAAAAAAAGGAGAAAAATTCTATTCACCTGAGCTCCTCAATTTCTCGGATATAGTTCTGGATCAGAGCACCAATAGCCTCATTGCCATCACCTACAGGAACAAAGAAGAAAAGCACCAAGGGTAACTATGTAAAATCTAAGCAGTAAGCCGAGAGAGTCAAAACAAGAATTAAGAAAGGGCTCAAGAAAATCAAAGATGCTTCAGAAAACAGCAAACATGGGGAACTTGCTACAGGCAGCTAAAAAACAGAACTGGATAACAAATATGTGAGACAGCAACAGAGCAGCTCAAAAAAGATGTGGACTGAAGGGCAGAGCTACACGTTGTATGTAGTTTCATGATTATTTTCCCCAGTTTCATACAGAATTTAGCTTCAGGGACTGTGGTGGAAAGGGGAGCGTGGTAATTTACTTGTGCTTCTCAAGCAGTTTTCCTACTGAATATTAACAGCATGAGTACACAGACACTTTTCCCAATAGGAGTAAAAGCAGCCTGGGGTGGTGATTTTTGAAACAGAAAGAGTCTTCCCCCCATCCTTGTTCAATATTGTTCTCCTCATTGTTCCCCCCACTGAAACCACAACCCTTGCAACTGCATTCTGTTAAAAAGAAACAATCAGGAAAAAAACTGTCAAGGAGCTCATACTATACATAACATATAGTTTTTCTGTTCCCCAAAGAAAGTGACAGGAGATAGGGGGAAAATCCTGTAATAAATTCTTTGCAGTATGGAAATTCTTTGCCATATGGACCCACAACAACTTGCTGAGGGCATCTCATTTTCGTCCCCCACTAGTTCCTCTTTCTCTTCCCTGAAAGCTACCACAGCCTCTTCCCTTGTCCTGCTTACTTCTCTCCTTCCGACTCACCAGCCAACCTACCTTTGTCTGCCTCAATATCTTCAGCTTTCCCTCCTTCCTTCCCCCAGCAGCCTCCATCCAGGAAAACTATGGCTGAGTTGCGCAGTGCTGACTACTTGCCCCAGTTGCACAGGAACTTGCAAAGACTTGCAGGTGGTACCTCACTTTCCCCTGGATCCTCCCCATACTACTTCCCCTCTCCCTTCTCCTGGCAATCCCCATATCCTCCTTCTCTCCTTCCCATGCACCAATCAACCTACTTTTTAATCTGCTCCCCATCTTCAGCTGTATTATTTATTTACTTCATTTATACCTTGTCTTTCTCCCCAATAGGGACCCAAAGCAGCTTACATTATTTTCCTCCCCTCCATTTTATCCTCACAACCATCCTGTGAACTAAGTTAGACTGAGAACGTGTGACTGGCCCAAGGTTACCCAGTGAGCTTTTAAAGCAGAGTGGAGATTCAAACCTGAGTCTGCCAGGTCCTAGTATGAAAATCTAGCTACTACACCGCAGTGGCTTTCATGCAGTGGCTACTGTTGAGCAGCTGCAAACAGCCAGTCCAGGGTAAGTCATGAAAGCCACATGGTATCAAGTCACCCAGTGGTTGCTGGCAGGCCTGGCCCTGATGAGTTTTCCATCAAAGCTCAAAACTATCTGAGAAAGAGCCCTGCCCCTTCCCCCTGCCTTTTACTGATAGTGGTTGCTGGCAGGCCTGGCCCTGATGAGTTCTCCATCAAAGCTCAAAACTATCTGAGAAAGAGCCCTGCCCCTTCCCCCTGCCTTTTACTGATAGAAACCAAGACCTAAAGCCTGGCAATGCTGTTGTGGTTATGAGCAACAGTCACCGAGGTCATTCCTTTCTCAAAGTTACAGGCACTGCTTCTATTATGGGAGGGGTTAATTCCCCAAATGTATTTTTAAAGATTTTTCTGCAAACATGAGACTTGCCTCAGGTTTGTAGAAAGAACTGTCTAGTCTGTTCATGGCTCCAATCTCTGGATTAAAGTATCCATAGATTTGGCTGCACTGAGAATTAGATATATTTATTATCTATATAGTAACTGCACAAATCAGAATCAGGAACTTTTAAAAGTCTAAGAAGTTTTTAAAAGTATTCCTCAACTCTTGATAGCAAAACTATGACTGAAGTCTGGGAACATAAAAGTATTATTGTGACTTCAGAATTCTATAGTGCTGAATGTGCTGGCTAAGGAAGTCAACTGGAAATCCCAGCTGGTTCCCCTCTCAATCTCACCTGCCTTGGCAAGAATCAGGTTGGCTTCCTGGCTCATCAGATGGGTGACCCTGACATTGATGGCGTCAATAGCCTCTTGCATGGCCTTCACTCGCATACGTAAGGTGGTGTTCTCCTTCTGCAGCATCGCATTCTCATGGAACAGGTCACTGTATCCTTCAGAGCCATCCTCTCCAATGACACGTTTTCCCTTTGCAAAGAGAAGTGAAAGAAGACACCACAGGGATGGGAAGGAGATAAACAGAAAGTAAGTGAAGGTAGCTGACCACTGCAAAATGGTGCCTCCCAGTCCCAGCCCAGAAAGGCAGTCTAGAAGGATGCCATGATTGAAGGTACTGAAAACCACAGGGAGTTTCAGAGGAATCAACAGAATTGCACTCCCTGTGTCCATCTCCAAGTGCAAGTCATCCACCAGGATGACCAAGACTGTTGCAGTCCTATAGCAAGAAACCAGATTAGAAATATATATAAAAGTCCTAGCGTATTGGCACTTTCTGGCTCTCCCATTGGCTGTGTTGTACATTCCATCAACCATTGGCCCGTCAACCGCCACTCAAGAGTACTTGCATGCCATTGGCTGGGGGCTGGGTCTGCTCCTCTCCCGTCTGAATAAGCTGCCAAAACAGCTGTCTCTCCTGATGAAAACACTTCTACTGCCATTGTTTCGCTCCTCTGCGTCTGGCTGGCTACTGAAACAGCTGTTCCCTGCTCAGGAAGAAGCTTCTACTGCTGCCACTTCTCCTGCTTGGCTCCTCCATGGCTGGCTGGCTACTGAGGTGAGCCACCAGCCGGGCGTCAAACCATTCTCTTCTCCACCTGCCGTGGGGCTCTCTTTCCGCTCAGTGGCTGTTGCTAGGCAACCAAGCTTGCTTCTGTGAGTAAAAACGCAGGGGCTACAGGCCCTTTCCAAGCGTATTTTGGCCTTTGTGGGGAACTCATTGTGGTCAGTCCTGACAAGGGTTGCCAGCTCCAGGTTGGGAAATTCCTGGAGATTTTGTGGTGGAGTCTATGGAAGCCAGAGTTTGGGGAGGGGAGAGGCCTCAGCTGAATAGAATGCCATAAAGTCCACCCTCTAAAGCAGGGGTGTCAAACTCATTTGTTACAAGGGCTGGATATGATATAAATAGGACTTTGTTGGGCCAGGCCATGTGTATCATAAAATGTAATGCCAGGTAGCAAAGATATTAACTTTATAAAGGACACTGACAAACACAATTAAAGGGGTTTTTAAACTTAAAATACAAACATGCTTAAAACAGTAACACTCTTGCCATATTTATTTAACAGTTTTTGATAACTGACACTTCCCAAAACTCCCCCCCCCTTAAAAGATGCCTACCCAAAATGGAAAGGTAGGGGGATAGTGGGATTTGGCAATGCAATTTTTTAAACAAAACTTCAAGGAAAAGCACAAGGATCACAGCAGAAACTAAACATAAAAACTAAAAATATAAAATGCCCTGAGCCTAGGAAAACATGAAATGGCTGGGCACTGCAAGCTCCCCCCCCCCCAGGTCCACTCAGAGTGGCAGTGGCTCTCCAGTGTAAAGTCCCTCTATGGCTGTGGGTTCCCAGGTTATAGAGTACTCAGTCAGACACCTGTTCTCAGGTCATTCAGCAGAGGCAAGCTGGCTCAAAACATCAGCCTTTTACTTGCATACAGACAAAATCAACTGTTGTACAAACACTGGAAAATGAAACTCTACTCCACTGAAATACATTGCAGCTCAAACAAAGTTGAAAAGAAAATGTGAAATGGAGTTTCCATTAAGGTTTCTGGGCCCAGACAGACTACTCTGGGACTGAATGACAGCCCCCAGAGTGGAATTCCATTCCCAGAACACAGCTGCTACTCCCAGGGACCACCATTCCATTCCCAGAGTAGTCTATCTGCATTCTGCATTTTCTTTGCGGCTTTTTTTGTGCTTTTACTCAGAGGCGCCTCCTGTTGGAGGAGAAACTGCAAAGGCAAGGCCCAACCAGCTGGAAAGTTCAGCAGCCCCGATCTCCCTCGGAAGGATGAGGACAGGCAGGGGAGGGGTGGGGTGGAGAAGAGAACCAAGGGCCTGACTAAAGCCCAGGGGGTGGGGCACTTCTGGCCCGTGGGCCTTAGGTTTGACACCCCTGATCTAAAGCAGTTATTTTCTCCAGGGGGGGAGAGATCTGTTGTCTGGAGTTCAGTTGTGATACCAGGTGATCTCCAGGCTCCACCTGGAAGTTGGCTACCCTAGGCCTAGCAGTACCCTCTGGGTGACTTGATGACACCTGACTGGCATGACTTAACTAGGCCTGGCTGCTTGCTCCTGTTTACCAGCAGCAGCCCCCCTAGGACAGTCAGTATGGCATAGCAGTTAGCACCTCAGAGCAGGGTCTGCCAGACCCAGGTTCTTGCTGTGGAAGCAGAACGGGTGATTTCAGATCAGTCACAGACTTTCAGCCTAGTCTACGTCACAGAGGTGTCTTCCTCACAGGCGAAGAGGAGAATGATGTAAGCTGCTTTGGTCCCCACTGTGGAGAAAGACTGTACTTTTCTTCCTGGGGAACCATTGTTGCCTATCTCCAGGTGAAGATCACTCAGGGTGCGTTCAGACGGGGCGTTTCTGCCGGCATAAACTGCACCGGTTGGAACCGGTGCAGTTTATGCCAGCAGAAATGCAATCACACTTACCTCCATCTTCCAGATCCCTCCGGTGGACGCCCGCTCACACGCTGCGAGCGTCGGCGTTTTTTTTTTTAAAAGCAGTTTGAGCATGCGCATAGGCAGCCATTCAAGGCAGCCATTCACAGAATGGCGATTTTTTCCCAACCCCCCCCCCCCCATTACATTTAAACTTTAAAGGTAAGGACTTACCTTTAAAGTTTAAAGCCCAACCTGGCCTCCCTGTAGTCCCGGACTCCTCCGGGAAGTTAAACTAAGGGCTTTTTTCCCCCCCTTAACAAACACTCGGGGTGAAGCTTCGCCCGAGCGCATATCGCTTACTTTTTTTTAAAAAATGGCGGGGAAAAGCTGGAAGCCTCAGGCTTCCGACGGAAGTGTCTCTGCAACGTTGGAGAGCGATCAGACGCCGGGGTGCACCGTTTACAACCGTTGCACTCAGTTTACCACCACGTGGGACCTAGTGGCAGAGTACAACGGTGTAAAGGGCTTTACACTGGTTAGGGACAGGAGGCAGATGTTCGTCGTGTGAACGCTGGTGAGTACACTGGTTGCAACCGGAACCCTAACCGATGTAAAGCCCCCGTCTGAACGCACCCTCAGAATTGCAACTACTCTTCAGATGGCAGAGATCAGTTCCCATGGAGATAATGGTGGATGTGTCATTATACCCTGCTGAGGTCGCCACAGCAAATTGATGCTGATGCCCAGAGCCTCTTTCTACAACTCTTTGTATTTATTTGCACAATGGGCCTTATTCCAAGTATATATATAATTTATATCTGCTATTTTCAGCATCAAGTCCTCAGAACAGGCTACTGCAAAACAAATTCAAAGTATAACATAAAAAAGATTAACATGACCACTAAAAATGTCATCATAAGCATAACCAGTACTAAGCAATGCAGCAATCTATAACTCAAAGGCCTGTTAAAATAAAACAATTCTTTCTGCCTTTCTAAAACAGTCAATAGAGCAGATTTCCCTTGGGAGAGAGATAACTTCATCACTAATGGTGCAGGTCAGTATTGGTATAGACTATGCTTTCTCCACCTCTAGACAGTGATTCAAGTGGGATGACAGAAAAAGTATAGCACATGCCATGGTGGCCCAGGAATCAATTTTCCCAGAATTTGAAGTCATTAATAAAATAATTAAAAGCAAGTTTCTAGCCCTTATGTCTTATTTATTTATTTATTTAATTTTTCAATTTATACCCTGCCCTCCCCTCCAAAGCAAGCTCAGGGTGGCTGTCTGTGAAAATATGACCGAAAACAATGCGTGCTCATAAGGTAGACTAAACAAGTTTTTCAGTGGTACTTGTCCATCCTGAAACTAACAAAACCAGAATAAACTTTGCAGTGTACTGCAGTGACTAGTAACTGGAAGAACCCCATTCTGCCATGAAGTTTGCCCTCAGTCACTAACCTAACTTGCAGTATTGTTGTGAGGCTAAAAAGCGGAAGAGAAAGCGGTGTATTGCACCCTGAGCAATCTGGAGGAAGCAGGATTAAAAAGTGATAGAAAAGGGCAGGATTATCTCCATTTTGTTTCATTTTCTCAATTTTTATACTGATTGCAGAGTCTAGCTGTTCTTGGTGCTGAATTTAGATTTCCTGAGCACAACATTTTATTTTAAATGCACACAACTTTGCCCACAGCACACTGTGGCTGTTACAGGATGACAAGCAGAATCAACACTGCTCAGATTCGTGCCTGAGGCAGCAGACCATAGAGTGCCGTGTTCAGAATTACTGTTGTTCACTGCTGATGTCTCCCTCCTCATTTCCTACAATATCAACAGAGATTAAGAGTTGGTTCTCTGCCCTTTAGGCTAAGAGAGACTTGCCCATGTCCAGAATCAGTCACAGAGATGGAAAAGCTCTGTGGAAAGAAAAATAAGCCAATAAGGCATTTTAAAAGTTTGAACAGATGTGCAGTACTCGATGTGCCTAAAGGGAGAAGTTATCACTGGGAAATGGGAGCCACTTCTGGTGCTGAAGGTTTGTGGTTCAGTTTCCAGCAATGACAAGGGATCAGCAAAACACTTGTGATTTCTCCTCACCGCCTTGTACTCCATGAGTTCCATCTGAAGGCGGGCAATTTCAGCTCGTAGGGCACTGATTTGCTGGCTTGTCTTATCCTGATTCACCACCACTTTGTTCTTGATGTTGCGAGCACGGTTGGCATACTTTAAGGTATTCAGGGTCTCCATAAAATCCCGGTCTGAAGGGCTCACACAGGCAATCATTATGGTTTGGCTATAAAGAGGGAGGGAGAACAGACAGAGATCAAACAGAGGAGGGTTGCTAGTCCTCATGCTCTATCAGCTTTCTCTAAAAGACAGTCACCACGTAGGGGTCAAGCCATTTCCAACATCGGCTTCCACCAAGATACAATTAGGCAGCTCAAGTCCAAGCCTTCCAATTTGCTGAACAGTGTGTGTGGGTTAAAGAAACACACACCAGAAGCAGCTAAGGAGAGTTTGGGCTGGCAAGAATTTTGGACAACCTCAGCTCCTTTTGCTTTAGGCAAATTCCCAATTTTTCTGCTCAGTGGGAGGCAGAGGATCCCAAATCAGAAAGGATGTGCCAGACTAGACAGAGAACACAACAGAAAGAGGGGCAGTTGTTGCAGAAACCAAATTGCGGGAAAAGAGGGGATCATGATGATCCCTTGTTAGGAGGGTCAGCTGCCAAGTCCTGGATAAAAAACAGCTTAGGCCTATTATGTAAGCACCCATTCTGCAGAAGCCAATAATCGTATTTTGAACTTGAGGAGAGAGGGGGGAAAACAAAGCCCAGGATTTATGTATAAAATTATACTCCTTGGAGATATGTTGGGGTTTAGCTGCAGGGCCTCTAATTAACCAAGCCACTGTTCATGGGAGTGTCAGCCATAACACATTACCTAGACCGCCTTCTCACCTGCAACCTATAATGCCTGCAGCCCCACACAAGCACTTCTGTGATATTAGATCTCTTCCCATTACCTGTTGCCACCAAGTGAGTCCTGCAGAAGCCGGGTCAGCTTTGAATCTCGGTAGGGCACATGCAAGGCCTTCTTGCTCTGGTCCCCAAGGGCACTGATGACATTTCCAAGTGCTAACTGCCAAGGGAATGGGCATGTAAGTACATAAGACCGGAAACAATCCTCATCCCCTTTATTTTGGAACCAGACAAACTTCACACAAAAGTTGCAACAGCTCCAAACTTCCGTTTTTGAGATAATGACACAGCTCTGCACGGATGATACTGAAGCCTTTCTTGCTTTGGAAGTGGTTCTTTTTTTGCTCAGGACAAGATCAAGCTGGTAAAAGCCACCAACCTTCCAGCACAAGGATGTACCATATGTCAAGTACCGAAACAGGCTTTCTGTATCACCATCAATGAATGAGAATTCACAGGCTTGACTAATGCACCCATTCAACTCTCATATATATTATTAGCCCTTATGATTATAGATAACATCTTAAATGATGAAAGGAGGTATTGTTAAAAACAGATTAGAATCCTTTTCATGATGCTTTCAAAGGGCTGCAATTGTAATTTCACCTTTCATGGATCTCTGTAACTTCTGCATGGACACTGGCCCCTATTTATTTTTTTCTCTATCAATCTTCAGTTTGCACCTAGAAAGGAATGATTACGTGTGAAATGGCCCTTGGCTCAAATGCCAGTACCACTAAGTGAAAGCCAAACTGTACTCCTATTTCAATATTTCTGCCCAGATGAAATATCTTTACTGCAGTTACTTCAAGCAGAACTTTGGCCCCTATCAATGACATACATTTGCACACAAATAGTTCTGTTTCCTACAGACTGCATGCTATAGCAGACAGCTTGATGCTCAGGTTGCATTCAGAGAGATAATTTATTTATAAACCATGATTTGATCAAACCAAGGTTAGTTTTGACTTCTGAATGCAAACAGTCCAACATTCTGGGGCTTGTTTTGCACCATGCTGAAATTTTAAACTATGGTCTGTTGCTGGTTTGCTAATCACAGATGGTTTGTTGTGGTATCTGAATTCACAAACCAGTTTATTGAGTAACATTGCCCCTCACAGTCACCAGGCTACAGAGGCAGCAGCATAAGGAGGAAGTCTTCCATGCCTGGAGGCAGGAAAGGCAAGAAGCAGAAAACTGAGATTTGTTGCTTATATCTGATAGACTAGCCAGTTTGTTGCACAAGCCATGGTTCAATCCAGCTATGTGATTTCTGAATGCATGTGCATTGATGACTAGATCAAGCCAGAGTCTGAGGAGACTTAAAAACACTAAGCATCTGAGATGAGAACTAGTTGGTCAGGCACCTGCCCCCACACCCAATTCTGACCCATCTCTATAATGAAAGCCCCAAATGCTATAAGAACATAAGAGATGCCAATGTTGGATCAGGCCAAAGGCCCATCCAGTCCAACACTCTGTGTCACACAGTGGCCAGAAATACCAGTGCCATCAGGAGGTCCATCAGTGGGGCCAGGATACTAGAAGCCCTCCCACTGTTGACCCCCCAAGCACCAAGAAGACAGAGCATCACTTGCCCCAGAGTCCCTATCTATACTTTGTGGCTAATAGCCACTGATGGACCTCTGCTCCATATGCTTATCTAATTCCCTTTTGAAGCCGTCCATGGTTGTAGCTGCCACCACTTCCTGTGGCAGTGAATTCCATGTGTTAATCACTCTTAGGGTGAAGAAGTACTTCCTTTTATCCGTTCTAACCCGACCGCTCAGTGATTTCATGGAGTGCCCACGAGTTCTTGTATTGTGAGAAAGGGAGAAAAGTACCTCTTTCTCTACCTGCTCTTTCCCATGCATAATCTTATAAACCTCAATCATGTCACCCCTCAGTCGTCGTTTCTCCAAGCTAAAGAGCCCTAAGCGCCTTAACCGTTCCTCATAGGGAAAGTGTTCCAACCCTTTTATCATTCGAGTTGCTCTTTTCTGCACTTTTTCCAAAGCTATAATATCCTTTTTAAGGTGTGGTGACCAGAACTGCACACAGTATTCCAAATGAGGTCTCACCATTGATTTATATAGGGGCATTATGATATTGGCTGATCTGTTTTCAATACCCTTCCTAATAATCCCCAGCATAGCATTGGCCTTCTTTATTGCAGTCACACACTGTCTCGACATTTTCAGTGAGTTATCCACTACAACTCCAAGATCTCTCTCTTGATCAGTCTCTGCCAGTTCAGACCCCATCAACGTGTATTTATAGTTAGGATTTTTGGCTCCAATGTGCATCACCTTGCACTTGGCCACATTGAACCCCATTTGCCATGTTGACGCCCACTCGCCCAAAATTGACAGATCCCTTTGGAGTGCCTCACAATCCTCACTGGTTTTCACCACCCCGAACAACTTTGTATCATCCGCAAATTTAGCCACTTCACTGCTTACTCCCATCTCCAAATCATTAATGAACAAGTTAAAAAGCAGTGGACCAAGTACTGATCCCTGCGGTACCCCACTGCTTACCACCCTCCACTGAGAAAATTGCCCACCTACACTCACTCTCTGTTTTCTATGAACTAGCCAGTTTTTGATCCATAAAAGGACTTGTCCTTCTATCCCATGATTTTTGAGCTTACTTAGGAGCCTTTGATGAGGAACTTTATCAAAAGCTTTCTGGAAGTCAAGGTAAATAATATCTATTGGATCCCCCTTGTCCACATGTTTGTTCACCCCCTCAAAGAACACTAACAGGTTAGTGAGACAAGATCTTCCCTTACAGAAACCGTGCTGAGTCTGCCTCAATAGGTTTTGTTCATCTATGTGCCTACTAATTCTTTCCTTAATAATGGTTTCCACCAATTTACCCGGTATCGACGTCAGACTGACTGGCCTGTAATTTCCCGGATCTCCTCTGGAACCCTTTTTAAAGATGGGAGTGACATTAGCTACCTTCCAATCCTCAGGAATGGAGGCAGATTTTAAGGAAAGATTACATATCTTTGTCAGGAGATCTACAAGTTCACATTTGAGTTCTTTCAGAACTCTCGGATGTATGCCATCTGGGCCTGGTGATTTATCAGTTTTTAAGTTGTCTATCAGTTTTAGGACCTCCTCTCTCATCACCTCAATCTGACTCAGGTCTTCCAACACCCCTCCTGAAATCAGTGGTTCTGGAGTGGGCAAGCACTTCTCATCTTCCACAGTGAAGACGGAGGCAAAAAATGCATTTAGCTTCTCAGCCATTTCCCTATCATCCTTCAATACTCCTTTTACCCCTTGGTCGTCCAAGGGCCCCACTGCCTCCCTGGCTGGTTTCCTGTTTCTAATGTATTTGAAGAAAGTTTTATTGTTGGTTTTTACGTTTTTTGCTATATGCTCCTCATATTCCCTTTTTGCCTGCCTGACCTCAGACTTGCATTTTATTTGCCATAGCCTGTGTTCCGTTTTATCAGCCTCACTGTGACTAGCTTTCCACTGCTTAAAGGAATTCTTTTTACTTTAAATGTTGAACTCAATAACATTATGATCACTGTTCCCAAGCGGTGCAATCACTTTTACATCTCTCACCAGGTCTTGAGTGTTACTTAGGACCAAATCAAGGATCACCTCTCCCCTGGTAGGTTCCGTGACCATCTGCTCCATAGCACAGTCATTTAGAGTGTCTAGAAACTCAATCTCTTTTTCTCGACTAGATTACATATTGACCCAATCAATGTATGGGTAGTTAAAATCACCTATTACGACACAGTTTTTTGTCTAGTTGCTATCTTTAATTCATTCATCATTTTATAATCCTCCTCTATCTTTTGATCTGGTGGGCGATAACAAACTCCCAGTGTTAAGTTTCCTTTTGGGCCCGACTCCCCTATTTTACCTCGGACACTTCTAGCATTTGTATAGAAACAGCTACAATTTCCCATACAAGTTAAGCCTGCAACCTTCCTCTTGCTATCTCGAGACCTTGTCAGGCAGTCCATGTCACTAGCCATGGTCTCAGTGGACAATTTCAATCCACCTCCCTGTAGAAAAGCAACAGCTACCCCCTCATCTCTCTGAGATGACCCAACCCGAACCAGAGACTTTTCATCTCCTGTTGGCTTTTCCCCAAAAGCCACAATTATACCAAGCCACGTTATACCAAGCCACAATTGATGGAGATCCCTTCTTTGGCTCTCTCGCCTGTAGCTCCAGTTCGTTTCAACCTCTCTGAGCCAGCCAGATCAACAAAGTGGAATTTGGCAGTTCGTGTCTCATACTCGTTAGCAGGTTCAGATCCCTCAAGGAGGCTGCTTGTCTCTCCGTTTACCTGGAATCCAAACCAAGAACCAGCATCAGCTCTCATCAATTTTGCCAGAGTTACACTCTACTGCATAGACAGCTGTTTTGCCACAGATCAGAAAGTGTCACCACAGAATTCCCACATGCGCCCATCTTTAAAGGTCCTGAAGTGAATTCCTACTTCCTATTCTGAACTAAGAGGAAGCTAAGACAAGATTGCTTGTTCTAGTAAAAAACATATACACACCCCAGACCTGATTGGCCAAAGGCTCTCATTGCATCACCATTTCTTGAGAGTCTTCCACCCCTTACAAATAAGGGAGAGAACATAATCCTCTTTTATGGCCTTACCAAGTGCACAGGAGAGCACACTCGCATTTGGCAAAGGTAGATGGTGAAGATTGCATGGGAGCGAGAGCTCTGGACATTCATCTGGGTGCTGGCTGTGGTTCGGGATAGAGCTCCCTGCTTCAGGCACTGAATCAGCTGAAATGGCAGAAGGGACATATTGTCTATCCACATGCAAAGCAAGACACACACAAATGCAAACCGCTCCATTTCTTAACCTCACATGAATAGGCTGCAGTACTACTTCCTCTGGACACTATTTCATCACTAGCTCTTGCAAAAATCACCCCTCCAAACATACACATACCAGGCTACAACAAACAGATGGGACATACAACTGAGTGTCTATTTCTCTTGTTTTTAATGAAATGATGCCTTGGAGACTAATGGAGTGGAATGGAAGAATGGACCGGGAAAGGGGGAGAAAGAAGGGTTTATTTAATTTTTCCTCCAATGGCTGTTTTTCCATCAAAAAAACCATACCCCAAACTACTACTCCCTCTACAGGAAAACAATCTGGAGAATTCTGTGCTCCTTAACCATCCAAAATATAAAAATGTCAGCTGGCATATAAAAGGAAGAGGGGAAGACATTAAGGAATTTAAAAAAGATGGGGAAGTGATTGCAGAAAATTCAGGGGTTCTGTATTATCATTAATTTAAAACATTTATTATTATATTCTTAGACTCAAAGCTGACAATGCGACAATACTCAAAAAAGTAAGATAGTCAGAAGGTAGAAGGATTTGACAGTCAACTAATCGATAAAAGGTGGACTATGCTCCAGACTCCACCCAAACAAAGGCATATCAACAGCTAAGTATGTCATACAGAATGGCAGCATTTCAGTGAGATTGGGGTACAGCTACGGAGGAAGAACAGTTTTGACAAATTCGGTCTCTCAGTACTTACACAGGATGGAACAGAGACACTAATAGATTGCTCTTGGAGCAGATGCTCAAGATCATTTAAACAGATTTATTACCTGTTAGCATCCTTCAGTGATAGCAGAAGGACAGAATCCCCCCCCACACACACACATCCTTCCATCTTTCAGATGCATGTTTAAGGGTGAAGACAGATTATTGTGAGCACAGAATTGGGAGGTAGTGGCTACTCGAGACTAATAAATATGAAATAGAAATGTAAAATAATATGTATAAAGAACGAGGTCACCTACCTCGTCCTGCGAGCCAATGAGACGAGATGTGACACCAGTAGTGTAGATACCACCACTGGCATCCTCATGTATTTTGATGTTTGATTTCCGGTGGCGGGAGTCAGGGTCCCGTGTGCTATCAAAAAGATCCAGGATCTCTTCATTGTACAACTGAGCAAAGACACAAACCAAAATGATTTGACATAAGGTTGTTAGATTATCAAAGAGCTCACCACTACAGAACTAATACAGTGAGTAAGTCCTTTGGCACTGAGAATGCCTTGAAGATCAACTCAGGGCTAATACTACCACTGGTGACTACAACAGCAAAGGCTGTGTGGGAATTAACCAGTCTACAATTGTGTGCTGCAAAAATTCTAGAATTCTTAACACAAATAAATTGTTTAAAAGCAGGTACATCTTGGGTTACAAAATATCTGTTAATAGGAATTCTTATCACTGTCCAGTTTTTTTGGCCGTGGGGGGAAGATAACAACACTGACAGCAAAGGCTAAGATTAACAGAATACTGTGGAGCCAGGTGGGTGAAGGCTACAGGATGAAGCATGGGAAAGTACTGTGCTACATGTTATCTACCTCATTAATACCCCCACTTTCCCTCCCCAATGGCAATCCAAAGTAGCTTACAACATTATCCCCTTACCTATTTTTCCTGACAGCATCCATGTGAGGTAGATTAGGCCCAAGGCCACCCAGCAAGCTTCCATGGCAAAGCAAGGATTTGATCCTAGTCCAGCCACTACACCATGCTGGCTCTAACATGAGATAGTTCATTTGTCTGATGGACCTACCAAAACTTAGAAGGAGAGCCTGAAACTCAAACTAGACAAGACAGAGATTGTCTTGTCTTTCAAAACTAAATTACTGCTGCTGAGGACCCCAATTCAGATGAAGGCCATAGAGAGTCAGGGGCTTTTGCTCTTGCACACCTTCATGGTTGTGCAAATGAAACCTCACCCACACACTATTATCAGCCCCATAAAGGGTGTGGTGGAGACTAGAAACCCAGCATGGCATAGTGGCTAGAGTGTCAGACTAGGACCAAGGAGACCCAGGCTCACATCCCCACTCATCCATGGAAACTTGTTGGGTGACCTGAGGCCATTCACACACTCTCAGCCTAAGCTATCTCACATGAAACAACTTTCTCCAAAAACTATGTGGTTCAACTTGGAGTGCGGCTGCTACAACACTTAGGTGCTCAGCTTTGGGGTTGGTGTATAGTACTGTGGAATACGGTGCCTCAGTGTGGCTCAACAGCCCCCATGTCCACAAATGTGATGTCCAACTCAATGCAACAATGAGAACCATTAGCAGGTGTATTTAAACCCACTCCAACCTACTGGCTACCCACGGTGTGCCACATCACTCCCCCACATCTCCAAAGACAAGATGCTTTTCTTCGTCAATATAGAAAGATAACTGAAAACAGAGAGTTGCTCATCCACAAAGACATGGATGGTGCGGGCCTATCCAAACTAAGATCCTGACACCCAGCAATAAGATCGTCACAAATCCTGAAATCACAAAATTTCAATCTAGGAAATGAATGATCACAAACTTGGATACAATCAGTTCCACTCAACACCCATAACCTGATAAACACCAACAAGAGGCCCTCAGGATTTGACTTGCCACATAAAGTATGGAAGATGGCTAACAGAATACAAACAGGCTTTGGCAGTTGTGCAGACCTGTTGTTTAAATGGGGCAAAATACCAGGACCTGAATGAGACTGTGGTGCAGCCCACCAAACTATGGCTGATTTCGCACTAGAGCTGCCTCGATGTTGCGCTGCCGTTTGCCCTGATACTATTGGTCAATTTCACACCCAAAGCCGCGGGGCTGCATTTGACCCGCAGCTTCGCCCGATTTCCTCTGCAGTTTCGTGATCCTCAAAAAACAGGATCACGAAACTGCGGGGGAAATCGGGCAAAGCCGCGAGTCAAAATGCAGCCCCGCAGCTCTAGTGCGAAATCAGCCTATTTTCCATCTGTTACAGGAATGTGAGCATCGTGCCTTCTAGGGAGATGTGACAGAGCTCTTTGAACTCTCCCCCGCTGCAATTGACTGGATTGAAAATTTAGATATTAGTATTTAGGGGGATTATCCAACTGGTCTGCACACTCATTATATCAACCTGGTTACGTATTTTATATTAAGTTACCTGTGTATAACTCTGCCATACGATAAACAAATAATACCTATCTCACAGGGTTGTTGTAACGATTAAATGAAGAAAGAATGCTGTAAACCATTTTGGGTCCCCACTAGGGAGAAAGGTGGGATATAAATGAAGTAAAATATTCTTTAAAAAAATACAAGTCACCTTCTTATTCCTTTAAAGGCAAATAACAGCAGAGGGGCTCAGTTAGTGAAGCCATGAGGAGAAGATAGGGTTAACCCAAACTGTCTCTATGAACCCAATCTGAGTCTGGGTCCACATGGCTGTTGTTTAGCTTTTACATACTAAAAGAGATCACTCACACCCTAGAAAGTTAAGAACATAAGAGAAGCCAATGTTGGACCAGGCCAATGGCCCATCCAGTCCAACACTCTGTCACACAGTGACCAAAAATAACCATAGACCAGAAATTGGTCGAGGAGGTCAGGGGGTTATGGCTGGCATTTTTCTGTAAGTGTAATCTATATTAGAGAGAAGAATCCTTACCCTTTACCTTTTTCCTCCCTAGTCCTCCTTGCTGCTAAGAAGATATTTGTATTACGTTCTGGAACTCTATGCTCTAAGAACTAACTATGTTGTTGCAGGACCTAAATAAGACAGGTAGTCAGCTTTGTTATTTTTGTGCTTTTATACTGCCAAGGAGCTGCTGTGACTCAAGTGGTTAAGACGCTGAACTGCAGGCTGTGGAAGGTCAGTAGTTCAGCAGTTTGAGACCCAAGTTGCCGCATGACGGAGTGAGCTCCCGTCTCTAGTTCCAGCTCCTGCCAACCTAGCAGTTCGAAAGCAAGAAATTGCAAGTAGATAAATAGGTACCACTTCGGTGGGAAGGTAACAGCGTTCCGTGCGCCTTGGTGTTTAGTCATGCCGGCCACATGACCACGGAAGCGTCTTCAGACAGCGCTGGCTCTTCGGCTTTGAAACGGAGATGAGCTAGAGTCGGATTTGACTGGCTTTTGAGCAAGGGAACCTTTACCTTTACTGCCACTAAACTATGCCTTGTTTTTAATACCTTTTCTTGAATTTCTTCAATAAAACTTTTTTTTTTTTGGCTTTACAGTATGTGTTACTTGGGGAGTTACTGAGACCAAACCCAGGTAAAGCTTGGTTACATTACTACACCAAGGCAGGGTCAGCCTTGACAGCACTTCACCTCTGGAACACCCCCCACCCTACCCCAAGGCTCACCTAGCATCTTCTTCACTTTCTTTTAGGCACCAAGCCAAAACAAACACATGCTTTTACATTGGCTTTTAATTAGGGGTTTTATCTTATTAGCTGCCTCTGTCTTATGGATAGTTTTTATGCTGTTTATGTCCAATGGCTTGTTTTTAATGGTTTATTTTATGTTTTTACATTATTGTAATTGTAATCTTCCTCCAGTAGGACTCTGAAGAGAAGGCACAGAAATATCATAAATAAAATATAAATAAAATAATTAGAAGCATGGCCCATCTTGTAATTTGCATTTGACCCTAGACCCCTGCTGATGGCATTCGGTGCCCAGCCCTGCATTTTCTGGGGTTGGAATGGAAAATCCACCTCCATTCTTCAGCCCTAGGCAAATGCACATTTATGTGCTCTCCCTCTCACACACTGCCATAACCCCATCTCCACACAAACATCCATGCACCTACCTCCAAAAACTGTGCACTGACTTTGAACTCTGGTGCGGGTACACCCTGTTCCTGTGCAGACCGCTTGCGCTCTTCTATGCCACTAAACAAGTGTTTAATGGCCCGTGGGATTATGCCAAGCTCCTCTTCAGAAATGTTCATGTCAAAGCCAGTGCCCATGGTATAAGTCTTACCTGCACCTGTCTAGAAAGAGAATAGCATAGGTGTTTTATGAAGATGCCTCAAGACCAAAACATCATTGTCATGTAGTGACACAGAATGCACCTTTGAGGTTCCATTACTCAGTATACACCTTGTCCCCCTCTGTAATTCCAATTTAGAAACACCTAACTCTTCTTTGCTCTGGTGATTAATCCAACAGTCAGAATTCTCTTTGGTGAAAAAGATACCCTTTTTAAAAGTGAACCATTTTAAAATTAAAATTGAGCTCTTGATAATCTAGGGTAATTTAGAATCACTTCATTTATTTGTGCAATTCTTTTAAACAACATTTTACAAGGCATTCCTTTTACACCCAATTCATTCCTTTCAGATTCTCTCCCTAAGGGCTCTTCCTGTGGGCTGGTGACCGCCAGTGGGGTCCAAGGGCTAGGGCACTGTGTTGTGACATGTAAATTCTCACACTGCTTGCTATAAAACTCACTGGGTGGCCTGGAGCAAGCTACTGTTTCTCAGCCTAAACTATCTCCAAAGTTTAATGCAAAGCCAAAATTGCACTCTGAGATAGAATGGCTCTTGGAAAATAACTGGTACAACAAACAAATAAAGATGCAGCTAACAACATATGAAAAAGAAATTATAAAAAGATGCGTTACCCACATAAGATATACAGAAACCATCAGAGTTAATTTATCAATCAATAAAGGCCAGGTCAATTAGTAAAGGGCACTTCAAACAAGAAACTCTTAGCACATGTGCAGAAACTCATCATCAAGACCACTGGGGTCATAGCACACAATCATTTGGTCTTGTATAAGCAGCAGATAGTATAAATCATGGCAGTGGCTAGAGTGCCAAACTATAATCTGGGACATTCCGGTTTGCTTGTTTATATATTTATCTTTATTTGCTTCATTTACACCACCCTCTTCTCCCCAGATTGGTCACATTATGAAAAGACAAGAGTCACTGGAAAAGACAATAATGCTAAGAAAAGTTGAAGGCAGCAAGAAAAAAGGAAGACCCAACATGAGAGGAACTGCATGATTCAAGGAGGCCATGGCACTCAATTTGCAAGACCTGAGCAAGGTGTTAATGATAGGACATTCTGGAGGCCATTAATTTGTAGGATTGCCATGGGTCAGAGGCGACTTGATGGCACTTCACACACACACACACACACACACACACACACACACTTTCTCCCCAATGGGGACCCAAAGCCGCCTACATCATTCACTTCTTTTCTAATTTATCCTCACAACAATCCTGTGAGGTGGGCTAGGCTAAGTGTGTGTGATAGAGAATTCAAATCCTTACTCTGCCATGAAAGCTAGCTGGGTTACCTCGGGTCAGTCACACACTCTCAGTCTAACCTACTTCACAGGCTTGTTATGAGGCCACTTTGGGTTCTCACTTGGGAGAAGAGTGGGGTATAAAATATTCTGCTCATGGCAAAGATCAAGAAGAGGGTAAAGGAGTTCCATACCTGGCCATATGCCAACACCGTAGCATTGTAACCCTCGAAGCAGCCTTCGATGAGTTTGCTCACACAGGTTGTGTAGATCTGTTCCTGCCACGTATCCAGATCGAAGACAAAGTCGTAGGTAAAGGCTTTGTCCTTTCCCAGGAGGACCTGGGGTTCGCCAGGCGTCACTGATGTGCAGATATGACATCCTTCGATCTTCTCCTTTGGCATCTGAGGACGGATCCTGCAAAAAATAAATAAATGAGGACAATTATTCCCTAAATAATTTTTAGGAGAGAACAGGGAGATCCCACTCCACCTTCTATTCCATGTTATAAACACCACAGCCAGAGAGGCTTCTGATGTCAGCCAAGACACAAAATTTAATCTAGGTTGATTTCAGTTAGGCACAGTCTCACTGTACAATACTCTCATGTACATGTGCCACAACAAGTCAATTTACCAAGTACCTGGAATAAGCTATGTCAATATGCTCTGCTACATCAATAATATGGACCAACCCCCCCCCCCCCCACTTTACCAAAGCAGAACAAGCAAATTGTCCTATGGTACTTTAAATACTAACATGGCTTGGAGTAGAGCTCACTTCATCACTTCCAGGTAGCGTAAAGTGTTTATCTTCTGTTGGCAAATATATTACACAGAGAGAGAGAGAGACATATACAGACAGGAATAAAGAAAAGCATCAGCACTGAGGCTAAAGGGCCATGAAATGAAAGAGGTACAGACACAAAGCAAGATAAGATTAGTACAATGACAATTTTTTTAAAAAAAATAGTATTTTTGGTATTAGACCCCAGGCAGGGGGACACAAGGCAGGATTAACTGAGCCAGTCCCATGACCTCCGTCATATCCCTGGACTCTGAGGGTCTACAGCCACCATTTTGATACACAAACATGAACTTAGCATCTCATTCCTCCAGCTACTGTTTCTGGTGACCCCTCCTGCCTTGAACAATATTGAGTTAAAGAGAAAGTTCAGAGAACCATAACATTAGTGTGCTTTTCCCAAACAAGGCTTTGGGCTTCATTTTCTTGAACAGCAGGATTCCATGCTGATTTACAAGTAACTGCTGAAATTCTGTGGGGTGAATTTAAAAATTCATTTAAAAAAAAGAAAAAAAAGAAAGGAGTTCATAACATGGCACTGTGGGGAGGGGGGAATGCTGAACCAAATGTGGGAGAAATCACTGCTACAGGTCTTACTGGGTATGCACAAACTCTTGGTCATACCTAATGTAATACTTTGGAATTTAGCCTTAAAAGTCCATTTATGTGAAAGCTGCAATTGCTAGGCACTCTCCTTCTTTGGCGAAATTGCCCCAATGGCTAATTACTAAATCAACCATAGTTTAGAGACCGGATGGAGATATCTCCTGGAGGATCAGGCTGGCAGGACAAGGCTGTCTCATTACCCCCCCACCCCACCCCAATCCTGGAAAGCTTAACACCCCCCACCTCCTGCACCTGGAAGAACTGACAGCTTTGCATCCAAGCAGCTAAGCTATTACTCTAGTAACTGAGGCTTAAGAAGTCACAAGGTGACTGGTAACAGCACTAACATGACCTGGCAGGTGTCCCCCTTCTGAGTTGTTGTGTCACAGCTTGGTGAACACAAGAGTGCCAGAGGCACAAAGGGCTTTATTCATCCAATACAAGGACCTCACAAATCCGCATTAGAAAAGACCCATTGATGGCTCCTTCCATTCCAAGTCCTTCATGCAAGCTGTTGCCTTTATTTGCCCTCTCCTCCTCTTTTTTGGGGGGGGTAGGATATAAACTGGTACTTGCTCAAAAGGCCACGGAGGCTTAACCCTGCTGTGTGTGGGCTGGGGGTATTAGGCAAGGAGGGGTCATACTAGAACTTGTTTTAATACCCTCACAGTGGTACCATCTGCCACACTCCCTTCACTGAGATATGGTGGGGATATGCCACCTTAGCAAGGTCCTCTAAGCATAGATAGATACTACTGGGCTTGAACCAAAGTGTATATGCAGAGAGAATGCACTGCAAAGTAGGCTTGTGTTTCTATCAGGGTTTTGAGGAAGGGTCGCAAATTAGCACAGTGGAAATGCATCATGAATGTGCTGACCTTGCACAAAGAAAGGTTTTGTCTGGTCTTCTCTGTGATGGCTGAACCCTTCAAAGGCTGATCTTCCATTTGACAAAAACAGCCACCTAAAAAATGTGTAGATGGTGATGGACATTACCTTGCACTTCATTTTGGAGCTCACAGTACCAGTTCAGCACTGCTCTAAACCTCTGCAACCTTGATTACTCATTCACATTACACATACGTTCATCAGTTGTCCAAGAAAAAAGATGTAATTGATGCAACAATAGTTTAGTAGTGTTTCAAACCAAGAACTGGGATAGAAGCATAAGATCTTTCTACAACAAAAGGCTGTTTGCAAACCCAGTGTCTCAGCTGTCTCATAGGAACTAGGCACAAATCAAGGGTTGAGCACACCAAATAATGTCTTATGAAAGGTGGGGTACACTATGCAACTCAAACTCTAGCCAAGCAGGCAAGAATTACTGTCTCCTTTGATAAATCTACAAGCCTTCTGCAGATTTTATATTGTACTCTGAACACACAAACTGGAAGCATGTGAAACACACTTGTCAGGAGCATGTGAATCTCCATAATACACCTGATATCTGTGGTCAATATCATGCATAAACATATAAAGCTTCTTTATACAGAATTGGTCCATCAAGGTCAATATTTACTATTCTGATTGGCAGTGGCTACCCAGGTTTTCAGGCAGAGGTCTTTCACATCTCCTGCTGCTTTTTAACTGGACTGAACCCAGAACTTTCTGCATTGCACGCCACCCCATCTTGTGTGAACTGGGCAACACACGGATTTTCCATGCATATACAGATTCCATTCATACAAGCCAGAACACTGGAAAATCAGGGTTCTGGTTCATATGAACAGAAGCTGTACAGACGTGGAAAAACCACACCTTGCGCAGTTCACATGACATGGTGACTTTTTTCATTCACAAGAGAGAGATGGGGATCATACCTTATTTGTTACCAAGGTAACCTGCTCAGTTTTCTTGTTTTAGTCTGTAAATATGAGGACTAGAAACTCAAGAGATGGGCAAGTACAGTCTGGAACAGTGGGCCCCCAGTTCTTGTGAAACGGAATGTTTCATGTGCAGAGGAGTATGATTACAGCAGCCTCTGCAAGAGATATGCTGTGCATCAGCAAACCCACTGCATATCCTGTGACTGATTTTCACAGAGAACTTTATGCAAATTGAGAGGCTGCTCCACTGGTACCCCATGTGTCCCTTCTGTGTCAGCCAGGATGGAAAAGCAGCAGTCCCCATGACATGATTGCCATGACAACTGAATCTCCGCAAAAGGAGGGGGAGGAGACAGACAACCCAAAAAGGGAGCAGCACACTAACACACTATACAAAACACCACTTAGGCAATTTCTCCAGTAACCCTGACACATACAATGGTCTGGCTGTTCAGCTCCATCAGCAAAAGCCAACATTTATAGAGAGGGGAACAAATTGGGCTGGCATCCAAAGCACAAATGGGCTCTCATCTTATAGTGAAAGCCATGGCCTCAAGGCCAAGACGAAGATTTTTCCCTTTG